TTGAGACTTGGAGCTCGAATCTCCATCGTTCTTCTTCTGAGACTTGGAGTTGGAATCTCCATCGTTCTTCTTGTGTGATTTTGAGCTGGAGTCTCCATCGCTCTTCTTATGTGATTTTGAGCTGGAGTCTCCGTCGTTCTTCTTCCGTGATTTTGAGTTGCAATCTCCGTCGTTCCTCTTATGAGACTTGGAGCCAGAATCTCCGTCGCTCTTCTTATGAGACTTGGAACCGGAATCTCCGTCGCTCTTCTTATGAGACTTGGAGCCGGAATCTCCTTCGTTCTTCTTACTATGAGATTTAGAGTCTCCTTCATTCTTCTTCAAACTCGTGGATTTGGAGTTAGATGGACTGGTGTCGATCCTAAGAGCCTTAGCCGAGAAACAGTGGCGAACATGGACCCGGTGGCACACAGTCTCAGTGGAACAGCTTCCTTGCACATTCACCACAAGTATTGCTTCTTTATCCCGCGTGTCCTCACACCACCAATTCTGAGGAATCCCATCAACAAACTCCTCCAATGTATGGAACTCCTCATGGTGAACCGATACCTCCACCGAACTATCCGGTTTTATAGTTCCTGCAGCCGGCATCACCTGAAAGAGAAAGACCGAATCTTCTTAACAAGATGAGTCTTGAGAGAATTGTAATTAAGAATTTTTGATGGTTTTCGTTTTCAATACCTCGAGCCACCGTGGGAAACCGAATGAGCCTAGCGGATGTAACTCCAATGTATCTTCCTCTTCTCTCATTGTACTCTGCCCTTCACATAAGATCCTGAACACGGCGTTCTCTTTGACACATTTGTTGGTGATGCGAAGCACAAAGGTGTCTTGGTTCTGAAGAACAATCTCGTTGCTGCTAACAACCGTCTCTGGTACATAACGTAGGTCGTTAAGTAACGCCCTGACTTTCTCGTTGGTCCTGATGATTCTCCCAAACTCTTGTCTCCTTACTGATCTATCAACATGCTCTATCTTCACATGGAATTTGCAACGGACCGGTTTGTGATCGCTCTCTGTCACGTCCATACAAGCATCATACCTGTCCATAACCCGCGCCAGAACAATGTTCTTAGAAAAACTCTTGAGAAAATGAGATGTTGAATCTCTGCAATGTGGAAAGAAAAGCTTACAACATAATCGAAGCAACGACTGGACAGTCTAGACTGCATTCAGATTCTGGACTCGTACGTGTGTCTCTGTATATTACTCTATCACACCATGCAGGAATCCGCTTTTTCTCCCCTGAATCGTACCCTAAGGAAGAAAAGATAAACGATAAACTTTAACCTTTAATATGCTTACAAACACTTGCATACAGATGCGGTTTATGTACCTCCTAAGCCAGGCCGGTGTCTTTCAAACTTATAAGTTGGAGGGAAAGTGATGATGGCTTCACGCATGCCTTGAAAAACTTTTCCAGCTTTCATCTCTGCCCTGAGTTGATCTTTTTCTCTAAGCCAATCGAAGCTTCTTTGTGAGACAAAGTCCCTAGCTTCATCATATGATATACCAAAGAGCCGATAGTTGAAATCACCAAAAAACACAACCATGTCCGCCTCTGCGAGGTCCTGCTTGGTCTCTTCTGTGTTGACGTTTGCGTTCTGCAGAAAGTGTGATGAGTCTAAGGTAATCAAGAAACAATAACAAAAGGTAGGAAAGATGATTGATCTGTAAACAGTGATGACCGGAACAAAAAGGGACTTACATTTGCGCTCTTTGTGGTATGAGAAGCGGTAGTCACACCAGCTGCGAAAGTTAAAAGCCATGAGGTATATACAAGCAGATGCCATAAGCACAGAGAAGAGAGGTGAAAAGTGGGCATAGAGATATACCGGCTGGTGCATTATTAGCATTTGATGACCGGGAAAAGGACATTGTTTTGTAGATGTGATCAAAATCAGCATTTCTGCGGTTTACAGCTTCCAGATGCGCAGCCAAGTGACAGTTGATGAAGCACATAATCCGATCAAAGACCCTAATTCTCAAACCTACACCTCCCTGGTTTGACATTAAAAAGGTAAATCAAGTAGGATGCCGCCATATAAAAAAATCAGAATGATCCACATTGTTGGAGAGAATGGAACAAAACGCTCGAAGCAATTTTCATATGATAATATATCCAAAATCATACATTTCATTAGGTAATTAGGAATGAAAAGGCATAAACTTAGACAAAGAGAATGAAACCTAAGCTCTGAATTTCCTTTTTGATCTCAAGACAGAGAAATATATATACCTTGTTACCAATTGCGCGTCCAAAACCACATGGAACCGCTGCAACATCAATATCGCCTACATGTGTTCTCAGACTCTTCCTCACCCTAAAATTGAAATCAGAACATTCAAAAATCAGAACATTCACCCTAGATGTGTTCTACTGGACAAGGTCTCCCATGGATTCTTTCAACTCACCAAAGTGATATGAGCAAACCAGCTAATTGTCTCGATCCCATGCGTTCAAATACTGCTTTTTCGTCCAAGGTCTTCCCTATTGTGTCTATCCAGTACTGCCCTATTGAACTCCCTTCATTTCCTCCTACCTAATATAGAAACCAATAAGAGCTTAGAAAATAACATAAATAAAGCATCCAAATCAATTATTTTCTTCCAACTATTGTCTCACTGATTCTTTGGCTGCTGACATTGCTAAAAACCCCGCACCCATCTCTACTTCTTGTAAGCCTACGACAAGAATACCAACATCTGACGCTACAGAGCCTAACCAAGACATAAGAGCATCATGGGAAGCTTTTCCCTGGCCAACATTCCATGAACCGATCAAAATCCTAACACTGTCTGTCTGTGCATATATCCGTTCTTTTTCCGACAGTTCCGACCTTATTATCCCATCAAGAGGCCCCGGAGAAATCACATGCCATCCACGTATACCACCATGAGTGGCTAAGCTGAAAATGTAGCCATTAGCTGCTGCCATCTTTATCACTGCATTATTATGCGCGACCCACCCCGCGATTAGATTGCCTTCAAGATCGATTATCTGAATGTGACCACTAACATAACCAATGTATATTCTTTCCCCAAACGTGCAGAAACACAAGACAGCACATTGATGGTGACGGAAATCTTGCAACCGGTTTCCATTTCCGTCCCATTGTATAAGCAATCCATTTGTGCAACCGCTCCAAATCATGCCATCCCCGGCTAATACCATCGCTTCTGTTCTTTTGGCATCTTCATATGCCCCTCCTCCTCTTGTTGCAACCCTTCGAACAGCATCCGCAGCTCCCATTATCGCATTCCTTGAGCGTTGCAAGAACCCATGCGACTTCTCCTTTTTCGAAGTGGAAGCAATTTTCACCTTCATCTCATCTTCTGCTGATTGATCCTGCACCGACGGTATTTCGACCCGGTTTTCAGTCTGACCTTCAGTGTTGAACACTTTCAGTAGCTCCTTTGTACGACCATCCCTGCAGAGAATATGGCCCCTTCAGAAAACCAACAGCAAAGAAGACGAAAACATCAAAATTTAGACCTTATGTATCAATCGATACTCACCATAAGGAGAAGGCTTGAAGCTGAGAAGCCCATACTTTAGATCTTACATTATCGGCTAACAAATATTTGACTTCAGAGGAAGATATACCGCAGCTACCATTAACAGTAGCTTGAGCCCTGAGATCAATCCCTGACCTCTCCACCAACAAAGCAGCCATATGTTTCTCCTCTAACCTAAGCGAAAGTGATTTCTCCATAGATTCCCAAGTCCATATCTTGATCATGCCACCTTCTGAACATGACCACAAATCACCTGCATTTCCCAATTACAACCTATGGATTTCAGATTGAGTTCATTTTTGCAAGAAGAAATCAGACTGGGAAAAAATGTTTTCGAGAGAGATTTACCATAAGAACTCATGATTATGGAATTGACGGGACCCTTGTGAGCTTGCCAAGAGAGGCCTTCCTTGAAAGGAGTATCGTCATCATCGTCATCATTCTCAGCTGCAGGATCCATCTTCCAAGACCGAATCTTACCATCCTTGTGACCACTCCAAACGAGCCTATTCCCATTGTCAGCCATCAAACAAGTGGTGGGCGAAGTACTAGCCGACTCATGAAACGGCGCAGCGTCCTCGTCTCCTCTCCGTACGCGGTCGCTGAGACCACACCCTGGCTCGAACGCATCGGCGAAGTTCCAGAATCTAACGCCGCTCTCTTGTCCAGCCCACAATTGCGTCCCCGTGCAAGCTATGTTCCTCAGGAATCTCCCGACCTGAGTCTCTTTTAGTGGATGCGGCCTCAGCTCTAAGCAAGGAGGACGAGCCGAGTGCAACGGAGATCGCGTGGGGACTTTGAACATTCCCACGCCGCCTCCTGATCCGACGAATTCCGGAAGCGGCTGAAAATCCTCCCCAATCTCAGGCTGGTGCGTTATCAAGTAATCATCAGAATCCCCGGTGTCGCCGGTGTAAGGAAACGACGAGGAATTGGTGGTGGTGGCGTAATGGTAGAACTCGTCATCGGAAGAATCGCCGGAGATACCGCAACCGGAGACGATCTCACTGATTTTGGGGATATCGTCGAGGCTATGCTGGCGTTGGCGGTGGTGATGGCCCTTGTGACCGGTGGCACGGATCTGGTGGCTGTATGAATGGATTTTTCGAGGGGGAGGAACAGCGCTCATGGAGGAGAGAGCGTCCTTGTCGTCATCGTCGTCGTCGCCGCCCTCGTAATGGTGATTGGTGTTGATTTCCATGGCGGGGGATTGGGGAAAGTGAGGAATGAAAAGAGGAGGAAAGAGAAAGGGGATGAAGAAAACGTAAGAGGAGAGAGAGAGAGAGATGGAGCGGAGTGTTCGGGAGAGACATGGCGAGGAAGAGAGAGATTGTTCCCTTTCCTCCATCTTTCATCGGTGAGATTTCTCTGCAATACGCGCCATCTTCTCCACTCCAATTTCTCGGATTCAATTTAAAGTAATTAATTAGTCCTAATTGAATTTATACCATTTTAATCATATTAACCTCAACTTTTACAGTGTAGCTGTAGATAAAACAGAGAGAAGACTATAAATCATAAGAAGTTAAAAAAGACTATATAAATCATAAGATACATTAGTCTTACTGATAATCATCAGATTCAAACGTATAAAGTTTACATAATTAAGATACATTGAGGTAATCATTTTATTCTTAATATATTACACCATTTAATACTCTTAGTAGAGTAAAGATCTATTTCTTGGATCCATTGATCTTCTTCCACCTCCCAAGCTTCTCTTTCCCCTGTTCATTTTTTTAGTGCATCATACCAATCGAAGGTAAAGTCAGTTTCGTATTGCTCGTTAACTATACAATACTCAATAAATGTTTGAAATTGTAAGTAAAACAATGGCATTGTTCTGTTTTGATAATGTAAAAAGTGGTATATAGTGTATGGTGTACATGGCAAATTAATCATAAAAATATGATTAGTTATATATATTATGTATATACCTTACGAGTGGCAATGGCGTGTGGATTCTCCTCGATGGACACGGCCTTAAATCCTACCGGAAGTAAAACGTCTTCGTAGCTATATAAACATCAATAAGCACACACATAGTTAAACTCTTTTAGTAAATTTTAATTATATAAGCTCTTAATGCAATTACGGATTTTCATTACTCATACATATATAGAGAAATTAATTACGTACGTTGAGACATCTACTTTGTAGGGAGGTCCACCTTCGTGATCCGTAATCTAATTAATCAAAACGCAGAAACTTGTGTTCATATACATACTCTATGATTCTAATATTAAATAATGGAATATTCACAGGAGAAAGTCGAAAACCATTACCGGATACATGAGAGTTACGAGTTCGCCGTCGGGTTTTAAGAGTTCATACATGGATTTAGCCCATGCAGATCTCATATCCGGTTCAATGGCACAGAAGACGCTGTTAATTATATTAATTAGTTACTTGGAATATAAATTACGTGCATCCTAGGCTAACACTATGCTAAGTTAATTAACTCACACATAATCGAAGATTAGGTCGAATAATTCGTCAGGACGCCATGTGAAAAAGTCTTCCTTCACGAACGTAAAGTACGTGGCCTTCGGTGAGGAGCCGTATGTCTATATGTAATCCAATATAGTAGTAATTAATAAATCTTTTCACTAATTCATGACGAACATTTTAAAGATCGTGAGAAGATGATTTAACCTCAGTAGCTTTCTTGAGAGCACTTTCGGAAATATCCAATCCAACAACGAAACGTTCAGGGCTTGCCATCGCAACCACGTCATGACCCTGCTCACATTCATATTTGGAAATCAATCATAAGTATATATATAATTTCTGTACCAATCCAAAACCGAACCGAAAAGAGAAAATCGAGTACGGAGAAGACTAACTCCGCCACAGCCGGGGACAAGAGCGCGGCCAAGAGGGAGAGAAGAAGAGTCAACAAGATGGACAACGAGAGGTGTGGCTCTTCCTTGGTCCCATGGCGTTATCTCTTCCTCCCAACATTTCTCCCATCCACCTGTTTATTTTATATTATCATTACATTTCGTTTGTGTTACTATCTGTTTTTCTCTACCGTTTGAATCAATCCAAGATAGTTCCATCCATTTTGTGGCTATGTGAAATAAATGTTCACTAGATTCAGTCCATATAAGCAGTATTATTTTGGTTAGTGTGTGACTGAGAATCGGGAAAGACCTAAGACCTAAAATTCCGTTATATATAATTGTACAAAGTAATACTAAGGGAAGAATGAATTGAATCACCTTCTGCAACAGTTTTGGGCAGGAACGTGGCAACTTCTTCAGGAGGAATAATGTTTTCACCATTGCTGTGACCTGATTTTTGTTGTTCTTCAGCCATTTTTAGGGTTTCTCTCAAGCTCTAGTATTTCTTCTTCTTCTTTTTTTTTTTGCAAGTCTTGATGTTGTGAAAGCTTCAAGTCACTACTACCTTTTTTATAATACTTTAGAAAGATGATCAGCAAATGAGAAAAGTAAAGTGTATGTAACCACTAATTATTGTGCCTTCTTCACACCCACGGTACTTTCTTCACGTTTTTGTGTGTGTCGTCATTGGGACACGTAGAGATCTTTTAGATATTTGCTCAGGCCAAACTCATCAGTCATCAACATTAATGAAACCAACATGAAGAACAACACAAATAGTGGGAGTATTATTAGATTATGGTATGGTATTAGTTGAAAGATGATTAGATTTTCGGCTTATGTAATATTATTGGTGGGAACTATTTACGCTTGGTGTTTTAATTAGGAAATTAGAAAAATAAAATGATTATCCGCATTTCACAATGTTTGAAATTAGAATTTTTTGATATCTGATGAGATACTGATCATCGTCATTTATAGTATTCACGAGTTGGACTATAGATATCCTAATCCATTTCATCAGAAGTACCAAAATTATTGATATGTAATATCCTATAGTCTATAGATAATGAAATACACATTCATTTTTATTATGTATAAAAATAAGTCACGATCAATTTCGAATGACGCATTCTTATCCATCGTATATGCGAGTGGCTCGAGTTTCTCTATAATTTATTCACGAAATCCCAACAAATAATTAGTAAGCTACAGTATTACTGTTTTTATAATATATCCACTGAAGAATCTTTAGCTCCAAAATCGTCATGGGGGCACTTTTTTCTGAGGCCACGAGTGGTCACAAAGAGAAAGGGACCACAAAATTTTAATAGAAGCAATAAGATAAAGACAGTTTACGACCTACTTTCCACAAATATAAACGACAAAAAAATGAAGTGTGACTGTTTTACACGTTCTCTCATTCCCTCCTCCGTTTTAGGTACGCCAATTTCACCCAACAAGTAAAAATTATGGATGAGATATTCGACATTTGATTTAATTATCATAAAACTCCATTTATTTCATCTTAGACGTGTAAAATGTAAATCATAAAAATGTCTTCTTCTTCTTCTATCTACCAACTTTTTCCATTCCCTGAAAATTAATTCCATATTTTAAACATTTTTGTTTATCTTTCTTGTTTCACAATGAAATTAGTTAAGTAATGAATAAATTGTTTTGGTTTTGTTTTTTTTTTTACCTTGCGTGTATCTGGAGCAAGTTCGTTATCCACAGTAGAGATTACTTCAAATCCTAAAGGAATCAAAAGCTCCTCGTAGCTACGAGAAACATTTAAAAAGAGTTTGATTTGTTAACAAAAATGAGACAATATAAGGGAGTTTAAGAGTCATTAAATTTGTAAAATCGCACATTTAACATCAATCGCAATTCCACATAATTGCATGATTAGAAAAACACGCCCTAAACTCGAAGTCACATAAAAACGACAGCGTTTTTTCACAATACTATACTTGGGCCTTCTCAAAGGGCCTTAAAAATCCAGCGACACACTTTTGCTCTCTTTGGTTTGATAACTGTTATATATTGGTAATTTGGTAGAGATTGAAAACAATGACATTTTGCTGCTCTCTTTGGTTTGATAACAATTAAATTGGTAGAGATTGAAACTTATTTAGTTTATTCCGATTGTTGAACAAGATTTTGAATAAAATGTCAATTCCCCGCGAAATGTCATAGTAGTCTCTTATCCCCACAAAATTAAAATTCTAAACTCAAAAACTCATAGACCTCGGTTTTAGACGGTTTACTGATTTATATAAGCATTAACCAAGAGTTAACCGACAGAATAATCACAAAAACATCTGAGTTCAAGTTCCATGTCTCTTTCAGTGGTCATACACGTTTAGATTAACAGTGAAAAATCACAAAAACATCTAGCTTGAAGCTTCTGTAGTGATCAATACACATCATAGCAATTCACAAGGTGGAGTGAAACGTTGAAGATTTCTTCCATCTTCCAATCTTCTCCAGTCCCTGTTGAAATTTGCAAATCTCCACTGAGTTATGTTTAAAAGGCTTATTCGTACGTTCGTGCTGATAATTAATTACCTTGCGTGGTCCTACAGCAAGTTCGTTGTCCACAATGGAGATTGCCTCAAACCCCAATGGAATCAGAACCTTCTCGTATCTATGCACATTAAGAGATTTACAGAGTTAAGAATTGGCCACAACATTTCAGTGATGTTCCTGTTAGTAAAAAGAGATATAACACGAGATTATTACTCAGACACAGATACTTTGTAAGGAGGCCCTCCAGAACGCTCATCTATCTGCACAAGACGCATTTTCTTTTCAGTTTTCAGCAGCTACGGAAACGTGAGGACACGGATCAGAGAATAGAGATGTTAATGGTTCTTACAGGAAACATCAATGTTATAAGTTCTCCACCGGGTTTCAAAAGCTTTTCCATTCGCTGTGCCCATTGAGGTCTCACGCTAGGTTCAAATGCGCAGAAGAAACTGCGAGAAATGGTCATATGATAGAAGATATATAAGGTAAAGTCTATACTGTATAAAACCAGAAACAGAGATTTAAGATTATACACATACGTATAGTCGAATATGAGATCGAATTTTTCAGCTGGCTCCCATGTGAAGAAGTCTTCACTCAAGAAAGAGAAGTATTTTGCATTGGGCAGTGAGGAGAACCTCTGCATTGAGATTAAACAAATTGTGTTAAAACGGTAAATGCATCAAGAGAAGTACTAATAAGGGCTTTCAAGGCGAAAGACTCAAAATCAGTATAGTTGGAACCTTTGATGATCGCTCAACCACAGTTTTTGATATATCCAGTCCAACGACATAACGATCAGGGGAGGCCATTGCCACCACATCATAACCCTGTAAAACCATGTTTCAGCTTTTGTTTCAAACGTTATCAGACAGCACATAAAACAACTATATCAATCAGCAAGAGCAAGTAATGCAAGAAGAACCTATCACACAAGTCAGGTGTACAACAGAAGATACTCAAAAGGCCATGTTCTCTAGCAGAAGCACGATAAAAGTGGCTTCAATATCTGGAAAAGCTGTGTCCTTTTACTCAAATAACCATCACATCAAGCAAAGGAACCGAAAGCAAGTGTTGACATCAATTGAAACGAGACAAAAGTATGGAAGAACATACGGTTCCACAACCAGGAACTAGAGCCCTGCCATTAGGCAAGGAACCAGTCTCGGCGAGATGCAAGATGATCGGAGTTGGTCCTCCCAAGTCCCATGGAGTTGCTCCTGCTTCCCAGCTCTTTTCCCAACCACCTAGAACAATGCGATAAAAATATATTCACGACGAACCAAAATTGCTTCAGGGCAAAAGATGAATCATTAGATCTGAGAAAAATTTAGGATTCATTACCAGAAGAATTCTCGCTCATCAACCGTAGGAAGATATCACGGGGAGATTCGACTGCGGGAGCTTTACCGGCGTTTTCCATCGGATCAACGACACGCAAACGAAGGAATCGGCGAGGACTAAAAGCAGAAGTAAGACTACTGTAGAGAATATAAGCTTCCTGCGAGAAGCTAGTTATATTTTAATAATCATTTTTATAGTAGCTGAAATATCGAGTTGCAGGAAAATGAGATGCAAAGTAAAATTTTATAACCGATGTGATGTTAATAGTTGAGAAAAATCCAGTAAAATCATAATGATGGGAATCAAAATTTAGACAAAAGAATAGTATGTTGTGTATTTTTTTTTTGATGAAGATTCATAATTTACAACTTATATCTTCTATGTTCCCTGAAGAATAAGATTGTGGAATCAATCGAGGTAGAAGAGCGTGACGATCTTGCGGAGATTTTTAGCTTCTTGACATGTCTCCATGAGAAGCTTACTGTCGTGAAACGCAAAGCAGATTACTTGTTGAACTTGTGATATGATGTCCATATTACAGAGCCTGACCAAAAGATAACGAAACATGATGACAGGATTGTTATTAATTAATCTGTTCTTTCACCAAAGGAGAATCATTAATGGACAATGACGAATTCTACAATAACCTGCTGGCTTCTAATAATGGCAAATGGTCATTGTGTGGCTTCTCTACCACGTTTTTTACCTGTGAAAGACATAGCAAAATAGGAGAGTTTCTCAGATGCAAAACTGGAGATGGGAACTGACATATTTGAAGAACCAGTTTTTGCTTACTTTAGACAACAGTTCCTGGCTCTCAGGAGGTTGTTTTTTCAAACTTTGGGGTAATATTACTGTAAGAAGCTCCGGTCTCTCTGCTCTCAATGCACCTCTGATAACCGCCGCATTAGTTCCTGATGCACCTGAAGTGTATATATGGTTTTTCTGCAATATTATAGGATGAGATGTTTTAGCAAAAGTTCTGAAACAAAAGATTTGAGACAACCCACAAAGGATGAAGCTCAAAATGTCTTACTGTAATAACCATGGCGTAGCTAAGTATCTCGATCAGTTCTTGATGCATGAAACCCATATTCCTTGTCCCAAAGAAGCCAATTGATCTTGGCCCTTGTTGCTGTATCGCCAATAGCTCCTGTTGATATAACATATACATATAGTTACAGCCTAAGGCTAACAGATTGATACATAAGAGTTTATAATTTCCTTTTTAAGTTAAGGCTGAGCGGTGAGAGAGTAGTCTTACTTGTATGTAATCTACATCAGCGGCGGGTTTTAGCTCTGAAACTGCAACTGAACCAGATCCTTCAACGATAGCCTGAGCCTGAGTTGGAATCCGGAGCCCTGATTCTTCATCCGATTCAAGCCCACACGTAATGTGGTCATCTTCATTTCTCCAAACATCTGTCTTGTCTTCTTGCTCTCTCGTGTGTTCAGGAAAGCACTACACACAGCATATAAAAAACCAGAGTTCCTCAAAAGTAATTCATTAGCGAAAGCCGAAAACTACACTGCTTTGGGATATTTGTAAGAGAGACAAGCAAAAACTCTCAAAGGTCAAATCTTTAGCTTATATATACCTATCAATCACAAAGGAACCGCTATGACAATTCAACAAACCGATAACTTTTACATACCAAAAGTGATGTTCTTAGGAAAAGAAAATCTGAAGGCAATTTAAGTAAATCAAAAGGATGACTTTTTTTTTTTTTTTTTAAAAGAAAATAGAAACAAGCTTCATCAGCAATACTCTTAGTCCTATCTGAGTATGAGAAGACATTAAGTACAAGGTAAGATACGATGTAGTCTTATGAACACTAAAGGCTCAGAGATACGGATACAAGTAGAACCATCGACGTTTTTGATATACAGAACGAAATCTACGAATAAGTCAGCAAAGGCCATTGAAACTGGAGCTTACCTAACTACTACCATTGAAGACGAAAGCGATTTTGAATAATCAATGCGTCTCCACCATAAATACTAACACTTTCACGTAGACAAATCTAGAAATGGGGCAATTACAATCTTTGATGAAACAAAACATCGATCAATTCTAACACAAGCTAGCGAATTTCAGCACATATAGTCGGCGAGGTAATCAGACAATACCATGGGAATACACGGAGAATAGGATCTGGATCGCCGTATTTGCCGAGGGAAAAGCTGCCACTGGGAAGAACACGAGGTAGTAGAAGAAGAAGAAGAAGAAGAGGATCGGCGATTGAAATTAGGGTTTTGCGATCTGAGCGGCGAGGGAGCATGGGAATCTAGAGAAGGAGAAATCAAGGATGTTGTAAGAGGCTGAAGGAGCCTCAGAGGTAGAGACGAACTCATATCTGCCACAACAGTGTCTTCTTCTCGATGGATTTCAGAATTCTCTTATCTCTCCGCAGATATTTTGAGACAAATGAGAAAATCCTTCGGTGCTTGATTTCGAATTCGGGACTGTCTTCTCCCGTCGGATTGTATATTTCGTCGGGTTGAAGAAGAAGAAGAAGAAGAAGAAGAAGATAATGAACACAGAGAGCAAGTGAAAACAAACATAACAAAAGGAGGAATAATAAATATTTTTTTTTATTTAGTTTTAATTAGAGAATATTCCATTGCAGCTGTAAGTCCAATGAAAAATGATATTAGTGGCTAACATTGACTTTTCTGTTATGTGTAAAAACTGAAAAGCGAGGTAACTTTTTTCCCGAAAAAATATATCTAGTAATACAATTACACGTGTCAACATGTCTCTGTTTGAAGAAATCATTTGAAGAACCTGGAGAGGAAATACAGTTGCAAACTTTGCAATAAGAAGATTATTCTCTAATCATTCTTCTTCGGTCTCAGTTTTGCAAAAGAGCTAAAGAAAGATTGATATATAAGGAGTGAAGTGAAGGAGCTTAAGATGAAGATGAACAACTTATGTGTGTTACAGAGTGATTACTCATGAGTGTAGTGTAAATGAGATTTTGATTCAACAAGATTCCATCAAATGTCCCATCTTTTCTTCACTCGGAACATCAAGACTGAGGTTTTGATGTCATCTTGTGGAACTTGAAGCATGAACTGGACTTTCATCTTCATCGGCGTCGATTTTACTTTTCCAGCTTCATCCCCAACCTGCGACACATACATAACCGAAGCTTAGCTCAGGAGTGAAAGTGTCCTTACGTCTTCTAAGACAATTTATTAACCACATATTGTTAAGACCAGACTGTAATCAGATGACACATGACACAGTAGATGGTGAATGTTCTACATTGCCATGCATCATAATCGTAAGACAGACTAAAGTTTGATGCTTTACCCAGAGAGATGCCCAGCCAAGGCGTACATCAGAATCATAGCCAGCTTTGAATTTGTAGTCTTTACCATATGTGCGTTTGTACACAGCACTCCACATGTTTGAATCAAAGTTGTACCAGTAGCTGCATAGTAGTATGTCATCATGAGATTATGTGTCAATACAGAACTAATGTAGAAGATGAGATGGTTCTACGGAAAGAACAGAGGAGGAGGAGGAGGCACACTAACCTCAACTTGTCTGAAGGGCTAAACCGACGCTTGAATGCAAATGAGGCAGCGTTTGAAGGAAGGGAAATGCTTGGCATGAAAGACAATGCATCATCCTGTTATGAACATATAAAAGTAAGGCTTTTTGATGTCACATCCAAAAGATATTCTCTTACAACTGATAACACAGGAAGCAGAGAAGGAATCTCGTAAAAAGTCCAAACCTTATAAGCATATCTCAGCCTCAACTCTTCATCTGTGTATAGAGCGGAACAAACACCATTCATCACTTTACGCTTGAGGATCCCGTTAACAGACAAAACTCTGTTGCTCTTCTCCTCCTCCTCCTCTTCTTTTTCTTGTATCGAAACTTCGCCTAGTGGGAATTTAAGAGTCGCTCTTGGCTGCAGGAAGAGAAAACAAAGCGTTTAAAGGCAGCAACAAGTCGCAGAGTACTCGCAACCAAACAAGAAAACACTTTTCATGGAAATCGATGAAGTAAACTCTCGCAAATGCAAAAACAATGTAAGAGATGGGCACTCACGTAACCAATAGGGACAGGTGATGCAAGCTCGAGAGAGTAGCCAGGCTCAGCCAGATTTGCCTCCATAGCAACCTCTCCTTGTTGCGCCTGCAACAACATACGTGTGAATCTAAATATTAATGATAACAAAGTAAATCAACAAACAACACATAGTAGCAACCAACATAATCAAGGAGAAAACATTAATCCCAAAACTGTATAAGGAAATGTCAAAGTTTCTAAAGCTACAATATTTTGTATTTATAAAGGTTCAAAAGAGGAGCTTGGTCTTATCTGCGCCCAAATCGACAAAATGAGTCGCATTTTTATCAGAAAAGAAGCCAGATTTAGCTAAGTGTGATTAATGGGCAAGAAGTAGAGAAGGATTCAATCGTGTAGAGAAGTACCTTGACATTATGAAGAGCTCGGAGCTGAAGGCGAGGGGAAACGTCAACGGTGCTCTTGATGAAAGTGTTCTTCTCCTCGAGATCGTAGACAACGGAGAGGTGTTTGGAAGTGAGAGAGAGCTGAGGCTGAGAGACCTCGCGCTGTGAGTTGTTCTGAAACGACAGTTTGAGCTTCGCGAGGTTGTCGAAAAGCTTACAAGACAATTTGTTTACGAAGAGGAGACTGTCGCTGTCGAATTCAGATGTCACGCGGAGCTTCGGTCTGTTCACGCCCTTGAGAAATGGAAAAACGGAACAAGGCGGCGGAGGCGGTGGCGGCAGTTCCGAGGTTACCGATTGAGGGGCCTGCGAATGAGGAGGAGGAGGATGGGAAGTGGCGAGGCTAGGGTTTTGAGGAGATGGATCCGCCATTGAAGTGGATTTGAGAGAATCTATCGCAAAGTCGCCAACACGAGATTCAGGTGCGTAAGGGAAGAGTATGAAACGGACGGTTGTTGTTTTTCTTAGGCCGAAATGTTGATACGATACTCACGCGACTCACTTCTCTTTTACTTATGTTGTTGTAATGAAGAGCAGCTACCTTTTGTACAAATTATTTTGGCCACGTGTGTTACGGCATTTTCTTAGGTATATAGTGTTTACATGGTTTATTTGCAGAATCGATCATGTAAATTCATCGTACTGTTTTGTAATTAAGCTTCAAAGTTAGTTTATCTTGTGTTTATAACTTTATATCCATTTTTGAAAAGGTAATGGCTAAATGTATTTTTCTTTTGGTTCAACTAACATCAGTGACACAGACCAAACATGTCATTATTTCATTGTAGAAGCGTTTACAGAAACACTGAAACTCGTGTTTCATTACATTAACACTATATTGTCATCTCGTAAGGAAAAAGTTGTTTGCTTTGTTCTTGTAAGGTAAAGAGAATTGTCATTACAAAGATGTATTTTTTTTGAAGTAAGACAAATATAAAGTCTGCAAAACTAATCATTCCCCATGGGAAGGAGAAAGCTCTCTCTCTCTCTCTCTTTTCTTTTCTCTCTCTCTTAGTACCCTTCATAACCCCAAATCACCTCTTTGTAAAACAGCTCTGGATCAGTCAGTCTGAACCATGACTGGCTTTCCCCGTCCCATAGAGAATCCTCTGGTCCCATCAGGCATTCGTGGTCCAGGTGGTTGCTGCTTCCCCATGCCTGGTTGCTCCATGTTGTTCATTTGATTGTTTGAAGGTGGTGTTCCCATTTGATGATGATGTTGGTGGTGATGATGTTGATGATGATGATTCCCACGCCCATTGTGGTTCTGGTTCTGGGTTTGGTTCTGGTTTAGGTTCTGGTGTGGTTGACCTCTTCCTCGTCCCTTTCCCCTTCCTCGGTTACGCCCTTTTCTCTGCCCAGCCGCTTTCTCATTCCCTTGCTCCTCTCCCTGCTATGAGGTAAAGTTAAAGAATCATCCATGGAGAAAAATGCAGATCCAATAGCGTACTTGGTGTTAACTTACTATTGCCTGCTCTTGCACATGTGTATCCCATTCCCCAGAACACTCTTCAGACTGTTTCTCAATCGGCTGCTGCTCGGATGTTGTGGCATCTTCTTCCTCATGTTCTACTTCTACATCATGTCCTTTTCTTCCTCTTCCTTGACCCTGTTTTGGTTCCTTTGTCTGTATGATAGAATAATAACACATTAGGAACTGGCATCAACTTCCACAGATCTTAATCCAGACCCATGACATCTAACTCCCAGATTGTTCTGAACTGCTAAGCTAAGATATCTCGACTCTGCTCATTAGATTGAGGATTAAACGTGGTCTGTTAAAAGAAAAATTAAATCACATACCTGATGTTTTAGCATCAACCGGACTTTAAGACCGCTCCTCCAGTTTCCTGCTTCATTTAGTTCAGCAACCTGTACAAGTAACAAGCCTTCAGTTTATCACATCAGCCACATGATGGTCTTATGAACACATAGTCTGAAAATCTGAGTCCTTACTGCTTTCTCGGCCAGCTCAACTAGCTCATACTCGACAAAAGCATGGACCTACAAGAACATGTACAAGAAACATCAATTTTTCATCCTGTTAATCCCAAAAAATCAAGGAGAAAACAAAACCGCATGGATCTATTTTAGTTTACCTTGTTAGTGAAAAGCGAACCATCACTTTTGGCTGATCTTGCTGCTGGTGGAACACCACCCCCAGTGTTTTGTGGCTGGCAGGTACGGATGTTCTTCACACTGACAAATCAATTGATAAATTACTTTTTTTTTTAAAGGGGGAATGGTGGATGATCTATAAATGTCATTCTAGGTTTTTGTAACGTTTAACAAACACTAGTACCTTCCAACGGTTGAGAATATCTTCATCAGATTTTGGTAGCAATGATCCTCAGGTAGATTCTCAGCAATAACTATACGAGACTGGATATGATAAATTTATTAGAAAATCAACACAATCCAATTTCTTCACAACTTTAGAAAATCAGTATACAGAAATATCAAAACTTGTACAGCAGGAAGTACCTGGAGTTCTTCTATAGCAGCCTCAGTTATTGGATTTAAGCGTCTTACTTTCTTTCCATCTTCACTAACAACCTGTTCGATGACTCAAACGTTAGAAGACATTCCTTACATCTGAAGGATGTGCATAAATAGGAGATAAATGCAACAACAACAAAAAAGGAACAATAACATAAAGAACTCACAAGCTTTGTTGAGTTCTGTAACACTGCGACGAGCTGAGAATTACCACTGACGACAGTTTTAATTTTCTTGAAAGATGCAACGACGTGTATTGGCACTGAAATCACATTAACCCCATTATGGATTGGAAACAAGAATATTAACATTAACACTCTTGGAATACATATGATTTAGCAACAGACATCTTACCATATCCTTCGGGATCCTTGCTTATGAATCTCATCAGATGATCTGTTGTGGCCAAGTTCAAGTCGCTGAAATAGTATTCGACCTGAAGATGGTTTGAAAGCGTCAAGAACTTGAAAACCAAATCGGATCAAACTCATGTTGCAACTGGGAAAGAAGATCACTACGAGTCTTGAAAGAGTATCATGTCTGAATCTGACTTATAATCCATAAAGTAACTTGATCGTTCAAGAGATCGAAAAGCTCACCTGATTCACTATCTTCTGGACTGTATCTTCAGGCAAGCCAGTTTTAGAATCCATGGATACAGAAGCTACTGTTTCCGTCGTGTGATCGTTCTTAGATTCTCTCTTGTGATCTCTCCGATCGCCCTTCTTCGCAACCAAATCCGGCTCCTGCTCGCCACCGACACCACGCTGCTGGTAATCCTGATTCCTCACCGGAACATATTGCTGGTTCTGATGACGATTGTGATGATTATGGTGAAAGCGATGAGGATGGTGACTTTGAACGGGAACCAAGTGAGGCTGGATTGGGACAGGACCCAGTACCGGAACGTTGAATGGAGGCTGGTGGTGGAACATATGAAGCATACCGTGCGGCGGAGGAGGCGGGATAATCATCCTCGGAGGCTGCGGCAGCGGAGGAGTAGTTCGACCAGGTACGAACTCGGGAGCTCCGGCGTTGAGTCGACTCGAGGATAGAGACCTCAAGAGCGACGGATCTGAGGAAGAAGAAGCGGAAGTAGTAGAAGAAGTGGAGTGGGAGTGAGAGAGATCATCGGACTGAGGAGGAGGAGTAGAGGAATCTAGGGTTTGCTGATCAGCCATAGATGACGATTGAAGTAGAGAATAACAGTGATAGATGAAGAATTCCCAAGCAAATTAGGGTTTTTTCAGAGGAATTGAAGTGGGAATCTTCTTACAGGCGAGAGAGAGAGAGAGAGAGAGAGAGAGAGAGAGCAGATCCCCGGAGAAGGGGAGAGACCAAAAAGAGGCAAAGTCTCTTCCTTTTCTATGTTTGGAGAGAAGTTCTCGGTCTCAAAGGTCGTCGCTTGTCGTGTATTTATAGATGGGCTTTTGCTCTTATCGACAATAGGACAGTCCCAGACAAACTTTCACTTGCTGGTCCTTAAAATTACAATTCCATAACAGTTTCTTTGTTTCTACAAATTATTTAGTCTCAGAGCTCATCACTCGTCAGTCAACAGACAATAAATCAGACAGAAGAGCTTCCCACGATGTCGGATTTAATGATCCTGGACATGTTGGTCGAACCTGCTTCTGATGGCTTCCCAGAATACGGGAACTGCGATGTTGTCCGGGACTTCTTTAAACGATGGTAAGTAGTTCAAGTCTACTATCACATGATCTCCTGTCCCTTCTTGAATCTGTGGAAATCTCAGGATAGAGACAAAACGTAAGTACGTCGAGTCTGAAACCTGGCTACATAGAAAGGGTTGTCTTGTGATCAGATGATACTTACAACCACGTCAAAGCCCAAGATAGTGAGATCAAGCTTCTTTCTGAGCCACTTCGCTGCTTCTGTAACCAGTTCCAGATCAATCTCATCTACCGGATTCTGGCTTGCGGAGCCAACTGGTAAAGATTTTAAGCTGTGGAGGTAATGAAACAAACCAAAGTTACAATATTTTAGCAAGTGATGAAGGCTTATGTGTGTCCATGGAAGTGCAATGAAATCTACCTGTCGAATAGAATTGGTCGGAGACCGTTTTCTTCTGCTGATTTCTTCAGACTGGAAGAACTAGGGATAGATTTCTTGACCGCGTGAAAGATCTTTTCCCCCAAGACGTAAAACTTGAAGATCCTGGATGAATGATCCACATACTCCTGCAAATCAATGGTTGGCAAATTTCTTTATGCCATACATCTTGATTTAGTAGTGTTTCCCCTAGAATTAGGGTATCTAGGTTACGTTATGACTTTACTTGGATAATGGCAGGAACAGGAGTGTTCAAATCCTTAAAATCCTCGACTCGGAAGACAATGGCCTGAGTGAAAACACATGAAAAATGAGGGAAAATGTTTTGTTTCACTGTGAAAAGAGAAACAGAAAATTGCGACAGATATGAAAAGAAGAAGGAAACTGAGAGATAATCACCATGCTGTGAGCATCAGCAACACCACAGGCAACCTGAGGTTTCACAATACATGGAAAAGAGAGTCCAGCTCTTGACAAGTTTTGAGCCAGATCCGGTTCATTATAGCTGTCAATCTGCAGATAAGGAAAATCATCTTGTGATACTATAATGGAGTAGTCAGAGGAAAGACTTGATCGAGAGAAATGAGAGGATTTTTAAAACCTTGAGAAAGCAGGCGCCTCTAATCTTTCGTCCTGCTGCAGTGAGGTCCTCTAACCCAAGAAGAATATGTTGCATCTTGAGTCGGTCCAGGACAGGATACAGATTTTGAATAGGGTCGATTACGGCAGAAGCATTTTGATCTTCCATATACCTGTGCAAAGTACCTTATATCATTATACAACCCTGTACGGACAGCTTTTAACAAGGTTTCTCATATTTGTTGTGATATAACAGAGCGCTAGACTGAAACCGTAGAATAGAGAAAGCTTACTTTCGCAGTTCCTCCATGCCGGCAGAGAATGTAACTTCAACAGATGATTCTGAGTCGGAGCAGTTCAGTTGAATGGACAAGATTTCGTCTGTTGCTTTGTGGAAAATGATATCAGCGTGCTTGAGTTGAGATGAAAGAGGCAACTCAAACACGAGGGGTAGAAATATCAGCCCGTTTGAAGTAGGATACATTGGTAAAGCACCCCTCTAAAGAAAATCAGAAAAAAATTAACAAGGTAAAGCATATATATATATACGATCAGCATGCAGTGAGCCAGCAAGTAAGCATTGATCACCATAAAGCTAATGTTTTAAAGTCGAATTTGCAAAATGGTTATTACCTTGGCAAAGTCCTCTACGCGAGATGGCTTCATGACGTAAGCAACTATCGCAGCACCATCACCCATTGCCTGTTTTTGAGAGGTAACATCAAAAGGGTGATTAAGATACTAGCACCTTGCAGGACATAAATTAAGTAAAATGGACAAGGAAGAAAATGAAGGTGTGATATGAAGCAACTCAGCAGCATTTTTTAACGTTGTTTAGTTCTCGCCTACAATTAGTACTTTCTTAAAGTAGATCAGCTCAGTTCTCAGCTTGAAGCGTCGTCTAGTATAAACCAACAGCCCGACACCAACGTCAAGATATACCTTTTTGTTCAAGCAGCAAATAGTCATCGGCAGCTCTTCGAGCCTACGGATATGAACCATACTAGGATCCTCACATGAACCGCCTTCTACAACATCTAGAAACCCATAAATGAAGCGCCTCATAAAATTCATCAGTACAAAAGGAAACACTCGTTTATGAGAGTTCATACTTCTACTTAGGAACCATCTTTAAAACATTCGAAAGAGTAAACATATATGCGGAAGCTTATCTTCATCACTAACCAAGCACAATAACTAGCTGGCTGGGACTTAGTTCAGGCAGTGTCTCTTTTTTCCTGCTTGAAGCAACATACAGAACACTGCCATCATTATACCATGCTTTGAGAGTATCACCAAAGGTAACGCTTGTCTCTAAAGGTAAGCAATCGATGGAGTATTCAGCTGCCGTTTTCCTCAGTAAATCCACCTACAAGATTGTAAAGACCAATCAATCTCACCGCAAAAGCATAGATTAGACCTGAACAAACTCATTGTCTTAAAACATAGAAGAAACTCAAGTTGAAATATTTATTCCAAACCTTGTTTTCCGGAAGATCAAGCCTATATGATAACCCCTGCAAAAACAAAAAGTCCAGATTTTTCATTAGATTAGAGGAAGAAAAATAAATGTATGAATGATAAGTGTAGGCGATATGTATGGAAAACGATATATTGTGTAACCAATAATACCATAATTACTCTTGTAAATCCTATATATATTGTAATTCACACATCTAATAGAGAATCATTCAGCATTCATCTTATAATAAGTGACCATGAAAAGAACAACAGGTTAATAAAATTCGATCGAAAAGTCAATCCTTTTCACCTCGATCCTCAATTTTCTAGAGATTCCATTGCAAAAACTGAAGCCCAATCGAAGAATCAATTCATAGTTTCCAGGACGATTCACTCATTTCCACTCAAATAGTCCATAAGCTTCGCATGCAAAGGCTTTACTTGCAGAAATCCGAAATGTAGAAGGAATAATGAATTGGAACTGAGATAGCTATTCAATGGATCGTTACCGTTCGGATCATAGAATAACGAAGCAATCGGAGAAGAGACGGAACTGATTCTCGAAGCCGCGGCGTCGAACCTTCACTCTCGTGATCGAAAAGCACAGATTCGTCAAGTAAAACCCCTTTCATTATTCTTCCTCCCATCTCTCTCTCTCCACTGAAGAAAAAAGAGAGAATAAATCAATACGGTGGCGATTAGCCGTTGAACGGGATCGAAGAAAGTGTTGTCCTTTAGAGAACTGACCGATTTACCCTTACTGTCGTTAAATGCTCGAAGTAAAAGTTGAGGGGTTTAATCGGTAATTAAGAAAAAGACAAAAGCAAGCCTCCTCCGTCAAAGTTTCGATCTTTCACGTTTATCAATGTCTGTTGTTTTTTTTCTCTACGCCTCCTCCGCCAAAAAAAATTCGTTTTAAAATCTCAAATCAAGCAGATCGGAAACTGTGAGACTGAGACTCAACGGCAAAAGAGTTTTTTTAGGGCTTCCGGTCGAATGTCCGGAAAATGAACCGGGTTACGTCTTCCTCAAATGCCCAATCGAAGAAACTCCCTCAGTCGCAGTCTCAGCCGCCGGCGAAGAAGGAGAAAATCCTAAAAAAGGAGCGACTTCCGGTGAACCCTTTGAGAGGTCTCAGTACAAGAAGCTCTGGGAGTAGCAGCTGCAGCAATGGCAGTGGTTCTGGGTCAACTTCCGGTGAAGCCTCCAACGGTTGTCACAGGTTCTTGCTCTCTCATTCTTTCTCATCGTCTTCCTCCACTTCTTCTTCCTTGGGAGCTTTTACTCATGGAGCTGTGAAATCTGTGGCTAAAACCCCCAAATCTGCTCCAGCTTTGAGTAAACCCTTAATTAGAAAGAAGCCAAGGCTTCTGGGGGAGACGAAGCTGAAATCCACAGTTGCTGAGAAGCCTCAGAGATGTAAGACAAACCCTAGAGCTGGAAACAAACTCACTGGTAAGATTACCGTGAAACCTGAAAAAGTTTCTGTTTTGAGGAAACAATCTTGTGCTTCTAGAGATGTTAAGCTAAGAGATCGACAAACTTCGTTTAGGGTAAATGACAGCATTGCTCAGGTTACTACTCCTGTATCTAAACTAGGAACCGGATCTGATCTGATTTATAGAGGCAACGGTGAAGCTACGGATGATGGTAGACTAAGCAACAGTAACAGCAGTAATCAAGAGAGGACACCAGTCACACCACCTGTTCAAGCATCGGTATCTCCAGAGATACAGTTTGGATCATCGTCTATGAATTTGTCAGCATCAGCTCAGTCACAAGCTTGTTATGCTGCTGGACATTTACTCTCAGGTGTCAGTGATAAGAGGAAATGCAAGCCTAAAGGGTTACTCACTGTGGGTGAAAATGGTTTCGAGGTTGGTAAGGGCAGGATACTGAATGATTCTGATGAGTTTGATGAAGAAGATTTTGGTGTTGGTGGAAGTTATGATAACATCTCTGTGATGCCTTTGCCTGACGATGCGTCAGTGCAGTGGCTTTTATCTCCTTGTGATGAGGAGAAAGAACATGACAAGGAAACGTATGATGATGGTTTCTCTCAGTTTCAGCAGACTGTTGAGTGTGTTGGCCATGAGAGTCCTTCGCCTTCGCCACTATCAGATCGTAGTACTTCTTCAGATTTATGCAACATTAGCAGTGGCAGAAGTCTTTCACCCATGGATATATGTAGAGAGACGGTGAGAAGGACCAGTTCTTCGCTTTCTCCAAATGAGCTTTCTCGGTTCAGGAGATTTATGCAGCTTTCATCCTGTGAGGGTGTAGCTTCAGCACTCGACGCTACACCTACGTGTGAGCTAGATCCTCCTGAGCATCTGAAAGGAAACAAAACGTCTCCATTATCTGTTGATACGCTAGGAAGCGAGAATGTAATTCAAACACCAGAATCCAACTCGAGCTTCGACAGTTATCTTGGACTCTTAAGTTCCCAAGCCGAAATCCATAAGAAGCTTGAGGTTGATTCAGATTTGGAATCAGTGACAGCGACTCTTGAGTCCGCCAGATTGTCACCAAGGAGCCATGCTTCACCACGGGAACAGAGCATTTCAAGTTTCAACTTTGAGACTTTGGCCACATCTTCTGAATCCATAGATCTATCACAGTTCCAGAGAAATTTAGCTGACAGGAGTTCTCGTCATTCTCATGCTACACGGGATAGAGTGTCCAGGACAAATGTGATTACAGATACTGAATGTGATCTTCGAAAGAACAGAGAAAGTGTTGCTCCTCAGGGAAAAGGAAGAGAATTGGTTCAATGCTCTGCTGCGGAGTCAATAAGCACTGATGGTGGTGGTCTGGCTTGCTCTGAAGATTCAAATTGGATGTCATGTTACAAGAGTTAACTTCCTAGACGATTAGTTATAGCTTTATCGGTTTCTTTGTATGTAGGTCCACGATAGCAGGTAACTAGTTGTTGTGTGCTTTTTTCTTGTTTTCTTCACATTTTCCACTTATAAACAGCAATTTTTTTTTGACAAATAAAATTTATGTTCTTCAGTTCTCAAACACACAGGAGAAGGATTCATACTCGTTTATATTCTTGTTTTTTGGGTTCTTCTATAAAGAACATTGTTGTTTCAGCATCTTTCAAATGAAAGATAAGATACCTTTCCTTTGCTTCAGGTTTTGGAAAAAGCAAAGTCTTTGAGAGAATATATAGTCTTTCGGTAAATCACTTAATGTTCTGTTGCTCTGTTCTCAAACTACAGGAGAAGGATTGAGGAATCACACCGATTATAATCGGGATTGCTATATTCCTATCTTTTGGTTTCTTCTAGAAAAGGACATTCTTGTTTCAGTGTCTTTTAATAAAAGTTTGATACTTTAAAGTTAAAACTTTTCCTGATACTTTTCTTTTGCATCAGGTCTTTGAGGGGAAACAAAAAAAAAGGCAAATCTTTAAGGAGAACACAAAGGGTTCTTCTAAGCATCTCTTACTTATTTCGGAAACCACACATCATCTTTTAATGTCATGCTGATCAATAGCCTATTCATACTTGCTATATTCCACATATTAAAACATTTCTTTTTGGAATTTGTTTTGCTGATTGATGCGTGAATGATAGTATATAAATATTCTTCCCATTCTTGTTCCTCTTAACAATATTATCAGCTATAAACCAATTCGAGGAAGAATGTCAAGCTATGCCAAGACAACATATGGAAGAAAGAGCAAAGATGTTGATGAAGCTTCCGCAATTTACCAACCGAAACAGAGTGATATCACCGGTAAAATCATCATCTTTACCCTTGTAGGGCTTTGCATTCTGCTCTCCCTCTTCATCAGCATCGGTTTCTATGTCATAGCCAAGCCACTTCAAGCAAGCTTGACATCCGTGGCTTTAAGAAACCTCAGGTACAACAACAATACATCATCATCATCGCCTTATTTCAACGCAACACTGGTTATGGAAATTAGAATTGAGAATCCGAATTTCGGCTTCTTTGAGTTTCCCACAAGTAAAGGAGATATCTTGTACAACGGTCTTGTTGTTGGTGAAGTGAAGATCAATGGACAACGAGTGGCTTCGTATAGTGCCGTAAGAAGAGAGGTTAGAACTGAAGTGAGTTACAGAGAGAACCAGGGATCATCTGTTTGGTTCAAGAACGATGTAAAGAGAGGGTTAATTATCCTCAAGATCGGAGCTAAACTGAGAGGTGAAGTACACTTGAAGGCTTTGAACAAGAGAACAGTTCATTTGAAGTGTTTGATGTACCTTAATCTGATAGATGAAGTGATTCAACGTTTGTGGTGTAAATGAACCTCTCTTAGCTTAGTTTTGGGGTAACTTAATTTTTTTTTTTTTTACTTTTTTCTGTAGTTTGTACTAAGATGTTTATAAGTGGATATTGAAATAATTTAGCCATCATAAAATTGATATTTTATAGTCTATAGACTCTATACTCTAGTCTGTAGCTTGATAGTCAAAGAGACAAAATTTAGAATCAGTATATACATTTTGTCAAAGTAAAATTCGGATTTGTTTTGTTTCTACATCATAACGGTAAAGGATTTGAACTGAAGTTATTTAAGTAATATTTAAAAGTTCACAACAAAAATAGATGTTGACAAGTGAGTTTTTATTTCCCATCATCAAATAAAAATGTTGATTCTGAACGGTTCAATATAGTTTGTGATTGTTAGCGTAAGAAGCATCATCACCTTTGTTGTCACTCTTAATTAAACTTCTTAGTTTTTTTTTTTTACTAATCTACGTCTATGCATCACCATCTATCATTTTTCCGAAGACGAAACTGTCTTTAATTTAATTTTGTTTTGTTTTCATTTATTTCTCGGATTTTTAGTGAAAAGGTAACTTTGATTTTATATCATAACAATGATTAGGTATCAATACTTAAGCAAGCTACATTCCTGTCCACAAAGAAGTATCGTTAATTATACGTGCATGATGCATCTCAAATTCGCTTCTTGAGTTTATGCAATGTTAAGACTTTACATGAGTTATATATATATATATATATACTTTTCTTCAGTTTTACGAAAAGAAAGAGAAGCCTACTTCAAAGAACCTGAGAAATGAAAGAATAGGGGATCGGTTTGGAATACGAAGGAACGTGAAATGATGTTTTGTGTTTTTAGGTGTTTTACTTCGTTTACATTCTACAATTTATTTCTTGATTTATTGGTACTATAATGTTTTTAATATTAGAACCATACATATATATAATAGTGACATGATATTTCATTTATATTTTTTGATTTTTTGATCTATCTTTTTAAAAGTTACTATTCAGTCTATGTGTTTTTTTATTCTTGCAAACTGGTATGAGTTTAAAAGGTCGTATCGTGTAGTAGTTTCAAGTTTCAACTAGGATATGATATAAAATCTTGCTATTGCAACTATCTAGATCGTGACAATATAATCTATAAACAAGTAATTGGATTTAAACCAATATTGTTAGTTTGTTACCATATGTATCTATAAGCTCTAGGGTATGAATGAGCGTACGCAAAGAGAAGATACAAGATCATGATGTAAACTCATGACTATCTCCTAGTTACCTTTTCATATCAACAAATTAGAAATACTCGACGACTACGTTCATTTTGGAGGATTAGTAGGGTGATAAATTTTCAAAAAGAAAAAAAATTTCACAAAGTTTCGATTTTTGGCTAGACACAAAACACCAAGTCAAATTAAGATGAGGATGGAGAGAATAACGTGTCCAACAATTAAATCATTTTTAAAAGGAAGTGACGGGTTTGACTTTTTTTAGGTCTCAATCACAAACCCTTTATTTATTTATTTATGCATCAACTGTTAATGATTTACAGTTTACTGTTTTAAAGTTTGTTGTTCTTTATCAATGATCAAACACTTTTCTTCCGTATAAATTTTATATACATATGCATCAATGATCACACACTTTTCTTCCATATAAATGTTTTGGGCGTATATACCAAACTTAATGATACGATACCAAGTAATCAGAAGAAAAAAAACTAAAGATAGTCCAAAAAAAATTATAATATTTTGTGCAGCTGTTGAATTCCAAACATATTATAAAAAGATTCCAACTATTACAAATTGACATTAGAAATCAAATGGGAGAAGCAATAAGAAAGAAATATACAAAAGAAGAAAATGGAAGGTAACTAAGCACCAACCCAAACAAAACCTTTTTCTTCATCTCTCAAAATATCCACAAGAAGAATAAAAATAGAGAGTTAACAATGGATGGTTTAATACCAATGGCGTTTAGGGCCGTCAAGAAGAGCCTAACTCGCCGTCGGTACGAGCGTCTCTCCTCCTCCGCCACAACTCGTGACTCTTACGACTTCGTTTCCGATGTTGAAATGAACGTCGACGGTCACCATCGCCGTCGCTGGGGATCCGTCGGAGACTTCTCATCGTTATCAAGCCGAGAAACAAATAGAAGCGGAAGGATAGCCCTGGAGAAGGGCTCTTCTCCGCCGCGGGAAGGTCAGCTTGTGAGATACAAAAGCCATCGATTGTTTTCTTGCCTCTCAGGTCATTAATAAACTATACAAGAAGTTTTTCATTTTGTTTCGTCTGCATTACAAAGATGTCTGATATTACAATCATGTACATATTCGTTGTTTTGTGATCTTCTGATGTCGATGATATATATACATGTAAAGTTTATACAGTTTGGGGGGGATTTTGTTGTAGAAATGTATATTTTCTGGTTTTTAAACGATAAAGTTTATACAAATGAGCCAAATTCGATAACTATAATTCCAATCCAAAGAAAGTTCTTAGTTGACCTAATCAAGAGATTACAAAACGATTTGATTGCGACCTCTATAAGGTTGTTTGATGATAGATTTTTGCGAAAATGTACACAAACAAGCAATTTTACTTTCCTTATAGCAGCAGCCAACTCAAAACCAAAATTCCGAATAATCAAAAGAACAAAGAGACCCATCATCGACTTTGTCTTGTTCCTTTGGTGTGGCCACCAAATCAATAACTGAACAGAGAGAACAAAGAAGACAATGCAGAGTACTCTGAAAAAGCTATAAACTTTGACTAATTCTACAAAGTGACAGTGCGTCTGTAGAGAACTTCATCGTCACTCTCATCTTCTTCCTCATTATCAGACACAACCTTACCACCAGGCATATCTAACTTCCCACCCATATCGAACACTGGACCTTCAGTATCAGGATCGATAAAGTTACCTTCAAGCCGTTCCTCAAATCTTTGGTCGCTGCAATTGAGGAACCAGTTCAATGAACTCCTGATTCCTTTGCTCTGTAGCTTCTGGTACCTCGGTTTGATCCTCGACTCCAAGCTATAAGTAAAATACTCTGGATACTCCACTAGCTCCTTCATTGGTCTACCCATCTCCGTCTTGTAAAAGTAGTAGCTGTTCTTCATGAGTTCCACTCGGGAACAAAGGATCTGAGGACACCTCACAACCATTTTCGCAATGTCCTCGAGCTGAAACGCACGTCCCAAGAGAAACTCAACGGGTTTCATTATCACGTTCTGCTTGAGGCTTACAATCTGCGGCATTCTCTCGACCACTCGAGCGAATCCTTCAGGATCAATCTTGAGCTTCAAGCTAAAGAAGTACTGTTGCGTAGACATCTTGGCCTTTACAGGTAACCCGAGAATCTGAGGGTACTGTGCTATAACCAAAGGTAGCATCTCTCTCTTGATGCCGAAACTAATCAAGCAATCCACATTTGGTTTAACAGTCTCCTCGAGACTGTATCCGATGATGTATGCACGTTTCTCTAGCATCCTAGCCACGATCTTCTTCGGCAAACCGATTGCAATTAGATAATCTACAAGAGGTTTGATCATGGTTCCAACTCTCATTCCCAAGAGATAAGGATACTGAGTCACCATTGGACCAATGTCCCTAGGACTCACACCAATGCTCACCAAATAAGCAACCGATGTGCTCATCGTGCCTTCGAGCTTAAACCCTAAAAGCTCTGGATACTTCATCAGGACATAGCCCAGATCTTGCTTCTCCACATCGAGCCCTCGGAGAAACTTGACCACAGGGGCAAGCTCAACGACCACACTCGCGTGGAGAACCTGAGGATAGTTCTTAACAAATTCCCCTAATTTCGACCTGGAGATTCCGATTTTCTCTAGGTAAGCCAAGACAGGGATCAAATTCTTACGCACGCTGCAGCCTAGCATCAAAGGGTACTCATTGATGTCGTCTATCGTTAGCCCCAGCTTCTGTAAGAACTCAACACGCTCGCACATGACTTCGATGGTGGAAGGTAGCTCGATACTCTCTAATTCGTCGGTGATTATGCCTAACCCCTTGAGGTAATCGCAGATTTTGACGCGGTTCACGAGCTTCTCTTTCTTCCCTTGTACGACTCCCCATGTGACGGTGGGCATCTCGTACTCCGGGAACTTGGAAGATTGGGTTGCATAGTGAGAAATCCGAGAAATCGAACAAGGGTTTTGAAACTGGGGGATATGAGGAGGATCTGGGTTTATCAGGGTTTTAGTCTCAGAGGAAATAAACGAAAGGATTAAGCTCTGTCTTCTGATCAAAGATAAGAACTTGTTCCTCCGGGGAAGAAGATAGCTCATTCTGGAGAAACCCAGAAGACTGGTGTCGAAGAAGATTACGACTATGCAAAAATAAGCAAATGGGAAAATTGAAAAAGTTTCTCTTTCTCGGTTCGAAGGAAGAGGAGAGACGGGTGAAGAGAGAGAAGCCCTAAACTCTACAGAGAAATTTAACTGTTCATACTTGATGATAGGTGAAAAAAAGTCAAGTTTTTTTAACTGTTGACATTTTGGACCTTTCATAAAACTGCTCAATTAAAATAGATAGATGTTTTAGTGATAGTGTGACACATTGTTGAATTCCATTATTTGGAACGAATCCACTAAAAATTTATCGGAATCCACTGATCCGAAGATCGTTGTTCAGAAATTTTGGAGAGTTTTTTTTATCTACAAAGACTTCAATGATCCAGAAAGAAGAATAACATTGAAGGTAGAGATGAACAATACAACGGTAAGTTCCTGTATATACCAAAGAAAAGCTACAAAAAAAAAAAAAAACGACCCTGGTACTGGTAGTTTCATAAGCCTGTCGTAAAGGCAGAAGAAGCGAGAACCAAACATCGAATGTTCATAGCTGATGACTTGGTAAATCTATCTCAGCTCTTCAAGAACCACAGTTCGTTCAACGCACCGACAAAACCGGGAAGCTCAACGCATGTTTCCCTCTCTCAAAACATCAATCATGTTGTAGATTCGCTGGTCTGCTTTCAATCGAATCTGCATTTCACAAACAATCATCATCGCTAGGTGGGTTTCAGAGAAAACTGAGATTAGATCTTGGCAGTATCATTGTAAGTTTTAAAACCTTTTTGGCAAGGAAAAGCACGGCGTCGACGGTACCCTCAGCGTATATTGATCTGCCACAGACATTGTGCTGGAACTCGAAGGAGACACTGCAAAGAAATCACAAAGAAAAACGTAGCTAGTTATGGAACAGACACACTTTTACAACAGAGATCGGAAAAGTTATAGATAAGAGTTGTCTTAGATATTTTGCATTACGTTTCATCCGGTGATGTCAAGTGGTAAAGATGGAAAGCGTGGCCAGAGACATGCTCTTCGGGAACACCCACCATCTCGATTTGCTGTTTTGGATCCCGAATCAATTGTATCTACCACAAGAATTTGTATACACACATCAAAATTCATATTCCCAAGAAACAAATAAGTCTGTTGCCGACATGTACGAGAACAGAGGACGACCAATGCACCTGATCCATGTCGTAAGAAACACCCAATTCCTGGAAGCAAGAAATAACAGCTTTTGCTGTTCCGGATGCATCCAATTTACTAGCTTGATGAGACTCCATCACCTACGTATAGATTGGTAGGTTGATTACACGTAGCAAGAAGCAATATCAAAGTAATAGAGAACTCATGTATAACAAAAGTAAGAAAAGTACATCCAAGGAATAACCAGAAAAGGCTCCAGGAAACTGCTCAGCCATGATCTCCATAGCCGCAAGGAATGCAACAACCTAATGAACCAACAAAGCACTGAGACATGAGCTCAAAGATCTTAAATTCACAATAATTTATACCAGAGACATCCGAGTACACATACCTGTTTACCCATCTGCGGGGAAATCACAGCGTAAATCTTTGCTTCTTCAACAGTTTCATACAGCTTGTTCCTATCTCCACCAGTTGTTCCCATCACGAAAGGAACACCTACTTTGCTATACAGCTCCGCGTTATCTACATTTTTCCCAAACTTGAAATTAACAAACAACAACACAAGAAAGGTTTTTCACTCAATCAGGGAGCACAAGGATAGAAATGAAAGATTGTGGGAGTTACCGTTGACTGCAGAGGGAATCGTGTAGTCGACAACAATTAGCCCCGGGTGCTTCTCAAACACTGAAGAAAGAACTTTCTCTCTGTCTGTAGGACCGTGCACGGTAATCTCCTTCCCACAGACCTCCACTGTCTGGCCAGCCTCAGCAGCAGATCCAAAGGACGTCGGAACGATGTTTACTCCCGCAGCTTCTGCTGCTTTGATTACAGCTTTCCCCATTTTGCCACTGCATCCATTCACCTGTAGCAAATTCCCCATTTCAAACTGTTTATTTGACCTACAAGATTCCTACTGAATCGAAGTAAAGGCACAACCTTTGACATTCCTACATTGTCTAACTATGATGGGAAATGTAAAACTCCATGAAATCACAATCACCAGACAATCTCATGCAAAGTCAAATCTCACAACTCTTAAAAAGGGGGAAATAAATTAGATCATCCTATACCATGATGGATATGCCATTTCCAGGCAAAGCGGACTTCACGACCTCCTCACCGGAAGACGCCGTCGTACTCATGGATAAAACCACCGGAAGACGACGTGTCCCACTGCCCAGGAGGCTCACACGGCCTTTACCGCCTTTTCCTACCGTCTGATGCGTTCTAGAAGCAAATGCGAGACGCGGGACTTCTGCGCGATGAAGAAACACACTGGAAGACGCCATTAACCTGTGATCAAAACGTTTACTTCAGTAGATGATCTTATCATCACTATCAATCAAACCGAAATTCACACTTGAAATTCGTAGAATCGAAATGGTACCAGTTCGTAGCCATATCCTATGATTCAGGATTCTCGACGAAAGTTTACTTCTTTGTTGCGACAGGTAAAAGTCAAAATCTTCCACTTTTGTCTGAAAATTCCGGCCGGCGAGAGATTGGGATTTAGGGTTTATATCTTCTTCTCATATCTGAGCGAAAATAGTGGATTCGGTAAAACCGGAAATTAAAAGCTAAACCGGGAGGCCTCGAACCGATAAGAGGTCTAAGGGAAGCTTCTGCTCGAGAGAGAGAGGTCAACTAATAACTAGCACGTTCCTTCCCAGCCTCACTCACTCCCTACGCCCAATCTCAGCGTCTGAGACCATCTCAAAGGATCCAACGAACGAAAATGGAGTCGTTAGCTTCGCCGCCGTGCCTCCGCCTAACTCCGACATCACGCCGTCAGATCCATTCGCGTCAATCTTACGCCGCCTGTTATACTCACGGTGGCTCCTCTGCAATCAAATCCAATAGCCTCTCATTCTCATCATCCGCATCCGGTATGCTTGCCTTCTTTTGCACTTTTCTTATACAGCTCAATCGAATTTTCGCAATCCCGTGATGAGATTTTCGCATCTGTGTTAGGTTTTGCGTCTCCACTCACTTTAGAGAAGGAGCTACGCTCTTCATTCGTGCAGACGGCGGCTGTTCGCCATGTCACTGGGTCCCTTATCAGAGGAGAAGGTCTTAGATTTGCCATCGTGAGTTCTCCTTTCAGCAAAGTCTTAGCTTTCACAGGCTTTGTTGATTCTTATAGATTCTCTCAGTGATAAATATACAACGGCAGATTTATTCCCTACTTAGATTCGGTGACTTTGTTCTGATATTAGATGATTTCTAGTGAAATGGAAAAGTTAGAGATGTCATTTGAGTTGAAGTACTTCAAATTTTCCTTTTTTAGGTTGTTGCTCGTTTCAATGAGGTTGTGACAAAGTTGCTTTTGGAAGGAGCCATTGAAACTTTCAAGAAGTATTCAGTCAGAGAAGAAGATATCGAGGTATAGTCTTAATCCTGTAAATATCGTAATATTGAATCAGAACTAAAGATGGGAGCTTCACATTCTTGGGGAGCTATTGTATATCTGATGCAACTCAAGCTAATGAAATTCTTTTCCATCAGGTTATATGGGTTCCTGGGAGCTTTGAGATAGGTGTTGTTGCGCAGAATCTTGGGAAATCAGGAAAATTCAATGCCGTTTTATGTATCGGTGCTGTGGTATGGTTTTTGCTTTAAACAGTTCTCAGGTCATCTGATGGTGCTGACACGTGTTTTAGAGTTGGATTTTGATCTGCATTTTGTTGTTGTTGTGGTTAGATCAGAGGAGATACCACACATTATGATGCTGTTGCCAACTCTGCTGCATCCGGAGTACTTTCTGCTGGCATCAATTCAGGTTTATCTCGATATTCATTTGCCGGGATATGCATTTTTAGACAATACGTATGTAACATTGTTTTGAAAAAAGAGAAAGATTGGTTTTTATATACCCATACCTCAAAGAGCTGTTTCAAATTTGCCTTTTTCGGATTTTGGACTATTAGATTCTTTTTGTTCTAGCTGTTCAGTCTCTGTTCAAGTCATCTCCTCTTGCATTTAGTTTAAAATTTGCAGTAGCAGTAACTAAAGCATATTGTTCCCAATTTGCAGGCGTTCCCTGCATATTTGGTGTACTGACATGCGAGGATATGGATCAGGTTAGTTTTGTTATGCAAGAGTTGTTGATATATATTAGCTTATTCATTATAATGGATAAACACTGAGTTTGTTACTATTGTTCTTAATCCGAAACTCTAGGCTCTGAATCGATCTGGTGGCAAAGCCGGCAATAAGGGGGCTGAAACTGCATTGACGGCGGTAAGAATTATCATGATTCAATCCTTTATTCTTAGAACAAGATTGTAGAAAGTCCTGAGTATTCAGTCCACTAAGCAAATGGTTATGCTGTCATCAGTTGGGTTCTTGTCTCTTTGGTAAAGCCTTTACATTTTCTCTCCTTTTCTTTTTGCAGCTCGAGATGGCGTCGTTGTTTGAGCACCACCTGAACTAGATGCTCGTTCCATGGATGAACAATGATCACGTATGAGAACCTCTTTGCTTTGTCGCATTTGGTTACAATCCAATCTCCGAAATTGTTTGTACCGTAAAGATTGTCAAAATGTTTTCTTTTACCTTGCTTGGTGAACAAATATTTAGACGTTTTTTTGTAAGCTTCTGGTCTGTTTCTGATTCGTGTAATAATAATTCCTCTGAATTTTGGGGGCGAGTGGGCTTTTCTTGTCCAAACGAAAATGTGATCTTCTTTGTCGTAATATCTTGAAATTTAGGTGTCGAAATGGAATTACAAGAGCCTTGTATAAAGGCCAATGGTGACCTTACACGTGAAAAGTTTGTCGGCAAGCGAAGATTACGCGTCACATTAATTAGTTAATATAGTTCAACGAATCAACCAATTCCACAAACTTCAATCATTTGTGACTCTTCCAAGCACTCTCGTCTGTCTCTGCGTCTCACATTCATCCAACTCTCCAGGTAAATTCAAATCCTCTAGATTTTCTTCTGATCGTTTGTTATTCGCACCTCTGATCTGATCCGAAAACAAAAGGAAGAAGGTGATGATTAGATCGAGCTCATGAATGATGGTCTCTGAATTTTGCTGATTTTGCCCGATCTGTTTCACATATCGCTTGATCTAACCGTATCCTGTTTAGATTGAATAATCGAATCAGCGTTTTCTTCTGTTTTCCCCATGTATCCACTTCATTCACGTGATCTGATCATTGTTGCTTACTCCAGAGATGCAATGTATGTTTTTGTGGTTCAGTTTTATCATCTAGTTGATGAGATCTACTTTTGATGCGAGTTCTCGATGGAAAAGAAACTTTCTTTGTCATTTCTCGTTAAGCTGACTGTGTTTTCTTAGTTTGTTTTGTTGCTGTTTGGTTTGACTGTTTCAGCCATTGTTCTGATGTATCTTTCTTAAAGTTTGTCTGTTCTTTGATAGTGTCTTAACCTTTTGTTTCTGTGTCATTAAACTGACCTTTGGAATGATGTCTCCTTGCTGCTTAGGTATGTCGACATCTGAGAAGAAAGTGGAAATCGTCGATATGGCGACGACTGATAACAAAGTGGGAATCGTCGATAGAGGTCACATGGAGGAGGAGAAGAAAAAAGAAGAAGGGAACGGTGGATTCCTCGACAAGGTGAAAGGTTTCATTCACGACATTGGTGAGAAAATCGAGGAGACCATTGGGTTCGGGAAGCCAACTGCTGATGTCTCTGCCATACACATCCCCAAGATCAACCTCGAGAGGGCAGACATTGTTGTAGATGTGCTCGTGAAGAACCCGAATCCAGTTCCCATCCCTCTGATCGATATTGACTACCTGATCGAGAGCGATGGGAGGAAACTGGTTTCTGGATTGATCCCTGATGCTGGAACCATCAAGGCACATGGAGAAGAAACTGTGAAGATACCATTGACTTTGATCTACGATGACATCAAGAGCACTTACAACGACATTAACCCCGGGATGATCATACCTTACAGGATCAAGGTTGATCTGATTGTGGACGTCCCGGTCTTGGGAAGACTGACATTGCCAATGGAGAAACGTGGAGAGATCCCTATCCCAAAGAAACCAGATGTTGATATCGAGAAGATTCAGTTCCAGAAGTTTTCTTTGGAAGAAACGGTGGCGATTCTCCACGTGAGGCTCGAAAACCTGAATGATTTCGACTTGGGGCTTAACGACTTGGACTGTGAAGTTTGGTTGTCTGATGTAAGCATTGGGAAAGCAGAGATATCGGACTCGATCAAGCTTGATAAAAACGGAAGCGGTTTGGTTAATGTGCCCATCACATTCCGACCAAAGGACTTTGGTTCTGCGCTTTGGGATATGATCCGTGGTAAAGGAACTGGGTACACTATCAAAGGTAATGTCGATGTTGATACACCATTTGGAGCTATGAAGCTTCCTATTATCAAGGAAGGTGGCGAGACCCGTCTGAAGAAGCAAGACGATGATGACGATGAGGTGATATGTTTTTTGCTTATATATAGCTTGAACATTATTATGATCTCTTTTTTTGCTCACAAATCTAACTTCATTTTTGTTACAGGAGTAAGGAAAAGAGCTCAAGAGGAAGAATGGTTTCTAAGTACTGAATCTCTCCGATCTTTAAAAATAATTTAATTTGAATGAAAGACTTATATGGTGTGTAGTTCATGGATTAGACTTTTGAGATGACTTTTTTTGGACTTATCATTGTGGTCCGGTTCGGTTTGGTTATGCTCTATTTAAATCGGGGGTTTGGAATCGTTCCTTAACTGGATTGGACATAATACAATTTGGTTATGATGATTTGTCGTATGCGTTTACAAGAATTAGCTAAGTGTAGGGTCTAAAATGTCTGAACCTAAACGCAACGGCCTCAACTAAAGTGTTCAATTGTTCATCCAAATTTAAAGTATCAATTGTTGTAAGGTAACCAACAAGTCCAGAACTCTGAATGTAAGAAACACGAATTTTCAAGAAAAAGGTAAAACAGAAAATCGGCGATTGATGGTTTAACTTTATTCTTCTGATTCACGGTCGGACCGGGCGGTCTAATCCGGTTTATGTAAACCATTAATCATTTGACGGCTACACTCATACCCTTTAGTTTTTCCCCATCGATCAGAGCCGCGTTCTCTCACTCTCAAATTCCTTGGGAACTTGGAAACAAGCTTCTTCGATTTCGCGTCTCTCAGGTTTGTCTCAGACTCAAAGTAGATCCATCATAAAGAGAAATCAAGCAAAGAGATTGAATAAAACCCAGTTATTCTCCATCAATTCTAGTAAATGCAAGGCTCTTAGAAATGACTCGGGATACAATAAATCGCAAAGTTTTTTAGATTGGAGAATCGAAATTCGTTGTGGTGATTTGGGTATCTGAGTCGAGTTGATCTCGCGTATAAAGCTCTAATTTTTGTGGGATATGCACAGGTGCTGCAGGGTGTTAATGTTGTTGAATGTTTGATTGATAGGTTGGAGCTAGAGTGCAAAACCTACTTTCGTACTGTTTAGAGCAGACACTCTCCCATGTCGGCTCTTGTGGCGCTATGCAGAGCTCGAGCTGCTTCTTCTTCTCTATTCAGAGGCGTTATTCGTCCAGCATTTCGCAATTTCTCCACTGGTAAGCTCTATACGATTGACTTTCCTGGTCTGTTTCTGACAAAAAAATAACAAAAAGACGCAAAGCGTGAATAGCTAGCACAAAGGCCCGTGGTTCTGAATACATGATTTCTTGTTTCTAACTATTTCTTATTGCCTCATGTCAAGAAATATGATTTTGTCATGAAATGTTTATCTTTATATGATACAACTTTTTGCAAGTTTTCAAGTTTCTGCTTGAACAATGAAAATTGTTGTTCTTCAATGAGTTTTGGAAAGGGGTGGTATATAGGCTGTAGGATGGTTTAACTTTGAGGAATCGGATTGAATGGTGAGCTGTATTTGCATAAGCATTATTGTTACCAAACTCTGAGATCTTGTTACTGTTTTCCTTCTTGTGTGTACACATACATGCTCAAACTGAGTTATATTAACCTTGTGGGTTTTGTCAAGGGCCGTTGTCTCTCTCTATGAGATAATGAACCGATTAGCTTGCTTTAGATCTCACAATTTAGTATTCTTTTTCTTCATGTTGAGAGAATTTTGTGTTGGAAGAATTCATGAGCATTAGATCTCTCCGAGATCTAAACTTCGACAGATGCATGTTTGTAAGTATGGTCATCTATACTGTCTATATGATCTTTATATAACTAGGTACATCTTCGAACGTTGTTAATTAGATCATTGGTAAATGGAAATCCAGAGTTTTTCATCTAGCTTCTGTGTCAAAGTCTTTCTTTTGGGTGTTTTAGCAGGTTTTGCTGATGCACAGAACAAAACATTGGTGGCACAAATGAAAGAAGAGATGCTCCACATGGACATCAACGAAATGATAGGAAGCTCGATGCCGCTAGGTATGATGCGCATAGGAACAATCATCCACAACGTCGAGATGAACCCAGGGCAAGGCGCGAAGATGGTCAGAGCCGCAGGAACAAACGCCAAGATCCTTAAGGTGCCTGGTACAGGGAAGTGCTTGATAAAGCTGCCATCAGGGGACACCAGGTGGATCAATGCCAGGTGCAAGGCTACCATTGGCACGGTGTCGAACCCGTCTCATGGAATGAAGAAGCTGAGGAAAGCAGGACAGAGTAGGTGGTTGGGGATAAGACCAAAAGTCAGAGGAGTGGCGATGAATCCGTGTGATCATCCACACGGTGGTGGTGAAGGGAAAAGCAAAAGTAGTGGAAGCCGAGGAAGGACATCTGTTAGCCCGTGGGGGAAACCGTGCAAAGGCGGTTACAAATCCGCCAGTGTCAAGAAGAAGAAGAAGCGATTGGCTGCTAAAGAAGCCAAGATGTGATGATAATGATGAAGAGGTTACTACGATTTCTTCAAATGCTTGTTTCTTTAAATCCTCTTTTGTGACGTTGCTGAATCTTTTGAGAGATTGTAAGCTTCGTGGAATTGTAGCATCTTCGATAAAAGGCACTTAAGGATAAAGATAGTTTGACTGTTTTCTTTTCTGAAACCTGAAATAAAACGTTTTCAACATGACCACGTTTTAGCGTTTTCTTTCCATTATTTAATTAGCCAGATTTCCGAGATTAGTATAAGGCTTCTGTGTATTAGTATGAGACTGTAGTAGTAGCAGGTTGGATCGAGGAAGGAAAGAATCTAAAAAAGTATATAACTCAGCGGAAAAAAAAACAGCCAAGGAACAATTAGGAGGGAAAAAAAAAAGAAATTAGTGAAGAAGACAAAAGTCAAAAGTTTGGAACAATGCACTAATGTCTTTTTGACTATTATTATTACCCCCTAAACTTTTGATTATACCCGGCATCGGAATAAATAATTCATTAGAATTCAACTTAGAACTTTCAAGCGGACAAATATATTCGTCTGCATTACCGTGCGTTTGGGTTGGTTATTCAGAATGTCAAAGCTCAAATTTTAGTTGAAATTTTGAGATTTTCAATGGTATATTAGTGTTAGTGATTAGCTAATAAAACAAAAAAAACAAAAACACTATATACATTTGACCATATCTCATTTCAATAGTTGCTTAACCGGTAATTGTTTGTTGCATGGTATATATACCGTGTACATACATACGTTTATTACTGCAGAATATGTCATGACAGTTGCAGGATTTAAATTTAAGATTCCTTTTTTTTTTTAAGAAACAAATAAAAAAAAACTCAAGATGGCTTTTCTAAGAATTTTAGTTGCTTGTATATATTTTTAAAAAATGAAAAAGAAGAAAAAAAAAAAAAAAAGAATGGTAGTATTAGTTTTTGAAAAAAGGGGAATGAATAGTGAAGGGAGCACACAGAATTTGAAGATTGAAAATGAGATGTAGCAAACAACAGAGCAGCCACCATGCTTACCATCTTGGGTCCTACTCCTCCATATTTATTCATCATTTCATCTTTTATTCCTATTTCTTATTTCTGTTATTCCTTCTACTATTTAATTTTCTAGTAACTGTTTTTCTTTTGGCTTTTCATGTTTTGGAAATATAGCCACACGCATTCAAAAAGATAGTGACATATAAAACCGAAGAAATTAAAAAAGTTTGCCTTAGAATATAAACATATACAGGGTGCGGGTGCAAAGAAAAGAATAATGGACATTTTGTTATGAATGAATTTAGTAAAAAATTGATCAGGAGATAAGTTAGAACTTCTTTTGTTATTCTATAACTTAAGAGTCAGAAGCAATTAATAGCTCATTTTAGCCTCAAAATTCGAATATAACAGGAATGGTATGTTATTCTTCTTTGTAAAGTGATCTCATCAAAAAGAAAAAGAAAATTATGCTCTCAATTTATTGTTTCAATGTTTCACATCTAATATAGTAATCCTTTGACCCAAAAAAGACATCTTTCTGTATAATGTTTAAATAACATCATTGATTCATGAAAAAAGAAATGGGCTACAAGTGATTTATAAATAGAAAAAATGTTATGAAATATCAAATTTCAAATTTCCGATGATCTGTTTCCCTCTTTATCTTTTTATGTCAAGGGAGGTGAAACGAATCATTAAGATACATGCAATGAAGGCCATTTTCAAAAAAAAAAAAAAAAGATACATGCAATGAATTCAATAACCACACAGTGAGGTCCTCACAAACAGCAGATGCATGAATTTTATTTTATTTTATTTTCTGTTATCATCCTTTTATATCCTTTTTCAGTCTGGTCATATCTTTTGCTTAGACTTCATTACAAAGCGGGATTACAAAATTGACAAAAGTATATGTCCCCATACATATATTCTTATCTTTTTTTTTTTGATAATGTATATATATTCTTATCTTTATCCCGAAGAAAATAAACACATTAGCTTTATCTACGACACTGTGGAATGACAACAAAAAATTATATGATACTGTAGAATTAATTTATCAATTAGTTCCTTAATTAATGCATATGATTGAAGATCCGTGGTTGTAATACATAATATAATAAGGCAGTCTCGTTTAAACAACATAACCTGACCTCGATAAGTTTGTGAACAATAAGAAAAAACATATTTCAATCTAAAATGAAAAATAAAATATCTCCTAAAGACACACCTAATATCGATTTTTTCTGTTTAAGATTGATATTCTCGAACAATATGCTTGTCTTCTTAAAACAAGTAAAAAAAAATTAACATAAGAATTCTATTTGAACTCTAAACTGCAAATTAACTTATAATTTTCATTAGAGTGATGTAAACCATATGAAATACCAGCTATGATATGAAAATAGTTTATATATCGGTACATAATTACTTAAATATAAACAAATTATTGATATTTTTTAAAGACAATGTTGTAGACTTGTAGTTGTATTAACGGTATTAATTTTAATTATATAGAACAATAATTAGGGGAAATATGGCAAGAGAAAAGTATGTATAAGAAAAGAGAAAATGAAAAGATGTATAACGTAGAAGAAAAAGGGTTGTAGATTGGAGAGTTGTACGAGGAATATTAATAAGACAAGTTGGTGGAGATATGCATTGAATCGATGGTAACGAGCCACGTGACAATGACATGTGCCGTCTCTCATCCACATCATATACCTTTTGAAATCATTTATCATAGTATTTAATTGTTTTTCGATGTTTTTGTTGTTAATCTTAAATTCTTTACAATATATATATACGTAATTGGTAATACCAGTACATCACAGAAATTATTAAAGGATAGTTTTAACAGAATAAAACATTTTTAAAACTCAAGTATGTGATGGAACTGTGGGCGTATCATATAAACTCGTTATTGAGATAATAATGCCTATGCATTATGCAATGTATATAATAATATAAAGTAATTATATATGTTGAATATTGTTGTAGGTCCACTACCACTAGACATGCAATCTAAGGAAGGGTTTGCGATGTTCAAGGCAATCATGCATGGGTTGCCATTTACATTTAGCTTTCCACCATTTTTTTCTCCTAATTTCTTAAAAATAAGTATAATAATATAATGCTAGTAGTAGATTCCACGATTTGTTGTATGAAAAAATGAAAATCCTCCTGTTTTTTTTTCACCTCCAAACAAAAAAAAAAAATCCTCAATCTTTCTCGGTTTTGCCTACGAATAAAAATCTTTGTGATATGGATAAAGAGATTGCGCTCTCTGTACACAACTACACATTAGTATGTATATATACGATTGCATTATATTATATGCATTTGTTATAAATGTGTCATACATCCTCGACTGACATCTAGAAACAAGTTGTTGAAAATCGGATATGATTTTGATCCTTTCTGCAAAATTATCAACCATATAAAAAATGCAGTTTACATACTTCGAGAAATATAATTATATCTACGCACATATTATATTGGAACGAGTGGCATCGATCCTAACTACAAATACAGATTACAGAAAATCAAAGATATCGGATCAAGTACACATATCAACAAGATAAAATGAAGATCTTGGAGTATCAGAAAATGATATTTTTTATTACTCTAAAATAGCTAGAACTTACGGTTTAATCTTTTCTTCATAATATGTTTTTGGTTTTGCATGAAGGTACAGTTTTGATGTAACTATTTATTTTTGAGGCTTTATAATTTCAGAATATTTATGTCAATTAATTAGTTAGTGGTTGACACTTGACACACACAATATCTCTCTTTTTTTTTTCAGTTCTATGATAGTTGAAGTAATTGACGTTATATATGTGATTCATTGAATTTGGATAAATAAATAAGTAATCTACAGGTAACCTGTCAAATTGGTTAATACCCGAAAGGCCAAAAACGAGCTGCTTACGAAAAATATCACGTCCCTCATTAATCACGCAACCGAATATATTATGCAATTGTAAACTACAGAAAGTCTCTCAAATGGTATATAATTGAAGTTTGCATTGATTTTAACTATGCATTAAGTAATTTAAAAAAACTTTTGAGATGGGCAAAAACAAGACAGTAGTGACGATTTAAGAATAATAAAACATAAAACCTAAAGAAAAAATAAATATTGGACAAACCGTCCCACAAGGAACACGATAATATGATATTAGCACCACATGAAATGCCTAAGAGAAGAACAACAATATGGGTCCTAATTGGTCGATAAACATAGACAACATTATTATTAGGTGGGAAGCTTAATTATATAATTTATAAATACAGACTTTTTGATGAGTTTTTTTTTTGAATTTGTCAAAAATAAATTGGTAATTTCTCCACATTCAATCTATTCATCATTGTTCACTTGAACTCGTCACATTTAGTACAGATGAATTCGAATATTTAATTAATACGTTTTCCGCCCATAGTTTCAATAGATTACAACTCTGAATGATAATAAGTTAATAACATGAATAAAGTGGTTAATTGTTTTCTAATTACCAGCGAAAAAACACTTTATCTACAACTCAGAGGAAAAAACACGACTGTTTTTTTTTTGTCAACTAGAAAAATATGTCTACAATAGACGAACGATGTTAAAGTTTTAGATTCGTTTAATCAAAACACCATTGAATATTCCAAAAACAAATCTAAAGAAACCGAAAACCTCCACTTGAGATAGAGGCTTACCCTAAATAAAATCCAGCTTACGTCATCTTCAACTCTAAGGAAGGGAGAGATAGTGTCTAGGGGAGAAGAACCAGCTGTGATTATGGAGAGAGAAAGAGAAGCAAAGTATGTATTCTAATTTTCATTTTTCAGACCTTCCAGAATCAGCAACTTGCTTCTCACACTTGTCACCCCCAAAAGAGAAAAATAAATTAAAATTTAATTAAAAACATGAAGAAAAAAAAATCTGTAAATTCACTGAACCTTCCTCTCTTTCCTGTTTCTTCTCTGATTCCACACAGTCTAAACCCCAAAGATTATTTATTTCTCCTTTCCTTTCTTTTTATTTGCTACTTGTCTTCTTCATTATATCTTTTACCAAGTTTTATTATATACCAATTCCATATCAAAACCTCACCCACTTTATTTCTTCTTCTGTATTCTCTCCACTTTACAGAGAAAAGTTTGAAGCCGTCTTCGTGTTCCTCTGGATTCAAACTTTTCAACCCAGATTTCTTAAATCTTCATCTTCTTCTTGTTGCTGCTGAAGGGTTTTGGCTCTAACGACTTAAAGGTAATTGCTTTCTCAATAAGCCAAAAAAGTTATTTCAATTCTCTGTTTTGTGCTCTGTAAATTTTCGTCTGATTTGCTACTCAAGTTTTTTGTATGTTCTGTCTATGAATCATAACGATTTACTGATCAAAAACTTTGGACGATTTTCTCTTCCAGCTTTTTGTGAACGCCAATCGAATATAATCTTCCGGGAAAGAAAAAAAGTTTAGTCTTTTCGAGGTCAAGAAAAGCCTCGAGATCAATCTCGGATTTTGTCTGCATTTCTGAAAAACAGAATCGTGAATCATCTCGAGTTCCTGGGTAGTTTCATCTTCAGGGTTCTTCAACCAAGCTACATTGACAGAAGAAACGAAAAGCTACTTGCTTTTGGCATTTGGGTACATCGATCTGACTTTTCTTCAGATCAAAATTCAAGAAAAAAAAAAAACTCCTCTTTTAGATGATTCGTGAATTCTCCAGTCTACAAAACGACATCGTAAACATTCAACACCATTGTTCAAGCAACAGCAACAACAACAACATGGACATGAGAAGAGAGAACCGCAAAAACATCAGTTATCGTGGATCAACTCAAGCTCCGACGATGGGCAAGCAAGAATATTTTCGGACATTGTCGTCTCAGAACAGTCCGAGGAGGCTAATATCGGCGAGTTACTTCAGTTTAGAGTCAATGGTTGTGCTTGTTGGTCTCACAGCATCTCTCTTGATCCTTCCGTTGATTCTTCCTCCATTGCCTCCTCCTCCGTTTATGCTTCTTCTGATTCCTATTGGGATCATGGTTCTGCTTATGGTTCTTGCTTTAATGCCTTCTTCTAATGCCAAACATGTAACAAGCACTACTTACATGTAACGGGAAATGAGAAAAAAAAACAGAAACGTTTTTCTTAAATTGAAGAAATCCTAAAAGGAGGCTTTTTTTTTGTCTATTGTTAATTTGTCATTACACAAGGTTTCAGGGTAAGAGATTTTGTATAATTATTTCATTTGTAAAACTTGTTATCTGATGCAGTGTTATACACAATTTTCATGATTTTATTGGAAAATAATGTGAAAACTGAAACAATTTCAGATTTCTTTTATTCAATGTTCATAGAAGACTAAAAAGGTCAGAGACAGAAGCAAGACTATATTTATTTAATTTATAGTTGAAATAATATAAAAGGTTTTGATTATCATCTTCCCATGGTTTAGGATGCGTAAAGAGACAGAGAAAGAGACTTGACAAAGACATTCTCATAGGAAGTTAGTTTGTAGTACAAAGCACCTTTCATCATACATATCTCAAAACCTGGATCCGGATCCAAAATTGTAGTGGTATGATTGTTTCTGAGTTCTTATTTTTTTCAACTAAATGGGTTAAGGTTAAACCCGAATAACTCTGGATGCTGTGAATCCATTTATAGTTCAGTGTGAAGAAGCTTTGACCAAAAAAAGAGGAAGGTGATGCTCCACTACTGCCATGAGCTGATGATGATGACCTTTGTTTACTTCTTCTGTGTCTACATCGAAGCCTTGAAGCTGCTTCACGGCTTCCATGAGCTGTCCCCTTAGCTTCTGTGAGAGCAACCTCCCACCCGCCTTCACACACTCTCTGTACAGCGGCATGTAAGCTATTGCAACCCTAAGTGGAGCTGGAAGATCCCTCAAACATATCGCAGACTCACCAATCTTCAAAACCCTCATGAAATTCATGAAGTTCTCGCGGCTTTCCTTCGATCCTTGGTTGAATGCAGCCTCTGACCAGTGTTCTTGGAGAAACGCTTTCAGCTCTGAAGGAACAGACTCGTCTTCTGACTTTGCAATGGTGTCTGCAACTGAATAAGTGGCTACCGGATCCCCCAAGAAATCTGATTTAAGGAGAAACTCTACTCCGTAGAGGGAACCACCGCTTCTCTCGCCGGCTGCTTTGAGGATCTCGACGCTGAGAGCAGTGAGGACGGGTCTTGGTACATGAGGAAGGAGATAAGCAGCGATCTCGACCTGGCTGCTTGAAGTGGCGGCTGTGAGAGCCAAGCATAGCTCCATTTCACGACAGCCTCTTTTCACAAACCATTCGACAACTTGCATGCAACCTCTCTCTGCTGCTCTCATCAAGGGACCCAAGAAAGCAATGGCATGACCTTCTTCCACAAGGCAGTCCATTGTTTCGATTTTACTATAATGCGAGGCAAAACCCAGGGCTAAGTCTACATCCACGTCTAAGCTATTCCTTTGAGCAATCTACACCAGAGAAATATAAAGTTAAAGAGTACACAAAGAAACATGCAAACAATCATTAAGGAATATAGAAGAGTTTACCTGCAGCAAGATGCGCACAAGTTCCGTGCTCCCGAAACGAGAAGCTTCAAGAAAGCACTGGTTTACGTTATCTGCGCCTCCTTCCACCAGCATACTGAGCAACCCATATATGACAGTAGCCGAGATTCCAGAAGCCCATCCAGGATTGAAAGAGGTAGAGAACAGTGTAAGCGGGAAGCAAGCTGCATCAAAGGCTTCCGTGAAATCCTTTCCTGATAGATGGTTTCCTGCAAGATCTAAGAACATCTTGAAAGCAGAAAGCTGGAGTTGGATCTCGACAGCTGAGTCTTGGTTAGGTTTATCTTTAGCACCCTGGCATCGGGAGTGGAAACCTATGCATTTCAGGGCCCATTCGGTAAACTTTTGAACTTTGGCTCCAGCTTCTGCTTTTAAGACCTCATCACCGTTACACTCTTGGAGACGCTCGTGCAACCTGGATACGCCGAGATGGAAAAAAAAATGGTTTTATAAAGTAAGGGGGTCTCACCTTACCCAGCTAACCCAAGATAAACTAAGAGGAAGATGAACATAAGAGATATTATAGATTTAACAGAAAGAAGCTCTAAGATGTAACCACTATGAGAAAAAGGGAAACACATCTTATGAGAGAATTGAATGTGTGTGTGTACCTTTGAGCCATTACAGCTACAGTATCAGTAAGACTCCCTGTCCGGCTCTGGCAAGAAGAGACGCATGAAGCAAGAAACGAAGTCCTAAGTGTAGCTCTAGTATAGTCATGAGCACCATGACATATGATCTTCGCAATCAGCCCCGTGATTCCTCGTCGCTCGTGCTCTGTGCTCAAGAACCAAATAGAATCCAGACTGATACACAGCAAATCATTCAAAGTTTGTGGATCAGCCAGAAGAATCAGCCTCTCGGAAAGTTCCCAATCCTGTGAGCTAAGAGCGCCTTGGAAGAGCCGTCCAAATTCGATTCTGTCCTGTCTATTAAGCTTCTTCTCTTTCCCGAGATTTCCATCCTCAAGAAGATCAATACCGTCTCTGCATTTCAGTTTCTCAGCACTACAACCACTGCATTTGCTCCGAGCTTGGTCTTTACCTATCAGAGGAGCCTCTCTAGCAAAAACCACATCACTCCCTTCTCCTCCTTCCACTGTAAGTTCCTCGAAGTCTTTCTTCGGAGATTGAGCAATGATCTCCTCAGTTTCCAGCTCATAACTTACATGCTCATCAGGGTACATCTCATCACTCACGACGCTCTCGTTCTCCATCCACCCAGATTTCAGAAAACAAACAAACTCAAAAACTGCTCAAGAATCCAAAAACTTCTTTTGGCATTCGAGAAAAAACACTAGAGAAAGCAAAAGCCTTAACAATAACAATAATCTATACCCAACCCCTTCTTCGAGTCGATTCCTTCTATAAGCAAATGTCTCGTATCAAAATGGGGAGGAAAAAAAAATAAAATCCCAGACTTGTATCCACTTGCGCAATCAGCAACTCCAGATTGCTCCAAAGAGCATACGAGAGAACACAAGAAATCAAACCCAACGAATTGCCGGAGAAAAAACTAGAGATTTCGTCGCTCAAGCCCAGAAAATGCTGTGGAATCACTAGAGTCGAGAAAGGTCTGATTTTTAGAACAAAACGTAGTCAACAGAAGCATCGAAATCCAAAAACTTGACGCCTTTAAACAAAAACCCGGCACTGATCCCCCAATCAGAATCCATGCCCGACCCCGGAAACTGTCATCAGGGTAAATCCTCCGACGAAATCAGCCCTGAAAATTGCATCGGATATCAAGAACAAACCCTAGGACGGAATGAAGAAACGAATACAGCATAACCCAATTTTGATTCGCGGGAAAGAAAAAAAAAGAAGAACTTTAACGTCAAATCGCGAATTTACAAATATACATAAGAACATGAAGATGAGAATTGAGAAGGGTGATGGGAGAGGGGCAAACCTGGACGAGATTTTCATTGAGAGGTTAATCGAGAGAGAGAGAGACAGAGGAAAATGAGGTTGAGAGAAACCCTGCGCCTGTGTCTCCTCCTTTTATATTTTTTACAGAAATTTTATTTAATGTGAGCAAAATGAGCTTGTAATAAATTTGCTTTGCACGCTCAGATCTGTGTAGTAACAAAGAAGAAGATCTGTTTTAGAAAACGAAAATGATGAAATTTTCTCTATTTTCATTTCCTAGTTGCCTCTCTTAAGCAGAATTGTCTCTTGGGTTTGATCAACTGGTAATTAGTATTACCCTAAGAAAACTGAATTGTTTAGAAAATGCAAATTGAATTATCAAATTAGTTGTTCACTTGTTTCGACAATATGCGAACAAGACTAGAAAATCCTTTAAAAAATTTCATAACAACAGTTTCATAAAATGTTCATTAAGATTGATTTACATACATTTTGATTTATGCGTTTTCAATAATTGAATAGGAAAAAATGTTAATAAATGAAAGAGACTAAAAAAAAAAAAAAAAGAGAAAAACATAAAAAGGAGAATTTTATTCGACAGTCTAATATGAAAGCAAGCATCTTTTGGATTTTGTGTTTTTAATTTATAAGACGCAATCACCGATCTCTCTCGACGGTCGCCTACCAAAAAGTCCATCTCTTTCTTCTTTCGTTGTGAGTCTTTTTGCGATCAGCCATGGACGAAGAGTACGAAGTTATTGTTCTCGGTACTGGTCTCAAGGAGTGCATCCTTAGTGGTCTTCTCTCCGTCGATGGTCTTAAGGTCTGATTCTGATTCTGACTCCTCTCTTTCCTCAGTTTGTTTTCCTCTGCGGAGGTTTTTTGAACCATTCGGATGTTGCTTGATCCGATCCTTCTCTCCGATTGCATGATTTCAAGCTCAGGTTCCCGATCTGGCTATGTATTGTGTGATAAGATTCTTGTAAATGTTTTGTTTTTTTTCACTTCATTTTGACGAGTTCCACCGAAAGCGATTACCTTTTGAGCTTCTCTGACATGAGTCTTGTTCATTGGCCTCACGATTTTTTCCACCGATTTGAATTTGATGCATTGGTTATTGAGAAAAGAGATGACTTCTCCACTCTTATATATAAGTAATCATCACATTGGTCGACTAAAGATGTAATTTTTGTGCATGTACTCCGAATAGGTACTTCACATGGACAGGAATGACTACTACGGTGGAGAGTCAACATCGCTTAATCTCAATCAGGTCAATTCTCCTCTCTGATGTCTATATTATGATTTTTGTGGTGGTTAAATTTACCATTAGCTTGCGTTATTGATGTTGCTTTTGTTTTAACAGCTGTGGAAGAAGTTCAGGGGAGAAGAAAAGGCTCCTGCTCATTTAGGCTCTAGCAGAGATTACAATGTGGACATGATGCCTAAGGTATGATATTAGCTGTAGTTTCCAGAAAATTGTCTCTTTTATAGCTTAACTATAGTAATACGAATTACCAACTGTGCTCTCTTTATGTGGTGGACCAGTTTATGATGGCAAATGGCAAGCTTGTTCGTGTCCTTATTCATACAGATGTGACAAAGTACCTCTCTTTTAAAGCTGTTGATGGAAGCTATGTCTTTGTCAAAGGCAAGGTACAAGCTTTTCACCCAAGTTCTGGCCCCAGATTTTTTGCAGTTTTGTTCCTTTATAGTTATTTTAACTGCTAATACCCTACAGGTTCAAAAAGTGCCAGCAACTCCAATGGAGGCCCTCAAATCTCCACTTATGGGTATTTTCGAGAAACGTCGAGCTGGAAAGTTTTTCAGTTATGTTCAGGATTACGATGAGAAGGACCCGAAAACACATGATGGAGTTGATTTGAAGAGAGTTACAACAAAGGAGTTGATTGCGTAAGCTGATACTCTATTTGCCTTCTGCGTTATGGTGTCGTCAAGATCTGATTTAGACTGTCTGCTGCTAACTATTAGATAACACTTTTGCAGGAAATTCGGTCTTGATGAAAACACTATTGACTTTATTGGTCATGCAGTGGCACTTCACAGCAATGACAGCCATCTCCATCAACCTGCCTATGATACTGTCATGAGAATGAAGGTGATCTGTTAGCTCTCCTTGTTATTAAAGTCTTACATTTTGCTCTTGAGTTAGGCATTTTTTGACATTGTTGTTTTATATGTTTTATCAGCTCTACGCGGAGTCCCTTGCACGTTTCCAAGGAGGTTCACCATATATCTATCCTCTCTATGGGTTGGGAGAATTGCCTCAGGTTTTTCTCTTTCTCTTTTTCATTTTTAATGCATGCTTCATTTGGTTGGTTGGTGTTTTGGATTATAGTTTCTGGATCTTCTTTGAGCGTTTTCTCTTCTCATCCTTGTTTCAGGCATTTGCACGTCTTAGTGCTGTCTATGGTGGGACTTACATGTTGAATAAACCTGAGTGCACGGTATGTCTTTGGCTTCCTCGTTTTCGCAGCTCTTTGTTTTGCTAATTATGCTGAAGGATAACTTGTGACGCCAACCACTGTTGCTTTTACAACAGGTAGAGTTCGACGAGGAAGGTAAGGTTGTCGGTGTTACATCTGAAGGAGAGACAGCCAAATGCAAGAAAGTTGTCTGCGATCCTTCTTACCTGCCCAACAAGGTAATGACTGCAATCACAGATCTTTTGAATCTCCTGCTGTTCCTGGTTATTTATGGTTTTTTGTGACTCTATCAAATCGTATTGAAACAGGTCAGGAAGATTGGCAGGGTTGCTAGGGCGATTGCCATTATGAGCCACCCAATTCCAAACACAAATGATTCTCAGTCTGTGCAAGTCATCCTACCTCAAAAGCAATTGGGCCGCAAATCAGACATGTGAGTTATCTTATTCATCTTGTGGTTCCACTGGTAGAAGTAACTGAGTCTGAATGACTGAAAGTTATGGAAACATCAGGTGCATGTATTTTTTTCTCTATGATAGCTCAGCTTTGTCTGATGATGTCATTTCTTGACATATATGCTCATGAGCTTGCTGATGATTCACACTTGATTCCTCTTTAGCCTAATGTTTGCAAGAAACTGGCCATGTGTAAATTTTGAGTCGATTGGCATGTTTGTTTCTCAGCTCATGGTTACATCTTGACTGTAAATGACAGGTACGTCTTCTGTTGTTCGTATTCACACAACGTTGCTCCCAAGGGAAAATTCATAGCGTTTGTGTCGACGGACGCAGAGACTGATAACCCTCAAACCGAGCTGAAGCCAGGAATCGACCTTCTGGGACCTGTTGATGAGCTGTTCTTCGACATCTATGATAGATACGAGCCAGTCAACGAACCCACTTTGGACAACTGCTTCATATCAACGGTTAGTTATAGTTATGCCCTTTTTATGAGCATCTTAAAGTTGGCTGCTCTCTGACAACCTTCTTATCCATGTCCTAAACAGAGTTATGATGCTACAACACACTTTGACACAACTGTCGTTGATGTGTTGAACATGTATAAGCTGATCACCGGAAAGGTAATGCTACTACAGATTCTCGGTTTTATTAAACCCCGAGATGCTCTGCAATCAGGAAGTGATAAACGTTGCTCTTGTTGCAGGAACTGGATCTAAGTGTGGATCTGAACGCAGCTAGTGCTGCAGAGGAATGATGGAGAAGATTTCAATATTTCTCTTTCTCTCTTTCTCTCTCACTAGTCAACAAATGATGTAACCGGTTCTCTTTCTCCCATCTTAAATGTTCTCTCGCTTGTTTCCCCTCTTCATGTTCTCTGTTAGAACACGGAATCAGATTTGATCTCATCCTGTTCCTGGTTATCTCGGTGTCTGTTTCTTTCTTAAAACCAAAATGTTGGATTTCGTGGTTTCTATTTGGAATGGCTTATATAAGAATGCTCTCTGTCTTCTTCATCGGTGTGTCAGCTGTGGTAGGACGCCTTAAAACGTAAAATTGGTTTTACTCCTATGGTCTGAATCTGTTTAGTACCCGCCGAGTCGCGAGAAATAAAATCATATACCAATCATCACAAGGCTATTAAACGTCTACAAATGTTTGTCTCATTCCTAAAAACAGAACCGACCAATAATAACATCCATCTTCTTGTTGGCAAAAAGAAAATCTTTTGCTTTAAGCATCAACTGAGAGAGAAATATTCAGTATATTTCTTACAACACCGTCAAACCAGTTTTGTGTAAATTTACGAAGTTTAAGAATAATCAGAAACAGGATCTGATAAAAGCTGTTGTAGTATGATTACTCTTGCTGGACAGTCTCAGGTTCTTCCTGAGATAGTTGATTTTGTTGAGAGGAGCCTTTACCAAGCAACGACTGCAACTGAATAGACCGCGGTGTAAGAGTGGCTATGGCGTCTGAGGTGCCAACATGACTGCTACCTGCTTGATTTGAACCTTTCTTCACTCCCTTTTTAGCCATCTTTGCCCATCCAACTATCTGTTGCTGCGTCTGGTCGTTGAATATCGCACCTTTGAATGAACTTCCCATCTTTTCCACCAAAAGACCAGACAAGAAGAGTGACAAGTGTGGTCTTGAGTTAACGTATCAGAACACAAGAGAATGAGAGAGAGGGAGAGATGCAAAGTCTGTACCTGAGTGACGAGGGCATAGAGCGGTAAGGTACTGTAACTACAGAGAAGCTGAACCAATACCCTGAAGGGAAAGAAAGAAAGAGACAAGAGTCAAAAGATTCTACATTTCAAGATCAAGAAACTTTCTAGGTGAGCTATTAATATTACCCGATGACGAGTCTGGGGATTATGAACTTGACATGTCCCATGATGCAAGATTTCCAACCATATTGGACCTGTTGTTACAATCGCAGGAACGGGTTTTTCTTCTTTTTCAAGTTTATATTAGTATATACATATCTTAAGATTGTGTTTCAAGAGTGCTTACGAGGATGAAGAAGAAGTAAGCCAATTCGAAGGAGTTTTGGAAAAGAATGAAATGGATCAAGAAGAAAACTAGCCGGGGACTTTGAAACCAGAATAAATCATCTGATGGTCTGACTACTAAATCTCCTTCCACGGCAACGTGTTTCTCTGCAACTTCATGTGCCAAATCTGTGATGATATGCTCCAGCTTCGTCCCCACAGCAAGCAGAAGCTGAGGAAAAAACCACGGGTTGGTCAAGATTGGTTTGAAGCATAGACATGGAAAGTCTGGTTCAGAGAGGACTTACGATCAAAGGAATAAAAGCTAGCCAGAAGTAAACATGCCATGCTGCAAGAAGGAAGAAAACGGTGTCGTTTTTGATCTTAAACCGATTATAATGAAGTACGAAACTGGTTTGGTTGGACCCAAGTTGAAACATATCATTATAATCTCACCAGCAATGTTTAGAAGCAAGAAGAGAACCACAAATACCCAAAGGTACCAGCTGCAATTTGATATATATACACATTAGAACAGAATCAAGAATAAAAGTATAGTTTTCCAAAAGCCTAAAACTTTTTACCTGATACCAACAACTTTCTTGAAATCGGAATTGAGAGCACGCATCAAATACTTATGGAAATTGAATTTTGGGTTGGTCTTGCAATGAGTCTATATATTAACCAAGAAAAAAAAAAATAAGAGTTGTCTTCAGTTAATATTGCGGAGAGATACTACTATATTCGAAGAACAAGATCAAAATCAGAGATATATATATACCCTGATGAAGCCTAGCCTCATGGTAATGTAATCCGATTCATTGACTGACGCAAGAAACTGTTTCATAAACGAGTGCTGCAATGGACAAGAACACACTCAAAACATTTGCATGTACATACAAACATGGCTTACTAAATGAAGATAATAACTTATTAGAAAACAAAAAAACACTCACCAACCATCCAAAGAAAGCATCGGCTTTTCCAACTCCAAGAAATCGTCCCCTAATGAACTCGTGTTCTTGGACCGATGTGAATTTCTTCTGTATCACTGTGTTAATTGACTTTGTGTTAATAAAAAATATATATATTATGATCCTCTTACCAAGTAAAACTATGTTTCCGAGTTATCTTTTCTTTCAATCGTAATTATATTATACCTTGGTCTGTGTCGTAGTCTTTTTCTCGAACTTGATCCTCCCATTTTCTCCATTGCATTATCTATCCAATAACGTCGTGCAATGATCACTAGGCTTATTAAGTTTTCATAATATTGTGGTTTGACATCTGGTTTTTAGTGTTCTCTAGTGATTTTCAGTCCTATCTTAAAAAACAAAAGGTATTATTGTTGTAAATAAGTAAATACCTTCATGGTACCAAAAAGAATGGTCAAGAGGCAGAAAATAATGTGCGAAACAGCTAACACGAAGATGAATATGTGAAGTTCGTGCAGAGCTGATACTGACATTAACGGAGCTTTTCCCTGAATTTAAAACATTTTCAAAATAAATTAATGAAATATTCCTTTTGTTGTAAAAGAATGTAATACTAATAATTGTATGCACGTCTTTGAGAATGTAAAGAACGCTAAAAAAAAAAAGATACACACTAAGAAAAGATAATATTGTTTGGTTAATTTGACCAAAAATATTAAAAAGGCTTAATTATACCTTTTGGGAGCAATAATCTCCGGCGGGAGAATCTCCGGCGAGGAGATGACGGGCGGTGAAGCTGAACTGGAAATGGGAGGAGTCTTCGAGGGACTTATCAGCCTTTGGAAACTCACAAGGTAGCAACTTTTCACTTAAGCTCTTTGATATGCAAATCTTTGCTATTCTAGACTGGCTTACTGATAGTAGCAACGATATGAACCCTAGCAGCATAAGTTCTGTATTTTGTTTTTCAAGATTTCAGTTAGAACGATGATCAAATCATATCACACGGATCTTGGGTTTTCACTATATAAAAGAACTTTTTTTACGTGGGAAATTCTAATAAACATGAGGCTAAAAACAAGAAGTGACCTTCTTTGATCTTTTGTAATGCCCCGAAGAGCTGCTTCTGATCGTTCTTCCGAAAGTGCTGTATGTATATAATAACACATTTGAGTCAACAACATATAAACAAACACAGAGAGAACATATATAAATGATAAAATATAACCTTTCCGGCACGGTGGAGTAAACGCTCGACGGCGAAAGAGAGGGAAACGATGATGGAGCAGACGAGAGCCACCACCCAAGTTGGTGTGTACTCTAAGGTCGTTCCTCCTCCCGCCATTTTTTTTTTTTTTTGCTCCGGGGAGATTCTTGATTTCTCGATCCGTTGTGTTGTGTGGTAGTGCTTTATATATATATATCATATTAGTTTGTCAATGTGTGTTGACCACGTATTTTGTTTTTTTATATCCGATTTTTCAAATCTTGGAACATGTCTTCACATTTAAACAAATGGTTTCACATTCTCCGGTTCTAGCATAATAAAGAGAATTGATCTTCTTCCTATATCATATGATGATTATGATCACATCACTTTCTCCACTTGCAAAATCTTCCCAAATTTGTATCATGCATCCATTTCTGTAAACCATTGGTACCTGTATTCATATTTATTTGTTTATAATTGTTGAGAACAATTGTTGTTTATAACTGTTGAAAGATCTGCAATGCATATGGTCTTAATCTATTAATTATATCTATTTGCTTTAACATACAATTTGACCGAATTAACCGGGTGTCTAGTTGATTAAACCAGCTGGCCGGTTAATCTTTGTCAATCGAAAATGACATTTGGACATATTATTGATAACAACGCTTTCGCCACCGACCGACATAGAGATATAAATACATTATATTCGTCAAGTCAACGAAATCCTTTTGGAGTATTATTAAGCATATTACAAATTTGGGATACATCATAAATAAATTCATTTCTCATTAGGATAATCCTTATTCCATGCAACCGGTTAGTCACGTTCCCGGTTTGATTCTATTCGACCGGATCTACAAGCCCAAAGAATAGATGTAGCATTGTTTGCTGGGATTTTAACAGAAAATGTAAAACTAAAATATTTCAAATTTGGCTGAGGAGCCCAAAGTAATAGAGCCCACACAAAGAAAGAAAATAAATAATCAAAAGCCTATCTCAAACAAAGATCGCACGTCTCTGTAACACTGGATAAAAAGAAACAAAAAAAACTCAAGGTCTCCAAAATCTAAGAGAATGGGCAAAAGGATAATGAAGGAAGCTTTCAATCAATTCATTCTCCTGACGAGCTCGTTGATGAAGTTCTCCCTGTTTCCGGCGTCACCACCTTCGACGTAGTGGTTCCTCTTCTTCTTGAGTCCACCGAGTGGTGCCTTCAACTGGAACGGCCAGAGGAAGTTGTTGGCTTCCTTGAAGTGAGGTCCAACGGTCATGATCTCGTGGATCAGATCCTCCACACAGATGATCCCGTGCTTGCCTAGAGCTTCATCCACTATCGAGTTGTCTGTAAGTGCAATCCTCTGGTGGTTCAGCTTTCCGTAACCCCTCTTGTAGATCAGCTCCTTGACACTCTTCAGGTTTGGGTATCCGTAAGTCACGTAAGGCTCAACACGACGCAACATGTTTATTGTTGCCTTGTTCACCTTAAGAAACACACCGTTGAAGATCTGCACATATGTGTAATACCACAAGTTAACTTTCTGATCACCTAAAAGAGTCTTTGCCACTTAAAACATATCACAGATATATCTCATCTGTACTCATTTCGGCCCTTACTTGTCTCAAACGCAGAAGCTGCAGGATCTTCTTGGTTTTTGGGTCAATAGCGTTGATACTGCAAAACACAAAGAAACCATGTAAGGAAACAAGAGAAACAATCATGTAAACGATATCTGTAACACACACACACAGACGAAACAATAACATACCCACGGATTCGAATGATAAAGAGCAGCTTTGGCTCGGGATCAACGTAGAACCCTCCTTTCAACTTAGCCTCACGCTTCAAACGGATCAACTCTTTATCCTAAAACCAAAGGACACAAAGAACATATCATTACAGCAAACCATCAACAGAAGAGTCGTCTTTAGTTAGCAGAAGCGACCACAAGTTTGTGTGTGTTTCTTTACCTGCTCGGCGTATCCTTTGAGGTATTGCTCAGCTCTCTTGCAGATAAGCTTCCGGGTCTCAAGACCTTTCTTCTTAGCAGCTTCAGCTTCCTGTTTCTTCGCCAATGCCCATTCCTCTTCCCTCTTAATCTTTTTTAGCACAGACTCTGGAACCACCATCTTCGAATCAGTCATTTCTCCTATATCAATTCCACAAACCAAGCACAAATCAGCTCACCAACGAAAAAAAAAGAAGACACCATTGAGAAATACAATTATAATAAGAACGGCAGGAACATTTGAATGACACTAAGGGTGTTTTTACGACACCTCGATCAATACCGCACAAGATTTCACAACTAGGTTAGATTTTTTAGAATAATCTAAGTGAATTCACATAATAGAACGGGAGCAATTGAATTTTGAGATATACACAAACCTCTGAAAAGGAACTACCACTGTAAACAAGAAAGAGGAAGATCGAAAGAAGCTTACTTTGAGAGGAAGAAGAAATCTGTGAGTGAGATGGACAGATTAGTGCGGCGCAGAGGAGAAGAAGAAAGACAAGATACGTCAAAATGGGTTTAGGGTTTAATTCGTAACCCTATTTTTGTTTTTTTTTTCTAAATGGGCCCAATATTAGGAGGCCTGTTTTATCTTATTTTATTTGGGCTGGTGGACAAAGACATCCGGGCTGAATAAACCAAATGAACAACATTTTTCGTTTTCTTGTTTTTTTCTTAATGGGCCCGATATTAGTAGGCCTGTTTTATCTGATTTTATTTGGGCTGGAGGATAAGGACATCCGGCCTGAATAAATCAAATGAACAACATGTTTCGTGAGACGAAAGAAAAGTGTTGAGCATTTGAAAAGTTTGAATTGGAATTTACAAATTGAAGAATTGAGTTATTGTTTAATTAACAATCTTGTATTATTAATTTCTTGGTGAATGGTTTCTTATCTTTTCATGTGGTACACAAAACTTATTAACATAGATTATAGGTTATGTGCATTCTTTTTGGTAGACCGTTGTACAAATATGTAACTATTCAAAACAATAATTACAAAACATGCGATACTTTTAACGCTAAAGTGAATAGACAAATGGTGTTCTAGAAGAAAAAGAAAGAGAAAACTTTAGTAACCGTAAAGCAAGAAAGACGTTTTAGAAGATGAGTGCTTGCCAGATTCGGCCCACTTTCTTTCATCCCCATAAAGAAGACAACTCCCTAAAAGGGGAAAAAAATATCAATGCTCTTCTAGAACCCTTATCCTACTTTTGTCTTTTTAATAATTATTATCCTACTTTATATTTTTTTTTATTTCATTTTCAAACACCAGTAGTACATGTCTCTCGAATAATTAGACACCAATCCACTTCACCACAGTCTTAAATCAGTATCCACCACCTTCATTGAAAAAATGCAACCTCTTCGATTTTTCGTGGTGATTTCAAAGTTTTTCTGTAAACTAGCTACTGTCCTGGTGCATTTATTAGAAAGATACGTGAAACAGAGTTAATCTACGTTACTAAGTTACCTATTGTTTTGTTTTCACTCGACAATAATTAACGATGATTCAAAAATACAGAAGACGACAGAGAGAAAAATACAAACCAACAGTTGACAAAAGAAAAAGAAGAAGACAAGTTGGGGAAAATGGCGATAGAGGGAAATGGACCAGCCTTTTATCAATGTTCGACCCCATTATTATTTTCCTTTCCCATACTCATCCACTACTTTAAAAACCAAATTAAACACATCTCCCTTACAAAAACTACATATAATAAGATTTGCTTAGGAACATCTTTCCAAGTCATTATTATTAGTTACCCTCTGCATTTTGAATCTCTTCACATAAACAGATGACTTTAATTAATTACCTATATACGCAACAAGTTTTGCTAGTGATCATCGATCGTAAAATTTGAGCTATTATATTCGTCGGACTTATACGTACGTTTACACATCGAGATTATTTTTAAGTCTTGACATGAACTTCATATGGCATATAAATAGTAAGTGTGGTTTCATAAATAAACCAAGAATGAAAGGTCAAATAACAAAAAAAAAAACATCTTTAATTATCTGGTGGAGACGAGATGACTTGTGTGTGAGGCTGTAAGTCCGCGAGACATACCTTTACGTCGGTGCATTGCATACTCCACGTGTCATCGTATTAATATTTGTCGAGTACGACCGAATATAAAGGCCAATGTATCCATGATGAGGCCTTCTAGATGACTAGAAAGTTTAGAAACACCTTCTTACTCATCAATACACCATTAATAAATGTACTACATTCAATAATTTTTTAAGTTTATTTTTCAAATTCAACTTCCCTCACAGGATTTCTATCTACATGTGTAAAACGTATGCAATTACACATTATGATATCTTAAAAACTTTTAAGAATTAAGTATAACAATTTTTGGCTTTAAAAAAAAGAATCTATATGGACTACTCGTGGAAGAATTTGTTTGATAGTGCGTGCACAATGCAACATGGTGAAATGAATATGTATTTAAAAATCATACTAATAAATTAACAGCTCACTATTTGTTTTATCGGTTGACAGTTGCGTCAGTGAATACGACTCACTCCAGCTTATTACAGTTCCATACTATCATCTGTCTTTGAAAATCTTCTAGAAGCTTACTGGTTTCTTTAATTTAAAGTATATTTTCTTTTTTAGAAAAGGAAAAGTGATGGTAACAAAAGCTCACTGATCTTCATGAACTTTATCAAGGTTTATAGATTCCGTTTCTCAAAGACTATATTCAACAGAAGTTAGATAACCGGATTGTTGGGTGACAGAGTAATTTTAACTACTTGATTATAGGTAATTGAAATATTATTGACCCAAAAACAAAACTAATTAAAAAGTTATCAGTTCAAGCTACTTTTATGGTCTAGTGTGGTAAAAGCGTAGAACAAATAGTGCGGTCACAGTATCAGTTGATGAATTATGAATTAAACAGTGAACTTATTTAACTTCACTTAACCCAAAAGAGTTACCTAACTTCAACTATTGTCTCGTACAGGTTACAACAGAAACTATTTTTATTTAAATAGTTGCGAATATATATGATATCTTGAAACTAGAAAAATAAAGCATTTTTTTTTGTTGAAAAGAAGTATATGGGACATACCTAGATTTGATGTTCATTTTTCTTTTTAGTGGAGTAGTTACTACTCCTTACTACTAGTTAACTCTAATTCCAGTGTTAATTGACTTAATAAAGCTTCTAGAAGCTTGCTATGGATTATTTGTTAATTTATTTATTTTTAAAGCAAGCTAAAAAAAGGCACACCGTCTTCATGAAGTAAGCTAGTCAACCAGAGGTTTGTAGATAACATTTCAAAGTTGAATCTTATTATATAAAGGAAATCGAATCAAAGATAAAGGGACTGATTTATACACATTCACGAGAATCCGTTTTTAGTAGATTTTTTTTTTTTTTACAATAATACTGCGTTGAACACAAATTCATAAACTAATAGTGATTTCGCAAGTGTAAAATAAAATAAGTAATTATTCCACAAGTTCTGTAAATTAGTAAACTTTAAACGGAACGTCGCGTAGTTTGAAGTCTTAACCACAACTCTTGCTCCTCCTCCTTCACTATATAAAGGCTCTGCCACATCGCATAACTTCAAACTCACTCAAAGTACTAACAAGTCCCCTTCTCTTGAGTTTTGGTCTACCTTCTCTACACATACTCACTTAAGCCACTAAACTAGGTCAAATAAACTCAACAATCTCTTCTTTGGTTCTATGATTATGGAAATGTCGAAAAAGAGAGCTGGGGAAATTTCAAAAGATTTCCAAAAGTGTCACGATTTGATTCCCGGTTTACCGTCGGAATTAGCTATCGAGTGTCTGGTCAGAGTTCCGTACCAATTTCAATCCGCCATGAAATCCGTTTGCCGTTCTTGGCAAAGCTTACTCTCCGACTCTTTCTTCATCCGAGAGCGGCGGAGATGCGGCAAAGCAGAGCTTCTTCTCTGCCTCGTTCAACCGCTGACGCCGCCAAATCCAGAGTCTAGAGCGGTTGTGGAGACACTGGTGGACGAGGAGGAGGGTGAGAAGAAATTGGAGGATGCGTCGCCGCGCGTTTTCGGCACGCCACGGTTCGGGTTGACCGTTTACAACGCTGCGATGGCCACGTGGAACCGCGTTGCGTTTCCAGAGCAGCAGCAGATCCCGCTTTTCTGCGAGTGCGTCGTGCTTCAGGACGCTGGGAAGATTCTGCTCATCGGCGGTTGGGATCCGGAGACGCTACAGCCGGTGAGGGACGTCTATGTTCTGGAATTCGCCGGAGAAGGAAGCGGAAGGAGGTGGAGACGAGGATCACCGATGGCGGAATCGCGGTCGTTCTTCGCCTGCGCTTCCGTCGGCTCGACGAAGGTGTACGTCGCCGGAGGCCACGACGACCAGAAGAACGCTTTGCGCTCGGCGGAGGTATACGACGTGGAGAAAGACGAGTGGTCGACGATTCCTCCGATGACGGAAGGGAGAGACGAATGTCAAGGATTCGCCATGGGGAAGGATCTAGGATTTTGCGTATTGAGCGGTTACGGAACGGAATCTCAAGGGAGATTCCGATCCGACGCAGAAATCTACGATCCGGCTACAAATTCGTGGGCCAAAATCGAAAACATCTGGCCGTCACCGGATACTAGCCCTAGAGGACGCATCGCCGGAGACATTCGAGGCTCCTCCTCCAGGTTATGGTGTTTCGTAGACCGTGAATTACAGAGCCAGCGTCGATGTGAAAGTAAAGACGATTCGGGAAAATGGAAACTGGATCTTGAAATTATAAAGCTTTCGATGAGCGGAAGCTCAGTTTTCGCCGGAAGCTTAGGAGGTGATGCGTTGGTAATGATCGGCGGCAGAAGAGAGAGTGAAAGCAAAGTAGGAGTAATGATGAAGACGACGGAGGAAAATATCGGAAAATGGAGTACTGTCAATGACATACCTTGTGATTTCTCCACTCTCCCATTCTCACATGCTTCAATCTATGTTTGAAAGACAAACTCGCATTGCTAAAAAGGTTTTTTATAGCACAAACAAACACTCTGTTTTTGTACTGTGATGTGATGTAATTTTACACCAACGCTCAAAAACCAAAAGAAACTAGAGATTTCTGAAATGTTTGATGATCAGAGTAATTGCCAGTCATCTTCACGTTCTTCCTCTGTATCTTCCACAAACTCGCAATTGCTGTGGCTAATCGAGCTGTGGGTTTGAGCCACCGTGAACAGTGGAGCACCGTTTGATTCCTCCGCTAATTTCGATGCTCCGAGACAGAAATTATCGAAATCATCTGTTTGAAGATTATCGTAAAAGTTTTTATCAAGTAGAGAGTATATATGCTGCTACTGGTTCGTTTAGAGAATGAAGTTAACAAAATTACCTCTGTCGCGGCAATAGAATCCGAGAGCTAGAGATGGGTCGAGTGATTCCAAGGGAATGTAACGAAGGACACTGATGCAGAGCAAGATACACAGGTAAGAAACTAAAGCCAGGCAAACAATTAGATTTGTTACTACATGACTAGATTGAAACTCACTTGCAGTGATACGAGGATGTGTCAACATCCGGAGTTTCCTTGTTGACTGTGACCACCTAACCAATCATCAAACGATAAGCCTCACTCAGTGAAACCAAAATGTGAAATGCCATCACGTGAATGATTAAAATAACCTTAAAGCCAGACAAAATCTCTGAATCTCTTTATAAATTCCAAGGCAAGGGAATACAAAAAAACCTGTTGGACTTCATGAGGATCAAGGTAGAAACCTTTGTCTTCTTGAACACCAACTATGTAAGTTGAGGCACCTGGTCTGCCACCTAAAATCCCCAGGCTCTGAGGGAAAGTGAATGTGGCTATGAGAGATGGAATGTATCTGTCAACAGATTTTAACAATGTGTCAATTAAGGCCAAATACAAATGATGAGGCACAAACCAAAAAGTAACAAAAACCTGGGATTCACTCTGTCAAGACCAAGAACCAACGGGACCAAAAGGAGAATCGGAGTCCACTCAGCCTTTCCTTTTGAGTATTCAAGGCAAGATTTGGTGGCATCTTCTAAACAGAGAATCGGAGCCCCACCTCTCTCTCCGTCTTCGCTGCCGGAGACGATATGAACAGCCATTGGAAGCGTCTGGTGGTTAGAATCACTTTGTTTTCTCTTCTTGCACGCTAACGATTCCCACGATCGACAGATGGCATATGGTCCTACCCATGATCCAGCCGCGAGACCATACGACTCTCCGGATAGTATTAGATTGTGGATGGAGAAAGGTGAAGCCTCGAAATCACCAAAAGGTTCCAAGGTCTCTAAGTATTCCTCTTCAGGCAGCTGCATATTCAATTCAAACAAGCAATGAGATTTGATCAGCCAGGTTTCTGTTACTAGGGTTGCATATACAGCAATTATGACAAAGACTATATGCTACTACATTGAGCTAACCTCAGATTTTTTGATCCTCCAAGACCTCCCCAGTCTATGGAACAGCAGGGCCTGCAAATATTTGGATTGTTTAAAATATGTTCTATAAACTTCAAAACCTCACGCCAAAAAGAAATATTCTTCCTCACACCTGAGCAAAAAGCATCTGGCTGCTCCGAATCATGCAACCCCAATTTACATCGCTGGTATATGTTGTGTTCTTAATAGGTTCAAAACCTGTAATATAAAGTGGTGAATATTACGCGAAAAAACGTTACGTTGGACTTGAAATTGTAGTTGAATATACAAACCTTTACGATACGTCATCAGTATTTTAGACGAAAAATCGTGTTGAAATGCAGCCAATACACTGCCAGCATCTGTATCCCCTGACCCTGAGGCTTCATCCTCAGATATTTTATAGCAGACACCCAATAGCCAGACGGCGCTTGTCGTGCTCGGAAGACCAGTCCTGTTTGGTCCTAAAACACGCTCCTGGAACCTCCTGATTGCGCCACTCGCCATAAAGGCTCTCTTCACAAGTGCTGTCCAGCCATTACGAGAAGAAGCGCAAGCTTGCTTATGTCCGGAAGTTGAAGGCTCCCTATACGGTTGAGAAACTGAGGAAGAAGGCCCAAAAACGTTTGACCACAAGGTAAACTTGGACTTATTATCACTAGGTCCTGAATCTGAAACTACAGAGGATGGCTTTTCACTCTTGCTTGATGAAGAACATTGCTGAGGAACAAATCTATCACATAAAGCCTTCATTACCTAGACATGAAGCACCAATTGCAACGTGCCCGTCTCATAGAAGCAATCTAAACACCTGAGAACCTTATCTGCAATAATAATCATAAAAGACACCGAATAAAAATCGAAACATACTTCAAGTGAGAGTAAGCCAAGACAAACTAAAAGTTTCTACAATTAACCTCAAACACTACACAAAATTTGGTCTGTGTGACATCAAGGTTCAGAGAAGTTTAATTTAAACAACTGTCATGTAAAACCAGAATGAAACAGAACAATAATCCTCATGAATAAGCTTCAGTGATCCATAATTACAAATCCACATGCACATTAAGAGGGCTTATGGGTTGTTCAATGGAAAGCATATTTTTTTCGATAAAAGGCATTTGGAATCCACATGCATATTCTCCCAATTGAAGAATGTTGCAGGAAAATCACAAAAGGCATAATCAATAAACAGACTTTTGATACAATCAGTCAACTTAAATTGGACAACCCTTTCCCCGAATATACCAGATATCAAGCTCGTTTAAACAAAAACCAATCTTACACAATTTCATCATCTAGCCAAAGGAATTGTCACAGGTTCAAATTTCTAGCAAGAAGCAGAAGGATCACCTGAGAGATCGATTGAACTAAACGCCGACAACGCAAGGGGGAAGAAAAGAAGGAGATCGATTTCGTGTTCTGTCTTCCTCGCTTCTACGTCCCGTCGAAGGAACCTAACAGCAAAGGGACAACTAAGAGGAACGTGTGTCTCCTTTTGGAGGTTTTGGGACACAATCTCAATGGAGAATCTCTTCTTTCTTCAAGCCTTCGATGTTGATATCTCTCTCTTCCAATTAATGACACCTAATCACCTAGATTTAATTTTAATAATTTTCCACATAATCAAGTTTAGGTGTATGCTTATTTATATACAGTTTTATTTACGGCGAAAATAATAAACATTCTAAATCTAATAGCCTGGATTTTTTTTTATAATATAGTTTTGCTACAAATGTTATCATTTTATTTATGTGCAAGTTCCTAAATCATAATTCTTTAGGACTACAGTTCCGTAATTGCAAAGTTACAAAATAATTAAGGGGGTTATTAGGCTATTAGCACATAAATGTGATTAAGACATCAATTTTACAATTGTACCCTTTAGGCCATTTCTGTAGCGATGCTTATTATCAAAGGGGGAAAAAAGTAAAAAAGTAAAAAAGAACTGCCGCTCTTTCTTCTTTGTTTGTCTTCCTACTCTCTCAGATCCGCCATTGTCACTTCTGATTCTCCCTTGTTGAACAACAACCACAGATCAACGTAATGAGAGTTTCGAAAATTCGAAACTTTTCATCAGAAGGAAGACGCATCCATCGAAGATTTTCTCCCGTTTGTTCGATTTACTGAACTTGGTTTTCGACGATAGATACAAGTCCAAATCTTGCTCTACCCTCTGGTTTATAGCTTCTTATTGGTAATCCCCCCATCCAATCGAATCTCTGACCATGCCCGCTTCGAAGAAGGTTCGTTCGAAAAGAATCTCATCTTCCTGTAATTTTACACTTGTCGGTTCATAACGTCTGAGATTACAAGACGCTTTTTCTCAGATTTCCGACCAGAACCAAATAGGACAAGTGTTCAACAAGCTGTTAAACCAGATTGGAGAATCAGAGGAGTTTGAGTTGCCAGATTGGTTGAACAAAGGGAAGCCTACTCCTTACATCTTCATCAGGCGCAGTATCCTTTTTGTTTTTTCTTTGCAAAAATTTGGTTATATTACATTGCCGATTTCACTTCAATTTTATTTGATTTCGCCTTTAGCCACTTAAGATATATACTTGACGAAGAAATTGAAAAGAAGGGTTGAAGATGATGGAATATTCTGTTCTTGCTCCTTGTCCCCTGGTTCTTCATCAACTGTGTGTGGGAGTAATTGCCATTGTGGGTATGCCTCAGTTTTTTAAAAATTCAATTTCTTGAGAAAAGCATTGAGAACAAAAATTAATCTGCTTGATTAATTAGAGTACATTAATCTTTGTGTAGGATGCTATTCTCAACATGTTCCTCCAGTTGCAAATGTGGGAGTGAGTGTAACAACAAGCCGTTCCAACAGCGACATGCCAAGAAAATGAAGTTGTCTCAGGTAATATGTATGAACATTTTTCTCGGGATTTAAGTGCTTTTTTTGGTTGTTGGTTTGTTATATTATTAGCATATTTGTAGACAGAGAAATGCGGATCAGGGATTGTAGCAGAAGAAGAAATCAAACAAGGAGAGTTTATCATTGAATATGTTGGAGAAGGTGATGTGAGATGACTATTTGATGTGTTTTGCTTCTCTGCTGAATGTATTGCAACCGTTGTTAAAGTTGTGTGTTTTCTTTTTGCTCAATACAGTTATAGATGATAAGACTTGTGAAGAGAGGCTTTGGAAGATGAAACACCGTGGCGAGACTAACTTCTATCTGTGCGAGATTAACAGAGATATGGTGATTGATGCCACTCATAAGGGGAATAAATCGAGATATATCAATCACAGTTGCAACCCCAATACGCAGATGCAGAAATGGTTTTGTTGTCACCTTTAATGCTTGTTTCATGCTTATGTATACATTTGAGCAAAGTCATCATTTTGCTTGCTTATTAGGATTATTGACGGCGAGACAAGAATCGGCATTTTTGCCACCTCTGACATCAAAAAGGGAGAGCATTTGACTTATGACTATCAGTAAGAATATTTTCCTCAGGAGTTTTCATAATTTTTCCAAAATCTGTTGAGTCGTGACACTAAGAAATGGAGCAGGTTTGTTCAGTTTGGTGCAGATCAAGACTGTCATTGTGGGGCCGTAGGTTGCAGAAGGAAGCTTGGGGTGAAACCCAGCAAACCTAAATCAGCTTCGGATGAAGCTTTTAATCTAGTGGCATTCGAAGTGGCCCAGACACTGCCCATGGTATGTTGATGTTGTCTTTGCCATGGCATATTTTTTGTCAGTGAGATTTTGTGTGTTATGACTCATTAGGTCTCGAGACTTAACAATTTTCCCACCTTTTGATTAGGTGCAACAAAATGGAGGCATCCATGAAGAAGGTAAGTAATGGATTTTTTTTAATCCTGCTCTATCTGTGATAGAAGAAGCTTAGTGTGTTTTGGATGTAAGTAAAGCAATTTGGATTCTCACGTTTCTCCAGGAAAATCATGGAACAAGCTTAGTCAAGGGGAGATATGTCCTCGTAATTGCATTGGTGTGGTGATCAGGTTATCTCGCCCCACGAGTGATAGGTATTTAGCTTCGGACTCACGGATTAGTTATATATGAATCATGCTGTTATATACTTTTCTGGTAACGTGTTATATGGGATTTTTCAGGTGTTTTGGCCTCATTAGATATTTTGATGAGTTTTCAAGAAAGCACTCGGTATTACAGTCAAAACCAATACTTGTTCACCTTTCAGAACTTTGGAAAATCATTTTGAATTGAGGCCTCTGCTAACAGTTTTTTTTATGAACTTGGTCCAGGTGATGTTCGAGGATGGTGTCACCGAGTTTATCGACATGTCGAGAGAAGACTGGGAGATTGTGACTGTCTAAGAGTGTTTTCAGGTGATTTAAAAACCCACTTGTGATTGATTTCACTTCGTTACTGAATCATTAGAGTTCCCTGAAGCATAGAGTATTAAAATAATCCTTTGTAGCTATGTTTCTGCAGATTTCTTTGGTAAGGAAGTTGTAAGAAACTCGAGCGAACGAATATGTCTCGGTGAACTCGAAAACCGGTCTTTCAGTTTGATTTGGGATTCGTGCAGTGACGTTGTTGTTGCATATAGCTCGGCCTGTATTGTACCATAATATAATGTCTGTAAGATATGTACTTGTAACCTCATTTTTACTTTCCTTCACATTCCTTTTTACCTTTTTTCTTTCATGAGCAATTTCAAGATGATGATATGATGTCTTGCAAGAACTTTGCGGTGTATTATAATTTGACTTTGTATGATTGTTGTATTTTAATTAAAAGATCTCGATCCAGAAACTGGATATAATCTCATATGATATCCTGTGTAGCCGCTTTTAGAATTTGCATCCAAAAGACCGGTATGTTCCTGTAGCACGTGCTGAAAAAAGCTGTACTCGTGTGTGCGCATCTGTGTCGGTGTCGCCGACATAAGCCAAGTAAGAGGTTCGCAACATCTTGATCAGTTTTTCTTATTATTACGCGAGTGAAACACACGCGCCGGCGACATATGATTTGATCGGCGATTTAAGGTGGGTAGGTAGGTGGTGAAGTGGGTCTGTGGTTTCTGGCTCACCAACTCCAAAAGCATGGGGTTGGGGAGAGATAGTGACAATTCTACTTTGTGGTTGGTAAATTCTTTCTAATAATAATCAATAATGTAACTCATGTTGTTTAATCAAAAAAATATTTAAACTCGACTAATCTTAACAAAAGCAACTGGTTTTACGTTATTAAATAAAAAAAATTGTATATTTATAATTGTCTCAATGTGAAAATAGTTGAAGTCAGTGAAGCACCAAACTTGTTGGGATCTGTAATCTGTTACTATAAAACAGTGAGTAGTAGTAGAAGAAGAAGAAGCTTGTAACAAACTTGCCTTTCCTCTCATAAGCCCATATTCGGAAGATGAAGGTGATCGACAAGATCCAGTCGCTCGCCGACGAAGGCAAGACGGCGTTCTCCTTCGAGTTCTTCCCGCCCAAGACGGAGGATGGAGTCGACAATCTCTTTGAGCGTATGGATCGGATGGTCGCTTACGGCCCGACTTTCTGCGACATCACTTGGGGAGCCGGCGGATCTACGGCCGACCTCACGCTCGACATCGCCTCGAGGATGCAGAACGTCGTCTGTGTCGAGAGCATGATGCATCTCACCTGCACGAACATGCCCGTCGAGAAGATCGATCACGCGCTCGAGACGATTCGATCCAATGGGATTCAGAACGTGCTCGCGCTTAGAGGAGATCCGCCTCACGGCCAGGATAAATTCGTTCAGGTCGAAGGAGGGTTCGCTTGCGCTCTGGATCTCGTGAACCACATTCGGAGCAAGTATGGTGATTACTTTGGAATCACCGTCGCTGGTTATCCTGGTATTGTAAACTTTTCCTCTCTCTGTCTCTCTTTCTCTTCTTCGTCGTTGTAGCTAAAGTTGGAGTTTTTGTGTGTTTGAAAATTTCAGAGGCTCATCCTGATGTCATTGGAGAAAATGGGCTCGCGTCGAATGAAGCTTATCAGAGTGATCTTGAGTACCTGAAGAAAAAGGTTTTCTTTTTTGGTCAATTGTTTGATCAATTTTTGTAAAAGGTTTTGCGTTGTGTATTTTGATTTTTTTTGGATCGTGTTGGAACAGGTTGATGCTGGAGCAGATCTGATTGTTACTCAGCTTTTCTATGACACTGATATATTCCTCAGATTCGTCGACGATTGTCGGCAAATTGGGATAAAATGCCCCATTGTTCCTGGAATCATGCCGATTAATAACTACAAAGGGTTCTTGCGTATGACTGGTTTCTGCAAGACTAAGGTAAATTTTTGGTCTTTTAGTAAATCTTCAGTCCCTTCAAATGAATTATAACCTTAAAGCAGATGATGTTGCTGTTGCCTTTTCCATAAAGGTGTTTTTTTAAGGTTTCTTGATCAGCTAGATAAAACATGAAAGTGAGATACTTTAATAGATGAAAGTGAGATACTTTATAATATTATTGTTTTCAGAGAAAGTGTTTGTTGCATATGCTTGTGAATGAAGATTTTTGATGTTCCGCTCCGTGTTATAGATTCCAGCTGAGGTCATGGCTGCCTTGGAGCCAATCAAGGATAATGAAGAAGCAGTGAAGGCCTATGGTATTCACCTTGGAACAGAGATGTGTAGAAAGATTTTGGCTCATGGAATCAAGTCTCTTCATCTCTACACACTCAACATGGAGAAATCAGCTCTTGCGATATTGATGGTTGGTCCTTATTCTCCTACTACCTTCTCCTTAAGCATCATGTAGATACTGGAGTTTCCTCACTATGGTGGTTCTGCTACAGAACCTTGGTATGATTGATGAGTCCAAAATTTCTCGCTCATTACCATGGAGACGCCCTGCAAATGTTTTCCGTACGAAAGAAGATGTGCGCCCCATTTTCTGGTAACCTCACTTAGTTTCTCTTGTTCTGATTATGCCTATAGCCACAGATCTTAATCCACAGAGAATATAAAAGACTTGTGCTTTCTTTTGAAGGGCAAACCGTCCAAAGAGCTACATTTCCAGAACCAAGGGCTGGGAAGACTTCCCACAAGGCCGGTGGGGTGATTCACGCAGTGCTTCATATGGTGCACTCTCGGATCATCAGGTACTTACACCACCTGTAATTGCATAACTCTCTTTTCAGCTGCTTTGAACACTGCTGAAGTTGATGCTTCTGTTGTCAGTTCTCACGGCCACGAGCACGTGACAAGAAGCTTCAACAAGAATGGGTTGTTCCACTGAAAAGCGTTGAAGATATTCAGGAGGTATAACATTTCTTTCACTAACCACACACAAACAGCTGTTCCCCTCATTTTCTCCTGTACAAAAAGGCAGACGCTTACATTAACCTTGCAAACAAAAACTGTGGACATAACAGAAATTCAAGGAGCTCTGCCTTGGAAACCTAAAAAGCAGTCCATGGTCTGAATTAGATGGACTCCAGCCAGAGACAACGATCATAAACGAGCAGCTGGTAAAAATCAACTCGAAAGGCTTCTTGACCATCAATAGCCAACCATCAGTCAACGCCGAGAGATCTGATTCCTCAACTGTTGGTGAGCAATTCAGTTTCCATCTGAACTTTTCTTCTCATAACGAGGGGCTTTTGACTCAGACTTATCAATGAATGATCTGCAGGTTGGGGTGGTCCTGGTGGGTATGTATACCAAAAGGCTTATCTAGAGTTCTTCTGCTCAAAGGAGAAGTTAGATGCTATTGTGGAGAAATGCAAAGCTTTGCCATGGATTACTTACATTGCTGTGAACAAAGGAGAAAACTGGGTATCAAACACTGCCCAATCCGATGTGAATGCTGTTACTTGGGGAGTTTTCCCGGCGAAGGAAATCATTCAACCTACCATTGTCGATCCTTCTAGCTTCAAAGTCTGGAAAGATGAAGCATTTGAGACTTGGTCAAGAAGCTGGGCTAACTTGTATCCAAAAGCCGACCCTTCAAGAAACTTGCTCGAGGAGGTAAGTCAAATATATCTCTCTTGATCCGAATCGGATTAGTTATTGCTCTTGACAATGGTTTATTTATAATGACTAATGGACATTTTGAAACTAAAATGCAGGTCAAGAACAGCTACTATTTGGTAAGCTTGGTGGAGAACGACTACATCAACGGTAACATATTCGCGGTCTTTGCTGATCTTTGAGAAAATCAAGAAACAATTACACAGTATATCGGTTTCCTCTACTGCATTCAAGATTTGCTTTTGTAATTTCTCTAAAATATTGGGGTTTTTGGTTTCTACATCTTGTTACCATTATCATATTGATTTGCCGATAAAGTTATTTGATAAAGAAAGAAAGCACCAGTTTCATTAACCTACCAATATCCAAACAAAATTAGATCTCCGGCTCCATTGAGACACAAAGTTTGTCTGAAACAAAAACTCCCATTCTAACTTCTGAGCTATATATAGAAATCAAACACTACTTGATGGAGACGAATGTAAGACCTCAAGAACCATCTCATTGCGTTTAATGAGTCTCAAAGTGCAGAAATCTCCAACCGCTAAACCGCAACCCCTCACCAGAATCCTCCATCCGCTAGAAAACAATTTCGCCACACTCTGATAAACGTAGACCACCTCCCATGGCTGCCCCTTGGGATCATGTATGATAAACTTACTTGTCTCCTTCGGCATATGCTTCTTTGCAAAATCTTTTGGTATTATCTGATCAAATGAATTATTAAAAAAGACACAAGTTTTATTCCAAATCACATAATATACAACAAATCCAAAACCACAAAATGGGTAATTTGTGTATTGGTTAATCAATCTTACCAACAATAAGAGCTGTGATTTCTTGATGGTGAAACTGAATGTAGCAACCGAGGAAGATGATGAAGAAGCTTCATAGACATTATTATCCGCTTTCATCTTCATCTTCTTCGATTTTTCACTCTCCTCGTCTTCCTCGACTCTCTCCTTCTTTTCTTTTGCTCCTCTTCTAGTAGATTCATCTATTACCAGACCAACACAGCTCATCTCTTCCTTCTTGACACCTTGTTCGTTTCACACGAGAAAAAAAATCAATCAATCCGAAAAATATCAAAATGTATTAACGAAATCACACGAGAACTTACTGGAGGGAGAAGAAGCAATGATTGTAGTAGTTCTTCTTATTGGCCTGAGAATCTCTTGACAATTCTTTTCGAAGATGTTAACTGTTAAACAGTTGTTTCCTTCGTCTGTGAATGTCAGAAACTCTTTGTCTCCTAAATTATTGTCGTTTAGAAACTTTTCCCATCCCTTTCTCTCCATAAGGTAAAACCCCATGAATTTTGAGAGATTCACTGTCCAAGATCTTCCCCAAACCACCTTCAAGATAAACTTAAGCGGGAAATTCTTACATACACTTGTTGTCCAGAACGTGTGTGGAATCAACCTCTTTGGACACACAACACACAGAGAGTGAAGATGTCAAAAAGAGAAACATGGCATTTAAAGCTAAAGCTTCAAGTCTTTAATCATTGTATAAACCAAGAACTCAAAAGAGAAGACACATTGTTCAATTTAGAAGTAAAAGATGGTTTCTAGATAGCTGAAAAAGAAAAAAAACATACAGATAATGGGAATCATTTAAATCTATGTTCCAATTAGAGCAGGAAAAAAAAAAATTTGTAAGAAGGTGATGATGAGGTTAAGAACATGAATACCATAGATTCAGATGATAGATCTTCATCTGCAAGAACTTTGAAGAAGCATGCCTTCTTCTTGTCTTCTTGAATCCTACCAAATGCTCTGTTTCTAGCCATCTCATGAAGGCAACTCCTTCTTCTCTTCTCCTTGAGTGTTTCACTCTTACTCTCTCTCTCTCTCTCTCTCTCTCTCTCTCTCTCTCTCTCTCTCTCTCTCTCTCTCTCTCTCTCTCTCTCCATGTTTTTAATTATCAATTTCGAAATTTGTCTTGATAGTTAAAAGGAAAAATACAAAATGACACAGTAAAAGAAGATAATGACTTTCTAGACACGCGAAAGAAGAGTCTTTTGCTTGTTTTGGCACCTGAGTTTCCCCTCTGGTCCAAGGCTTTAAAACTTTCCTCTTTTGTTTTGACTTGGCAGTTGGCACAATAATAAATTTATTTTTACTAACTATCAGCAGCACTCAGCAGGCGAGTAATTGCACTAATCTTAAACATCACTAATCATATAATTAACGATTGTTACAGTTCATAAGTTCTTACTTCTTATACTGTCATTTGCTCCCTTACCTTATTTATCTTCATTCAAATAACAAGACTTTTTAAAATGTTTAAGATGTCATCAAATTCTCTTGAATATTATATCGGAAGGTACAATCTTGAGAAGAACATTAAAATTCAACAACAAAAACAGTTGCCAATAGCTTATCTTCTGCAAGTACTGAGAAAAATTCGTTATTTCAATAATCGTCTCCTTTGGAAATAATCTCTTTGCAAGTTGGCCGCAACAAGATCGTATGCTCAAACTGAGAAACATGGCTTCCTTTCACATCACACACTGGAGGGCATGGCTACACATAAACCCAAAGAAACCAACTTTCCATCAAAAAATATTCATTCACAGAGTATAAATGTTCACATCATTTACAAGTTTACCTCGATGATGCCAGCATCACACAGATTCTTTAAAGCCATCAAGTATTTGGTTTCACCAAGACGGTCCAAGTAGCGTCTGCAGAAGGCCAGAGTGGAGAAATTCTTGTTAATGGTGGCAAGGAGTTGTTTCGCTCTTGGTAACCTCAGAGGAACGTGTCCCACATCGAAGTGTTTCATGTAATGGCTACATTCTAAGTCATCAATCACAATTCCTCTCCCTGCAAAACAACACGAGAGAGAGAAACATTCCTAATTCTGCATTTTCTTCATAACCTACTTGGTCCAGTGTCATTTCTTACCGGTTGATCCAAAGGTTTCGATGGCAAATAATTCACCTTCTTCCATCTTTGTCTGCTCGCCTCCTCTAACGTTAGGAACAGATTTCTCAGCATGTATCTGATAGCGTCCGATGCTGTGCCCATTCAGGTTTCTGATACTTTTCACTGCAAAAGACACAACATATTGTTACCAAAAGAGCTGCCTTTTGAAGTAAATAACTAAGTAGTTACCTTGGTAGATTTTTCCATTGATCTCTACTTCATAAGACTCCATGACCTCCTGAATCGCAGCACCGACATCACAAAGCCTGACATCAATCCCGGCTTCCTGAGCCAACCATAAAGAAGACAGCTTTCGTTACTTGTCACAGACCAAAAGCCTATATACTAAGTTACTTCTTTTAAGTGTTTGCTCAATGAGCTTCTTTTAAATATTCTTCGAGCAACAGAAACAATATTGAGCACCTTGATACCGGTATATGTTGCTTCACGGGAGGCTTCTAAGAGAGGATCAAACATAGGATTGAATGCAACAGTAAAAGCAGAATCAACAATGTGCCCTGCCAATACAATATAATGCATTGTTTTTTCTATGAGGCATTTACATTGAGAATACAAAAAGACAGATGAAAAGTTTTCTTTTTATTTAGCATACCATCAATATGTGTTCCGAAATCCAACTTCATCACATCATCATACTGAAGAACAGTCTTGTCTCCAGAGTTTGGTGTCCAGTGAGCAGCGACGCTGAAGTTTTCAAGTAAATTTGAGACACGGTTGATAGAATTGTAAAAGAAATACAGAGAGAATGACAGAGAAGGAGTAACTTATTGAGAGAACATCCTGTAGGGAAGGCGATACCAGCTTGAAGACCATTCTGTGATATTAACTTACGAACTGTGTTCTCTAAAGTCTCACAGATGTCAATCATCAACATTCCAGGCTTCATTATGCTTCTCATGTACTTCCTAACTTGGCGATGAACTTCCGCTGCTTGGCGAAGAGAGTTATATATCGGCTTTTGCAGCCTCTCCATCTCTCTCTTCTCTTCAGATGCTGTTCTCCACAAATTACTATACATTACAAAAACATAGACTCATCTCAGCTACATAGAATCTAGTCTAGAAAAAAACATTTTCTACTGTCTATATTCAGATATTGCAGATTCCTCACTCTTCCTTGTACTCACCTTCAGGAAACTCTCCAGAAGGGAAGAGCTCAATAACAGGAATTGAAGGTGGATCAGTCTGTTGAGGTGAATTCTTCTTCCTCCTATTAACAATCATCAGCTTTTGGAGTTAAGGATCATCAAAGCAAACAATAAAGGATAGTACACAAACAAAGACAATGACTTCTCACTTGTTTTTATTCTTCTTCTTTTTCTTCTTTGTTGAAGCCTCAGCTAAACATGACAATAAGACATAAATAGAACCAATCAACGGAAGAAACTAGAGAAACTCAAGAACAAACTTCACATAGACTAAGGAATCCCTAGAAATGTTAGCTTCTTTGGTAACAATCATCTAAGCATTCGTATAAAAAAACAATCCAAAATTTCCTTCTAATACAAAGAATCAAGAACACGAGAAAGAGAACAAAAAACTATATTTTTTTTGCTCATGATTAACATAACAAGAAATTATTTACCTTTGATTCCCTCTTCTTCCAGATTTTCCTCTTTTTCATCTTCCTTCACTTCAGCAATTTCAAGATTCTTGGATAGGTCAGAAGCTAATTGAGCCTATTTTCCATTAGAGGAGGACTCGGCTCCAGTATCCTTCTCCATTGGAGCTAGAGAAATCGTACAAGCTCAATGACACGAAGAAGAAGACGAAGAAAGTCTGCTCTTTTGATTTGAATAAAAGTCCACTCTTTACTACAGTCAACTTTTTGTTCTCTTCTTCCTTGGTTTCTCTTCTTTCTCGTCTACGCTCCTTATTGGGCCCATAATTCAGAGCCCACCAAGTTCCTCGACTCTGATTAAATTAAACGACAAAGCCATAGTTTTTCACGGACAAGAGAACCGTTGCGCTTGTGAGCATTACTCAACGGCTACTTCTCATATTGTCTCTTCTCTTATTCTTCTCCCCCTTTCTCTTCCTTTTAGGTCGAGGGTTTCCAAAAATCTGCAATCCGATTTGAATCATTTCTGATTTCCGGATTCTAGAGTCTCCGGTGATATTGTGGAGGAGAGATTTTGGAGAAAAAAAAAATCCGATTCGATTGTAATGGAGGCGAGAACCGGTCGATCTATTCCAGAGCGCCCATCGACGCCGGCAGTAACTGCGCCGGTTCCGGTTCCGGCTCCTCCGCCATCTACGCGACGGCCCAGGGTGAGAGAAGTGAGCTCGAGATTTATGTCTCCCGTTTCTTCGTCTTCGTCGTCGTCGTCGTCGTCATCTTCCTCCTCCGCCGGAGATCTCCATCTGTTGACTTCAAATTCTCCCAGGCACCATCACCACCAACACCAGAACCAGCGATCAATTTCGGCTCAGAAGTCGAGACGACAATTAAAATTGGGAGACGGCGACGAGAACCGCCCTTCCGAGACGGCGCGTAGCCTAGACTCGCCGTTTACTCTTCAACACGACGGAGGAAAAAACCAGCATCAGAACCGATCCAAGCCGTTGAGAGAAAACGGACACCGTCTCGACACCCCGACGCCGATGTTGCCTCCGCCGTCCAGATCGCGGCTGAACCAACAGCGTTTGCTCACCTCCTCCGCGGCGGCTAGGCTTCTCCGGTTATCAGTCTCCTCTGACGGTGAAGAAGACAACGGCTCAGATCTGTTGCCAACAACGGGTTCAAACTCAATCAGGAGCCACGCAAAGCCCTTCAACAACCCCACCGCATCACCTCTCCGTCGATCCCTGAGTTCATCTTGCGACGACTCGTCGTCGTTTCGAGACGTGAGAGCTTCACTGTCGCTTAAAAATGGTGCTGGTTTGTCATTGCCTCCGGTGGCACCTAACTCGAAGATTCAAGCCGATACAAAAAAGCAGAAGAAAGCTTCAAGTCAGCAATCAGATGCACACTCTCTGAAGCTGCTACATAACCGTTACCTGCAATGGAGATTCGCCAATGCAAATGCTGAGGTCAAAACGCAATCTCAGAAAGCACAAGCAGAGGTCAGTTTCTGATCTTCAACTCTAAATATCAGGAATTTGATAGTTTAGCTAATTATATCGTTGATGAATATATTTTGGAATGTAAAAGTTTTGTTCTTTATGACGGTGATGGATTCTGCTGAACTAGCAAAAGTCTCTAGCTTTAATGGTGAATTCTGTTTCTTGCAGCGAATGTTTTATTCCCTAGGCTTGAAAATGTCAGAGCTGTCCGATTCTGTACAGAGAAAACGTATAGAACTGCAAAGATTACTGAGAGTAAAAGCCGTCAAGGAGATTGTGGAGTCTCAAGTAAGTCAGATTGAAAAAAAAAACAGCCTTTTATTTCATCTATGAGCATGTTTGCGAGAAATATGTAATTCGTAATAGTTGGTGACTAAACTCTTTCAAACTCTATGCAGATTCCTTCCTTGGAACAATGGACTTCACTTGAAGAAGAATACTCAAATTCACTATCGGAAACAACTGAAGCTTTGTTAAATGCTTCATTGCGGCTCCCTCTTGATGTTGACATCAAGGTTTATTTTTGTGTTTTCTTGGATCAACTTGGAAGAAGCTTGTTCCTTTTATCAATGCAGATTAAATTAAACACTCGGATTCTTGCTTCTCAAATCCAGGTCGAGTCTCAGGAGTTAGCAGAAGCACTTGCAATCGCCTCAAAGTCCATGGAAGGCATTGTGCAGAACATTGGAAATTTCGTGCCTAAGGTTAGTAAAAACACTATCAACGGCACTTACATTACAACTAATATACTTTCAGTTGTTGAAAACTGAAACAACATTTCTTGATGCGATATGCAGACACAAGAAATGGAGACTTTGATGTCGGAACTAGCAAGAGTAAGCAGCAGAGAAAAGGCATCAGTAGAAGATTGTGGAGTTGCGCTGCTTAAGACACATTCATCACATGTATAAACCAAACTCTAATCTAACACCTTCTGTTTTAATATAACCCTTTTGTTGTGTATTCAGTTTCTGAAGTCTAAAAGTGTCTTTTCTTCCTGCAGATTGAAGAATGCTATCTTAGAAGTCAGCTTATTCAGCACCACAAGAACTGTGAACTGGCAGAGAGATGATCTATATTCGCCTAGACGGTTACTTTTAATTTTATGGTCAAGAACTGCAACAACACACAAGCTTTGAAAATGAAAGCTATTACGGTTTGGTTTCAAACTTTTTAGCTGATTGCTCATATACCCAAAAAAATAACAATTTAAAGTGTAAATAAATCAGATGTCTTGTAATACCTGAGTATCAATGATCATTATAGCTTTGTCTGAGGATTGTAATACTATGACATTTTGTAAAAGAACAAATTCCTTTCTAAGTATTTTGGGTGTTCTAAGCTTTCAAGTTCAATAACAAATTGAAATCACATCACTTCACTCAATCAAACCGAAATAATCCGGAAAAACTATCTCTGGAGGTCCAGCGAAGAGGCCCATTAATCTAGGTCCAGAGAACAGGTCCATTAATCTAGGTCCAGCCCAAATTTCAATATAAAGTCACCACGCGATTAAAAAAACTCTGATTTAATCTCATATCCTTCAGCATTTAGTCGGCGGAGGCGGAGCAAATTATTATCACAACCGGCGAGATTTCGATTGAAACGAAGAGAAAGGAAACCCAGTTTTGAAGCGATAGGAAGAAGAGAGGAGAAGGAGGAGGAACAAAAAGAGGAGCAATCATGGGGATGAAATTTTTGAACAAGAAGGGATGGCATACGGGGAGTCTCCGTAACATCGAGACCGTGTGGAAGGCTGAGCAGAAACAAGAGGCCGAGCAGAAAAAGCTTGAGGAGCTTCGTCTCCAGATCGTGCAGGAGAGGGAGCGTTCTGAGTTTCGCGCTCTTCAGGAACAAGCCGGTCTGGTCCCGTAAGTTTTTCTTTCCTCCTCTACGCTCGATCCCAATTGATTTGCGTGGTATCTAATTTTGGAATTAGGGTTAGGGATTAAAGTTTGTATTTTTGAAATTTTAGCGGAGAATCTAAATGATTGCGATCGAATCGATGATCTGAAGTTGTGGGTCGTTCTAAAGTCGTATTTTTTTTTCTTTCATCTTCATGCAGGAGGCAAGAGAGATTGGAGTTTCTGTATGACTCAGGATTATCTGTAGGGAAGGGGAGTGCGAGTGGTTCAGGTCATGGTGTTTCGTTTCAGAAGGAAGAGCAGCCTTTGGTCAAAGAGGATAGTACCAGTGAGAAGCCAGATCAGTCGAATCCTGGTGCGCTGTTTGAGGAAAAAGCACCTTCTGCTAATGATTCTTGGAGGAAACTTCACTCTGACCCTTTGCTTCTCATCAGGCAGCGCGAGCAGGAAGCTCTCGCCAGAATCAAGAACAATCCTGTGAAGATGGCTCTTATTCGAAAATCTGTAAGTTCCTTTTTGTTCCTGAGTACTACATGGAGGGTTTTTGTGTGGTGCTCGAGTGTCTGTGCGTTTGCAATTGAAACAATATTGGGTTTTCTTTTATGTTTAGGGCTTTCTTGCCTTCTAATAGCTACTGACCTGGAGAGTTTTCTTCTCTACAGGTAGAAGAAAAAGGAAAGGATAAAGATGGAGACACAAAGGAGCACAAGAAAAAGCATCAGCGTAAAAGTGGAAAGCATCGTAAGCAATCTTCATCCAGACACCATTCTGATTCGGAGGAAGATTCTGGTGAAGAGGATAAAGGAAGAAAATCCCACCATGACAAACACTATGAGAGACGGAGGTCAGATTTAGACGATGACTCCAAAAGTCACAATAAGCATTATGAGAGACGGAGGTCAGATTTGGACGATGAGTCAAAAAGAAGGGAAAGTCGTGATAAGCACTATGAGAGACGAAGGTCAGACTTAGAGGATGAGTCCAAAAGAAGAGAAGGTCACGATAAGCACTATGAGAGACGAAGGTCAGATATGGATGATGAGTCCAAAAGAAGGGAGAGTCAAGACAAGCACTATGAAAGACGAAGGTCAGAATTGGATGATGAGTCCAAAAGAAGGGAGAGTCAAGATAAGCACTATGAGAGACGAAGGTCAGATATGGATGATGAATCTAAAAGAAGAGAAAGTCATAGAGAAACTCGACCCAGTGAGAAGTATCGGAATCACTCCCCTAACAGCCGTTCAGATAGGGAAAATCTCAAGAGTTATGGTCAAGAGGAGAGGAAAAGAAAAACTGAGGATTCTTTAGACAATGAAAAAGAAACCTCCAGAGAGAATGGATTCCAGAATAGACGCCGGAAAGGTGGCTCTAAACTATCAGAAGAAGAGAGAGCTGCTAGGTTTAAGCAAATGCAGATGGATGCAGAGGTGCATGAGGAACAAAGATGGAGAAGATTAAAGAAAGCAGACGAAACTGATGCAGTGGAAGCTGATAAGAACAAAGTATCTGTGGGCAAAAGCTTTTTGGACGATGCAAATAAAAGTGTCTATGGAGTGGAGAAAGGCGGAAGTTCAACAATTGAAGAAAGTGTGCGTCGCAGGAGTTACTATTCGCAGCGCGGAACTGAAGCTGAAGGCAATGCATTTCGCCGTTGATGGTGCAAATATTGTTATCTTTGTATCTTTGAAATGTAACGAAACTTCGTCAGAATAATTATCATTTTTGTTGTTTGACATTATGTCTCTCTGATTGATTCCAGTATACAATGTTGTTGTTGAGAGCATTAGTAGTTTTCTACCAGGCCTACCTAAGGCCCATTGCATAGCCCATTTTGATGGTGGTCCAGGCCACTTTTGTTAGTGTGTAATAATAATGATGAGTGGGGGACGTTGAAATGAGGTATGAGTCAATACATATACCCGTGACATGTAGTTAAGCATAATACTCCAAGATTCCACTTTGGCACCTTTATAGAAAACACGAGATGAGGCCACTCTTTTCTTGTCTTTTTGAAATTTCTGGTTTCTTTATTTTGTCCATCTTTTTCTTTCAAGTAATGAAAAGGTTTTTTTTTGTCTAGTGATTACAAAACTAAAAGTTTGACCAATGGAAGTTTGACCTTGTTTTTTTTTTGTTAGTGACGATGATGTATTGTATCATTCAAGAGTTTTAAATTTAAAAATAGCTGAATTATGGCTGTATCATAAACTATATGAGAAAAGAAGAATAATTAAAAAAAAAAAAAAGCGAATTGGGGTTGTTATGGAAAATTTGAGATTTAAGACCTCTTCTTTTATTTTCCAAAGATTTGGCCATTCGAGGAATAAGAAGCTTGGAAGGATGGTTCACGTGCTGCGTAGTTTGGAGTACAATTATGTCAGTGTCTTTTTTCTTTTTCTGCAAATTTTATTTCCCGATAAGGAATGTTCTATTTTGCAGAAGTGGCTTAGAGTCAGTATTCCGAATGCTTGATAATCACATCATTTGTAGTATTTAGGTTTCCCACTTACTTTTACGGTTGTATCAAAAACTATAGTAAGCAATAAAAGCATATGTTGCAAACAAAACAAAAAACATCAGCTAACATATTTTTTTTGTAAACTTCTTTGATATTTATTCTTGGTAATGACATGTGATTTTTAATACGAGCGAGTGAGAGAGAGAGACAGAAATATGCAATTTGCACATAGTTCTGAAATATATATTGTAACGGTGCACATAAAGTCTTAACATTTAAAAAAAAAAACGAAATAAAATATCATGTTTTGAAAATAGAAGTAATTCACAACAAAAATAGACAATATTGTGTTTTTGGCCAATGAGAATTAAATGGCAGAGGACATGAGTCGGCTTAAATTATAAATAAGAAAAGAAATTTTAAGAAAAGTGGGAAATGGGGTTGGAGATGTAACAGAATCGAAAAGGAAAGATGTGTGGAAGTGATTGGGATTTTTGAGACGATGTATTTATGTCATTATTTGTCGCCTAATAATATTAACCGACAATTAGTGGCTTCAGTTTTTGACTTTTGACTTCTAACACTGTTTTCTCACATTGTGGTTGTGAGTGCTCTCACTCCCACCCAATCACCGCCCTTTCTTTCTAATCTACTCTCTACAGTCTAATTTTCTAAATAGTGATCATATTGTAGTGGAGCATTGCTCGAATAGTTGACTCTGTATTTAAATATTTTAGTATCGACATATGTTATTCTTTTTGTTGCCTATATCGGTTTATGATGTTTAAGGTTTTAAAGTTGTGGTTAGAAAATTCGGATTGAATCGTTTATTATATTTCTTTTTATTGTATTCAGAATTTTAAACGTTTCATTTGTGTAAAGATTATACAACTTGACACATAGATAAGTACTAGTGTTTTATGTAGTTCAAGATGATAAAAGATGACACGTAGATAAGTATTAGTTCATCAGTTTATTGATTAAACTAGTATTTTGCCCCCTGCAAGCAGGGGATTGGTATTTGAGATAAATTAATATAAAAAATCATATGTTTAAAATCAAAACAGTTTAATATAATATTTAAGTAAACAAATTATATAAAATTAGTAAAAAATAACATGTTTGAAATTAAAACAGTTTAACATTTTCACTATTAAAATACTTTAATTTTGAGAATTGGATAATAGAAAAAGAAAGTAAACATACTTATCCAAGATATTTATATAGTAGTATCTAGGTGTATTTTATAATTATACAAAATTATAAAATAATACATTTTAGTGTTTGATATAGATAATTAAACATGTATAAAATGATTTATTTTGTTAATTAATTTTATCACGAGAAAATATTTATTGATAGTGTAATAAGTAAAAAATGGAAAATAAATATTTAAAAAATTAAAAATAAATATTTATTTTGCATATCACTTTGTCGTTTTTTATGTTTCTCAAATCCAGAAAGATAGATCACAGAACAAAAAAAAATCAGCCTAATATATTTAATTTACAAATGTTATCATTATTAAATGGATAAAACCTCACTTTCTACTGAAGACATCTTTACATTTTACTATTTTTGTAATGTTGTGTTTTTGGTTATTACCAAAAAAATATTGTGTTTCTAGTAGTTGTTTCATCTTGTAAATAATCACACTAATACTTGAAACAAAATTGAAATAAAAATGTCAAATTACGTATCTATAAATCTATGATAATAATTAATAATTTAGATAAAACTCCAAAAATCGAAAATTAATAGATTACCTAAAATAAATGTTTTTTTCTTTGCAGATTTTTTTGTCGAATTTTCTTTGCAAATTTATAAAAGATTATATGGGCTAAACATTTCTGATATATATATGATGAAAGTGACGATAATGTGTTGTAAAGATGAGAAGTTAAAATGATCATGGATAGTTATGAGATTGTTTTAAAAAAATGATTTAAAAGATACAAATTTTTGTGATAAAAAAATAAAAGGTAAATTAGTTTAAAGCATAAAAGGACATTTGTCAATACTACAATTGTCAACTGACTTGTGTTTTATAAGTATAAATATTTAACTGATACGGATTAGACTTGTGAAATGTTTACGTATGGAAGAGATTATCATTTTAAGATGTTAAGAAATTCATTTATGTTTTATCTTAACAAGCATCGTTAGGCAATGGAAAGCAAAAACAAAACCGAATAATAATATATTTGATCTTTTCAATAATATACACATTATGTCTTTTTTTTTGGTCGTCTAACTATTATGAGTACGATAAATCTTTATACTTTTTTTTTGCCGCTATACCTGAAGAGAGATATTTATAGTCATTTCTCGAAATAAAATAAAAAGTAAAAAACCTTTTAACTCGGGAACAGAAAAAAAAAAAATTGAAATCCCGATAAACCTTAATGAGAGTCAAAAGAGTGGAGAATGTTCCTATTTCAGTAAATTTTTGCTTTTTCTGTAAAGGTGACAGTAAAAATTCTTTTAAAAAAAATCCAAAACCTTCGAATTATTATTTCAGGAAAAAGGAAATCTGACAAAATAAAATTTAAACAGAAGAAAGAAAGCAACCAATCTTATGCAAGAGAATCCAAATTCACTTGTCTCTATTTTAAAAAAATCGTCCTTTATGAAGGTTTTTGCCAAAGCGTTTATTAGTGCCCAGAATTAAACGCAATCCACTTCAATCCAAAAATCCTCAAAAGAAAAAGAAAAAAAAAACCTCTCATCTTCTCCCTCAAAACTTTCTCTCTCTGTAAGAAAGCTTAAACCTTTCTGGGTTTTCTTTAACCATGGCCGCTAATTGGACAAGGGCTAGTTTCTTGCTGGCTCTGGTAATAATGACGGTGGCGATTCTCACTTCTCCAGTCGTCTCCGGCGGAAACGCGTTTTCCGATCTTAAAATCCGTACCCACTTGAAACGACTCAACAAGCCAGCTCTCAAATCGATTAAGGTATGTTCAACAGAGCTATTATTAGAGAAAGGACAACCACAAAGCCCCATAAATTTTCAATTTTTAATTATTTTTTTTTTAGTAATAATTTCGAATTTTCAAACAGAGCCCAGATGGAGATATAATCGACTGTGTCCCAATCAGCGACCAACCAGCTTTTGCTCATCCTCTGCTCATTAACCACACTGTCAAGGTTTTAGAACTTGTTCTGTTTTGTTGAGAGTCTCTGTACTTTCCTTTTTTGGCTCTGAGTAAATCCTGACATTGTTGTTGTTGTTGTTGTTAATGGGTTTCTTTAGATGATGCCAAGTTTCAACCCAGAGAGTGTTTTTAGCGAGAGTAAAGTTTCGTCGACCACCAAGAAAAATCAGCAGTCTCATGCTATAACTCAGCTTTGGCATGTGAATGGGAGATGCCCAGAGAACACAGTTCCCATCAGAAGAACGAGAAGGCGAGATCTTTACAGAGCGAGCTCCGTCGAGAAATTCGGTATGAAGAATCAGAAAAGCATCCCTAAACCTAAATCTGTTGAGCCACCTAGTGTCCTTACACAAAATGGTCACCAGGTAATGCTTTTGTTGTCGTCATATATATCAGTTTTAAATTAACCAACTTTCTAACTCTCTTTGTGGGTTTTGATATGCAATAGCACGCGATAATGTATGTGGAAGATGGTGTTTTCTACGGGGCTAAAGCGAAGATTAATGTGTGGAAACCTGATGTGGAAATGCCCAATGAGTTTAGTTTGGCTCAGATTTGGGTTTTGGGTGGAAATTTCAACTCTGATCTCAATAGTATTGAAGCTGGCTGGCAGGTTTTTGTGTTCTTCAGAAGGTTTCTGATAATACTCTGTCCTGTAGAAAAAAAAAACGGTTTCTTGATATAAAGATTTGTGTGTTTCAGGTGAGTCCACAATTGTATGGTGATAATCACACCAGACTCTTCACTTATTGGACTGTAAGTTTCCTGAATATTTCGAATTTGTTTATCTTTCTTTGTTTTAGTTGATTTGAAGAATCATTGTTTTGTGTACCATGTGAAAAACAGAGTGATGCATACCAAGGCACAGGCTGCTACAACCTTCTCTGCTCAGGTTTCGTTCAGATCAATAGGGAAATTGCAATGGGTGGATCAATCTCTCCTTTATCCAACTTTGGAACCTCTCAATATGACATTACCATACTTATCTGGAAGGTAACACCAACAACAAGAATCCAACTTCAAATCCTTGAAAGCTAAGAATGCTTTTAGCTCACAAAATAGGGATGTTCTCATTCGAATTTTCATTATTTTTGATATGTATATACCAAACTAGTAAAACTATATATGTTTGGCTCGGTTCGGTTTTAGATGAAGTAACCAATACTATTAGTTTGAGGAGTTTTTTGGTTTTGGTTTTGATTCAGGATCCGAAAGAAGGGCATTGGTGGTTACAGTTTGGAGAGAAGTACATAATGGGATACTGGCCAGCTTCGCTCTTCTCTTACTTATCAGAGAGCGCATCGATGATCGAATGGGGAGGCGAAGTGGTGAACTCGCAGGAGGAAGGACAACACACGACCACTCAGATGGGGAGTGGGAGGTTCGCTGAGGAAGGTTGGGGAAGAGCCAGTTACTTCAAGAACGTTCAAGTTGTCGATGGCTCCAACGAGCTGAGAAACCCTGACAATCTTCAAGTCTTTACTGATCAAGAGAACTGTTACAATGTCAAGAGTGGCAATGGAGGTTCTTGGGGAAGTCACTTCTACTATGGTGGTCCTGGTCGAAACCCTAACTGCCCTTAAAAGATCTCTCTCTCTACTTACTTGCGTCGCAGATCATTCCAAAATTAGTCAATTGTATAAAAACATATAATATATATATATATATACACATTCTTAAGTATATTGGTTTCAGATATCAAGAGTGGTTTTTAGGGTTTGTTTCAGAGTGTTTCTCTGTTTCTATGGAGTGATGAGAAGATAAAATTTCTTTAAAGAACATGGTCCCATGTGTATGTATACTGATATCTATATGATTACATTAATTAATTGTATTTGTTTTGTATTTGTCTATCTGAGCGGCACTTTTTTTTTTTTTTTTTTTTTTGATTTTAGTGACCTGTATTATATGATTGCCTTGTCTATTAATATAACAAAACATGGAGATGGTTGGACTTTGGATCTTCCATTAATCAGTCAAGTAACAATTTCCATTAGAATTATTGGTCAAACTCCACTAGACTAAAATGATTAATAAATTTATATAACATAATATAGCTGTCATCATTTGAAAGTACCATGAACTAAAGCATGTTAGAATGTAAAGGGAAAAAATCTTAGGATAAAATCGAATTTCAATTTATGATTTCACCAATGCGGATTAGAGATCTATCTTTTAATATCCGATGTTAAAGTCAACGAAAACGGTTGGGCCAAGAAACCACAATAGAGTTGACTTTGATCGCGTTGACGAGTTCTCTCAACCGAAAAAGTAAGATGAATTTAACATTGTAAGGTAATTAATTTAACAAAATATTCAATTTACCCTCTTAGTTTAGTTTTTTTATCCTCCTATCATTTTGCTCTGTTTCTGCTTACGTCATCAATCCATAGATTTTAATTTTACAATGACGCCTCCCTCTCTCTTAAGTCAGAGCTAAGATCACTTAAATCATCATGTTGATAAAAGTTGGTAGAAACAATCAGGAATGTTTTTAAACAGAGACGAGTAGAAAAAATTGCCTCCAAAGATTTCATCTTCGCACAAGCACCAAACTTGTGCGCAAAGAGGAAACAGAGCATTTTAAGAGAGGGCCAGGGTATAATTATGGCGTTTGTGTCTCATCTCTTTCATATTCCCAAGTATTTCTGGGAAGAAGGGAGAGCAATTGGGATAAATACCACTGATGATGAATTGGAGATGAAGTTCCTCTCGAGCTTAGCTATGAGGTCACACGTCCCTTGTTCAGGCTCAGGCAACTTTGTGGCTCAGGCAACTTAGAATTTAAAGGGAACAAATCTTAGAATAAAACCGAACAAATCTTTGCAGATAAACATAACTGTTACAATGTGAAGACAGGAAATGTCAAGTGTCCTTAATTTGGATCTGTTTGTTCAAAAGCTTTTGAGGATTTCACACACATGTCTGTATTTGTGTCATAGTGACAGAAACAAATACAGTATAGTGGTTTGTAATGTAATCATTGCTGTATTATATATATAATCCATGTTCAGATTCGGTAGTATGCGAGTTGTATACGATAATTCAATGAGATAAACCATTTAAGAGGGAAAAAAATCCACGTCATGAGAGGTGTTCCTATCTATCAATTGATATCAATCTGTTTACAGCTTACAAAGAGTCGAAATAATTCGAGAATAATAAAGACGTATTTAATGAAAGATAACTAGAAACACAGCTGTTTTAGACTGAATTAGAAAACTAAAAAGAAGTAAGCATGCACGTTTAATAAATGTAGATTAAACCATGTACGTTATTCTCTGACCTGTTGAGGAATCGTTGGACGGAAACTCTTTTTTTTTTTTTTAGCAATGACTAATTAATATTATCATAATTATGCCTGTGGAATACAACGCATGAATTCGATATCAACAACAGCATACTGGATAAAGAAAACGTATTATTTTCCTCTGTTAAGGCAAATTATATATGCAAAAGGTCTAACATTGATATTTTTTTGTCAACAAAACAAAGATATCAATGTTAGACCTTTACATCAAACAAACATGTACTAATGTGAATATAATTCTTCAAAGGAAAAACATGGGCATATAATTTGTAAATGGAGAGCCTAAATGTGTATATACAATATTTTTGTCATGATGTTACATTATTAAAAAGAAAACAAATAATGTCAAGAATCACAAGAGACGTAATCTACGTAAATACAGTAGTTAGACGTGCAAAACATTGCTTAATAAATTATAGACTTTGATGATCGAATCAAAGGCTAAACAACCTAACAGTGATTTGTGATGACTTTTCGTTTCACAATAAATACCTGACATGTGCTGTTTCTCTGCAGATAAGACCTAATCGTTGAAGTTTTGTGTATGTGGTTGATCTAACTCGACCAAAAGTATTGATTCTGTCCCCATTTCCCTTCAAGCCTGTCTTTAGCACGACACAACATAAATCACAAAGTCATTATTTGTCTTTTTATTTTTGGATTCGTGAAATTAAAATGGGTAACAGTTCCTCTGCTCAAAGCTCATCACCATCTTTGCCCATTGATTCCACCTTCGATCTTCCTTCTCCATTGCCATCTTGGCCTTCAGGTTCATGTTTTGATCTTACTTTTGGTTTATCCTCTGTTTTAGCTCTGTTTGTTTTTTTTCCTTTTTTTCAAATGTTTATAACTTTTTTTGCTGTGAACTAACAGGAGAAGGGTTTGCAAAGGGCAGAATAGACTTGGGAGGTCTTGAAGTTTGCAATGTAACAGCATTTAACAAAGTATGGGCTGTATACGAAGGAGGAAAAGATAATCTCGGAGCCACTTTCTTTGAGCCATCTTCAGTACCTGAAGGCTTCTCGATTCTCGGTTTCTACGCTCAACCAAATAACCGCAGGCTTTTTGGATGGACAGTTGCCGGGAAAGACCTCTCTGGCGACTCTTTAAGACCACCGGCGGATTATATTCTTCTTTGGAGCGGCAAATCCACAAAGGTAGGGAACAATGGGGGCGAAACTGGATACTTTTGGCAGCCTGTGCCTCCTGATGGTTACAACGCAGTGGGTCTGATTGTGACAACTTCGGCTGAGAAACCTCCACTAGACAAGATCCGTTGTGTCCGTTCTGATCTAACCGATCAATCCGAGCCTGACGCTAAGATATGGGAAACTAATGGGTTTAGCGTTTCGAGTTCTAGGCCCCTTAACAGAGGAACACAAGCTTCTGGAGTCAGCGTTGGCACGTTCTTCGCAAACTCCTCAAATCCAACCTTGGCTTGTTTGAAAAACAACAAATTCAACTTTTCTTGCATGCCAAGCAAGCTCCAGGTCGATGCTCTGTTTCAAGCTTACGCTCCTTGGGTCTATTTCCACAAAGATGAGAAGTATCTACCTGCTTCGGTCAACTGGTTCTTCAGCAACGGTGCCTTGCTTTACAAGAGAGGCGAGGAATCAAACCCGATCCCGGTCGAACCAAACGGCTCCAACCTTCCCCAAGGAGAATCCAACGACGGTCTCTACTGGTTAGACCTACCAGTTGCTTCTGACGCAAGAAAACGAGTCCAAGGCGGGGATTTACAGAGCATGGAAGTGTATCTGCACATAAAACCCGTTTTCGGTGGAACCTTCACGGACATAGCAGTGTGGATGTTTTATCCGTTCAACGGCCCATCTCGGGCCAAGCTCAAGCTCGTCACAATCCCGCTGGGGAGAATCGGTGAACACATTGGTGACTGGGAGCATTTCACTCTCCGGATAAGTAACTTCAGCGGCAAGCTACATCGGATGTACCTGTCGCAACACAGCCGAGGAAGCTGGATCGATGCTTCGGAGATTGAGTTTCGAGGCGGGGGAAACAAACCGGTGGCTTACGCTTCTTTGAACGGACACGCAATGTACTCGAAGCCGGGACTTGTGTTACAAGGCAAAGACGATGTAGGGATTCGGAACGATACAGGAAAGAGTGAAAGAGTAATCGATACGGCGGTTAGGTTTAGTGTTGTTGCGGCGGAGTATATGAAAGAAGTGGAGGAGCCGGTTTGGTTGAATTATATGAGACATTGGGGACCAAAGATTGATTATGGTCATGAAGATGAGATAAGAGGAGTGGAGAAGATTATGGTCGGGGAGAGTCTTAAGAATATGTTTAGGAGTGCGATTAAAGGATTGCCTAATGAAGTTTTTGGAGAGGAAGGGCCTACTGGTCCCAAGCTGAAGCGGAATTGGTTAGGTGATGAAGACTGAATCTCCTCTGTTTTTTTCTTTCTTTTAATGTTTGGTTTTTCGGATTATTAGCACCTTAGGGGACATTTCCGAAGACAGTTATATTTCCTTTTGTGTGATGTTTTGTACTCTTTGTATTGTTTAAAAGTTTACCATGATTTACCAAGTTTATCATGTTTAAAAAGCTTGTAATGTAAACATTATTATATGACTTTTGTGAAGAGACAGATCGATGGTAGTATTTGTCCATAGTATATAGCTACTAATAAAACATTGAATCATCACCTATATATACTTCTTCTATGTTTCTTAAGACTCATAAATTTGTTTACGAGTAAAACGTAACGATAATTTTTTTTTGTTTTGAAACCGAAAACGTAATGATATATCTATAATTGTTGATATCGAGTACGATTGTTAACAAAAGGATGAAAGCCTTGACTGAAAAGCAAGCGGACAAACTTTATAGAAATCATATATAGAGGTATCATAAGAATAAACATAAGTTTTAATTATAAAGTAATAGATGAGTCTCTTAAAAATTGAGAGATCCACTTATTATTTTACTATTTTACTATTTCATTGTTTGTTGAGAAATTCTCTTAGAACTTTGGTGGGCTTATCATGAATTAGGTGGGGGTGGCTGGTGGTTTCGGAATCCTGTAGAAAATACTTCTTTTATGCCTCGGGTATTAGCCAAAGCTCGTATTCGTTCTGTAATTTTACTCCTTTTAAGTACTTACGATTGTCATCTGCATATTTGCGTTGAGTTTACTTATCAAGGTCAACTCTCTCCTCGTCTGTAGGACAAGTGAAGACACACAGAAAATGACAGAAGTAACAATATCACACCTCCATAACATTCAAAATCACACTTTCAAAAAGTTCATAGTTGCATTGCCAAAAGAAATTAAGTTTAATTGTATAGTCAAACCCTTGACGCATGGGGAAAGTAGTTTAGATAAAGAAGAACCAATAAAAAAATCAATTTTAATTGTTGATACCAAACTAACTAATATCATCAAAGCAAGGTATTTGAAGAGCTTACCAGAGAACAAGCCCAAGTTTTGATGGCTTCAATGCACCTCTCAAACGGTAATTATAGAAATAGCAGTACATGGATCTGTCCATCTCCTGGATCAAACCTCAACTCTTTAAAGAAACTCTCATTGTGCATCACATCCAACGCATATAAAATATCAAAACCTTTTTGCTTAGAAACGATTAGGGCATCATTCATCAGCTGAGGAAACGAGGTCTCTGTCGCAACATTGTAGTAGTTGTGTATTTCTGAGTTACCAAGGATTGTTAAAGTGGTCATGTAGAAGCTGCACAAGTCAGTGAGATCATGAGTTTGAGGGCTTTCTACTAGGTAAGTTTGGACGACATCTTCTATCGGGAGAAGCCAGTGCCCAACATCATTTTCATCAAAGTCAGTGGCAATTCCAAACTGGCTAAAATAGTACTAGTTCTTCAACAGCCCTGTAACAGCAAGGACGTCACGTCCTTCCATTTTCTTGTTTACCCAGGAGTGATGAGTGCATGTGGTAACTTATAAAGCTTGTTGGCCATGCTCATTGTCATTCTACCAAGCGTTGTAAACTCAACATCGATGGGTTCAACAATATGTAGTAGCTTTGTTCAATACCGAAAACTTTTTACGCATAGTAAACATCACAATGTTGGATCCAAAACCAAACCTTGCGGAAGATCCATTAACTAAGGATTGGTCAAAAAAGCTGGGAAAGCAGCCATGTACAATGTTAGTGCGTTTTCGCGTCCTTGTTTATACACTATGTAGTCATATGTTTAAACCCCTTGTGTATGTGTATTTCTTTTTCTTCCACCTCCCAAAAAAACTACAACCTATAAGCCAATATGCAGCAAGTGATTTCAATCTCATGCGAATGAGCAATGCAGTTTCTCCAAAGCCAAGAAGGTTTCATCTTGTGGATGCAAGTAGTTCAGGGAGTCAGATGGACCAACAGGCTCAGAAAGTAACACACATTTGCGATTTTTTTTTTTTCCAAAACTTACCGAGAAAAGCTTTGGGCAAATGTTTGTTTAATTCTAATGTTCTTCTTAGCGATTGTTAAATAAACATTTAGTTTTGGTATAGTTTCTACAAATAAAAGTACTAGCCGCGTAAAACAAACCGGATTTGGTTTTGATGTATATATTATTTCCTCCATTTCATAAAAAATGTATTTCTGATATAATTTTTTTTTAAAAGTCCAGTTTAACTTTATTATATTAATGTATTAATTAAAAAAGAAGAAAATTGTGTAATATATTTATAAAAAATAAAAGAGAATTTTTATTAAATTTCTTAATTTATGTGAAAAAATGTCAAAATGGAAATCTTTGTGAAATAGAGAAGTACTATGTATACCCGTATTTAAAAATATTTAATTTATGTTACTCACTATTTGTTTTGACTTTTGACAATGGCAGATATTCTCAAATGAGAAATTTAAGTTCATTCTCAAATGCCAGAAAATTTAATTTTAGTTCATTCTATAATATTGGTATTTGTCTAAAGTTGTGTATTTTGTTATAGAGCATTAGAAAGTGTACGTTGTTAATTAGAAACTTTAAGTTCACTAGCTTTCGATCTCTTTTGAATTATGCGAATACACCATGTAATTAAAATCATAATAGGGACTCGTTCAAACCAACAAATTAGTCACAATCAGAATAACACGAACGCTGGAGCAAGACTAACACGGTAAGCATGGATCAACTCGAAATCTTCTGAACAGAGTATAATAGTATATCACAATATTGTAAACCCTAACTGGAGCATTACATGAGATAGCTCGCCAGATGATCCTCACAATGAATATTATTAATATGAGCTTTAACAAAAAAAAAAAAAGAATATTCTTAATATGAGAAAATAAAGTTGCCGTATTTGACTTTGCCATATTTGAAAAATCAACAACAAGAGTCATGCATGGAAATAGAATTTTCAGTGCATACACATTAATTATATATGGACGCAATATTGTAATGACCCAGCTCCAGCCTATTTGAATAAGTTTAAATAGATTAATTTTTTTGTCATTGGTCTAGAGAGAACTTCACAATTAAATGTGCTTTAGCTGGAGTAGGACTAGGATGGGTGACTTTTCGGGAAGTGATTCCCGAAAGCGTGTGAGTGAGGCTAAACCACGGGGAAAGATCATGTGGTGATGGCAGGGTCAGTAAATAAGTCGGTTGGGCTCCGAGAAAAATAACGCACCGGCCGTCGGACAGAGGTGGGGCCTACGAGCCCGACGGAGGGATGTGTGACTCGCCGGTAGGAGCGGTCGGAGGCGTTACAAGTGGTATCAGAGCCTAGAAAGTCAAACTGGTTCTGTCTCAGGAGACTGTCTTGGGGTTTGGGGGTTTAGGCTCACACTATCGGGATCAGAATTCGGGGACGAATTCTCGTTTAGTGAAGGAGAATTGTAATGACCCGGGCTCAGCCCATTTGAATAAGTTCAAATGGATTAATTTGGCTACCTATGTCATCAAAATGCACTTATCTTTTCGGTCACTGGTCTAGAGAGAACTCCACAGTTAAGGATGCTTTAGCTGGAGTAGGACTAGGATGGGTGACCTTTCGGAAAGTGATTCCCGAAACCGTGTGAGTGAGGTCAAACCACGGGGAAAGATCATGTGGTGATTGCAGAGTTAGTAAATAAGTCGGTTGAGCTTCAGGAAAAATAACGCACCGGCCGTCGGATAGGGATGGGGCCCACGAGCCGGAGGGATGGGTGACTTGCCGGTAAGAGCGGTCGGAAGCGTTACAAATATGACCATAGATCATATGAAAGGAAATGAATTGACAACTTGAAGCTAATTAAGTCTTTGTATAACAAGGGAGACTGGCTTGTTCTGATGATGTTTAAGTCATGAGTCGATTTTCATTGATTTTGAAGTCATGAGGGGTTGTGATGATGTTTAAGTCATGAGTCCATTTTCATTAATGGTGTAACTGAAACCACTCAAAAATAATTATCTGATTTCTTATTTTATAGAATATAAGAGCAGTCTACACCTATAAATTTCAATAGTACTAGAATTTGTTTTTAAAATTCAGAGACCAGCATCTAAAGGTTTTGCTAAGGAATTACTTAACCATGATGGGAGTGGCCGGTTTCACAGTAGCTCTGATGGTGATGACGGCTATAGTGTCTCCTTGCGTCTCTGAAAAAGAGTTCTCCGATCACCGAGAAATCAAAATACAAAGACTTTTGAAGCGGCTCAACAAGCCAGCTCTCAAATCTATCAAGGTATCTTATACAAATTATATATGCATAAACTCCATATGATTTGATTATTCGCATACAGAATTTCTTGAGCAATTTTTTTCGCTTTTTGCAGAGTGAAGATGGAGATATAATAGATTGTGTTCCATTAACTAGTCAACCAGCTTTTGATCATCCCCTGCTTAAGAACCACACCATCCAGGTTTGCCTTCATTTTCGGTCTCTCTTTTGCTTATACATGCATGATCGTGTTTAAACGGGAATATTTCGCACGTAGATGAAACCGAGTTTTATCCCGGAAAGTGAGTCTACGAACACCAAGAAAAAGACAACGGCTACTCAGGCGTGGCACAAGAGTGGAGGGTGTCCGGAAAACACAGTTCCGATAAGAAGAATAAAGAAAGAAGATATCTTACGAGCAAAATCCATTGAGGGTTTCGGGAAAAAGACTACCACAAGCATCCCTGAAGATACAAATCCAAGTAAAAACCATGAGGTAATACATATTATGCATTGTCCTAATTGTGTTAATTAATACTGGCTTAATTTACATTTTTCTCCCCCGTTTTATGGAGCTGGTTTAGTACGCGATCATGAATTCCATTAATGGAAAGTATTTCGGGACAAAATGTGTAATAAATATCTGGAAACCAGAAGTTCAAGTTCCCGAGGAGTTCAGCTTGGCTCAGACTTGGCTCGTGTCTGGATTTGGCAATACTCGCAACACCATTGAAGTTGGTTTGCAGGTCTTCTACTTGTCTTTGGTTCTCTTCTCCATCCTTAAGTACATTTTGTTCATATGCAAAACATCTTAACTAACACTACCTTTGCATGCCTTAAATTATAGGTTTATCCAGGAAAGTATGGTGACAATAATCTTAGATTATTTGTTTACTGGACAGTAAGTTCCCATTTTCTATAACATTTACACCCAAAAAAAAAAAAATCTCCCATTTTCTGCCCTAATTAAAAATATTAAAAATCTAGGTTTACATTTGTCGGCTGTTGGTTAAATTTAGAAATATAGACTGTTTTGTACAACGACAATCGTTATTGGATAGATATATCAAATTAATCTAAAAAGATAGATATAAAATTGTCTCTTTTTCCGAAAATAGGCCGATGGATACCAAAGCACAGGGTGCTACAACAACGATTGCGCAGGTTTTGTTCAAAAGAGCAACCTTATCACTGTAGGTGGAACCTACACTAGCGTCTCACAATACGATGGAGGTCAATACGAGCTCTCCATACTTGTCTGGAAGGTAACATCGCTCTACATCACTGAGTGGTGGATGAAATTTTAAAAATATATACAGTGGGCCCATTGGGGGACTTTAGTAGTCATGAAATGGGATGTATTAATTTGAGTACGTTACCATCGACTTCAACACCTAAAAGGGATTAATTATGTCGATTATCTAGAACGGCGAAAACTGGTGGCTAATGATTGGTGATGAGGTTGTCGGGTACTGGCCTGGCAAGTTGTTCAATTCTCTTGGAGATGGAGCGAGGTTAGTTCAATGGGGAGGTGAAGTCGTGAACTTGGAGACCGACGGGAAACACACGGCCACCGATATGGGAAGTGGGCATTTTGCAGACGAAGGGTTTAAGAAAGCGAGCTATTTCAGGAATCTTAAGACAGTTGATGGAACCAATACTCTGAGAGAAGCGCAAGGAATTTACCCTTTAACCGGTCATGATAACTGTTACAACGTTAAGGCAGGAGATGGTGGAACTTCCTGGGGGACTAATTTCTTCTATGGTGGTCCTGGTCAGAACGAGAAATGCCCTTGATTTTGTATCTCTGCGAACTCAAACCATTTCACATGTTTATAATTCGAATAAGAAAATGTGGTATATTTAATGTTAATATTATGTGTGTCCTTGGTGATACTTATACATATGTGCATGTTAAAGCTTTTCAGAATTCCCACACGTAAGTTGAATAAGAATATATGTATGTTTGATAAAATACAGTTTCTACATAGATCATTATATTTATATATATATGAGGCCTAGATCTAACAGTTATAGATATAACAACGCTGTTCCCATGGCTCAAAAAGCCCATACGACCTAGGCAGAGATACTCCGACACAATTTAATCCAAACCTGAGCAAATGTTGGTCATCCGATTAATTGGCGTCGGGAGCACTCGTCGCTGGGTCGAGTAGCAATACCTTAGACCATGGCTAGCTACTAGCTGCTTTTGTGAAAAAAATCATCATTATAACTTTTTGTGAAGAGACAGATCGATTTTGAATTTTCATATTTGTCTCCGATATCCTTAAACTGCACAACCGGTTGAGTCTCCCAGAACTTATGGACCTTTGAATACTTGTGCCCTCGACTTTTTGATCCCACAGAAGTATCGTCCTTGGCTAATGGGTTTGCTTCAACGATTTGAGCTGCTTTCTCGTCTTTAGAGCCAAGGTGAAGTTTTGGCATGTTTTCAGACAGGATCTTTGAGCTCTTTGTTATTGTTTAAAAGTTTACCGTGATTAATTTTACCAAATTCATCATATCATGTTTAAAAAGTTTGTGATGTAATTTAGTAATCTACCATGTTTAAAAATTATAAGTTTGTGAAACTCGTAGAACTATTCTTCTTCTATGTTTCTTACGACTAATAAATTTGTTAAGAGTAAAACGTAACGATGTTTTTAACGGTTGATATCGAGTATATATGATTGTTTAAAATTTAGAATACAAAACTATTATATGCTTTCAATTGTAATGTCACAACATTTGACCCGGAGGATTTGACCCGCACCCAGGGATATCTAGGACATGTGAAGATACACACAGAAGATGGCACAAGTAACAAAATCACACTTCCAAATAATTAAAAATCGCAGTTCCAAAAATTTCAAATTAAATCGCATTGCCAAAAGAACATTAAACTCAGTTTCAGTAACGCATGGGAGAATTGAAGTAGTTCAGATAAAGAAGAACCAATAAAAAAAAAAATCAACTTTAATTGTTGATACCAAACTAATTAAAAGCAAGGTATTTGAAGAGCTTACTAGAGAACAAGCCCAAATTCTGATGGCTTCAATGCACCTCTCAAACGGTAGTTATAGAAATAGTAGTACATCTGTTCATCTCCTGGATCAAACCTCAACTCTTTAAGGAAACTCTCATTGTGCATCACATCCAACGCAAAGAACACATCAAAACCTTTTTGCTTAGAGACGATTAGGGCATCATTCATCAGCTGAGGAAACGAGGTCTGTGTCGCAACATTGTAGTAAGAATAAGCGCATTCAACCGTAGTGTATTTCGAGTTACCAAGGACTGTTAAAGGGAGAGCATAGAAGCTGCACAAGTCAGTGACTTCATGAGTTTGAGGGCTTTCTACTACGTAACTATGGACGACATCTTCTCTCGGGAGAAGCCAGTGCCCGACATCATCTTCATCAAAGTCAGTGGCAACTCCAAACTGGCTAAGGTAGTTCCTCAACAGCCCTGTAACAGCAGGGACGTCACGTGGTTCCATTTTCCTAAATCCAGGAGTGATGGGTGCATCTGGTAACTTGTAAAGCTTGTTGGCCATGCTCATTGTCATTTTACGGAGCGTTGTAAACTCAACATCGACCAGCTTCCTTGGGTTCAACAATCTGCAATAGCTCTGGCAGGTGGTGGCTGGTGTAGGAATTATATCTTGTGAGGTATAAGCCGCTTGCCATATACTCTGCAACTGAACCATTCTAGTCATCTCCTTCATCAAGACACTAGCAAATCCCCGAGACCGGTACTTTTTGTGAACACACATAAAACTGATCGTCGCCATCTTAACAACCTCATCACGCACCCTGATTCTTGTTGGCACGCCACTGATGAAAGCAACGAGTTTCTTCGACGTCTTCACACGAACTCCAATATGCCAGTTCTTGTGATAACCAGGTGGACACAATGCCCACTTTAGATGCTCCCTTGAGTAACTAAGCTTGAAGTTATATCCCTCATCAGGATAGTGCGACTCTAAAAATTTGTAAACCTCTAAACACATATCATCAGAGTTCATATCGCAGGTGGTCCATTCGAAAAGACTAGGAAGGTTATAGGGCTCTTGCTTGACCTTAGATAAAGCAGTTGCGGGCTCAATTGGGCCTTCAGGCAAACTCTTGTCTCCGATATCCTTAAACTGCATAACCGGTTGAGTCTCCCAGAACTTATGGACCTTCGAATACTTGTGCCCTCGACTTTTTGTTCCCACAGAAGTATCGTCCTTGGCTAATGGGTTTGCTTCAACGATTTGAGCTGCTTTCTCGTCTTTAGAGCCAAGGTGAAGTTTTGACATGTTTTCAGACAGGATCTTTGAGCTCTTGCCGCCCTCATCTACATCATGGGTATTGACATCAGACGGCTTCATCTCCTTCAAATTCGGGGACAAGAAACAAAGACGCGTAATGGTTTAGGGTTTGTCGAGTTCTTAGGTTTTTTTAAGGGCTCTTGCTTGACATGTTTTAATGACTTTAATGCTAGATGGGCCGATGTTAGAATTGGGCCTGTAACATAGTTCACTAAAACTCGCAAAGAGTGTTTGAATGACTCAATTGATGACATCATTTGCTCATTGCCAATCAAAAGATGTGTTACGTGAAAGGAGTCCACGTCATCGTATTCGAAATTATGTGTGTCCTTGATATAATATATACGTAATATGTGTGAGCTTTTCATAATTCCCACGTAACTTGAGTAAGAATATATATGTTTGATAAAATACAGTTTCTACATGGATCATTATTTTTATATATGACCTAGATCTAATCTAACAGTTAGATATAGCAACGCTCTTCCCATGTTCAAAAAGCCCATTGCTAGGCAGAGATACTCCGACACAATTTACTCCAAACCTGAGCAACACATGTTGGTCATCCGATTAATAAACCGATGGATTTTTGGTATATGTAGTTCAGTATGACCAATTCATGATGATCATTGTTAGTTAGACTCGATAAAATATAAAACGAAATTAAAAAATTCCTCCGGAATAACATTTCTACGGCATACTATTTATTTCTTGACTTGTGTAGTTTTACCACTGACAAATCTATCAGAAGATAAGGTTTCTAAGCACTAATTTCAGAAGAAAAAAATGTTTATCATTAGATGATAAGGTCTTTAAGCACTAATTTTAGAAAAAAAATACCACAAGATTTGTTAGTGGTTACGACAGTAACACTAACCCAAGTTGTGGGATTTGGGATGACATCCTAACAAATATAGTGGCCTATTGACTCATGACTTAAACAAGTGAATGCAGAACTACTATCCTTAAATTTCATGGTAATTGTAATATCACGTGTTCTAGATCATACGTTAAAATCCGGATAGCCGAATCATTCCGTAAACAATCAAAATAAGTTAAATATAAATAGAACAAAATTCAACTAAAAATGTAGTACAACACTCCCACTAGAGTTCAAACTTCTCTAAAAACAAAAATCACATCTATTTAGGCCCTTTAACAAAAAAAACAAAAAAAAACAAAATTCAACTAAAAATTGTGATGTTTTAGAGAATCTTGTTTTATTTTATTTTTAGTTTGTTAAACTATAATATTTTTACAATTAACTTGATGAATACCGTTTTAATACTTTATATACCTATGTAATAACTATATTGAGCGGAACGAATATCAGAATATGTAAACTCAGTTTTACTGGTTTAGATTACTAAAACATTTTAAGAATTGAGGAGGTCGATACAAAATGGAAAAATGCTGATCCGGCGGTGAAGGGGGATCAAAAACGTATCACAAAAATTCAAGATAGTGTCACCGCTCTGCCTTAACTCTAAATTGTTAAAGTCATGGGTCAATGTTTATTTATTTTCATGGGTTTATTATTATTGTAACCATTGACAAATCTATAACAAGATGGTATATAAGACCTATAAGCACTAATTTATTAATTAATATAATAAATGAAATGAGCAATCTACTCCTATATAAAGTCCAAAGAGTATTTGATTAAGAATTAGAAAAAAAAAACATCCAAAGAGTACGTACCATCTGAAAATTGCTAAGGATAATAAATTATATGATGGGAGTGACCGGCTTCACGCTTGTTCTGATAGTGTTAACGGTGATAATCTCTCCTTGTGTCTATGGGAAAGAGCTTTCTGATCATCGGGAAGTACATAGACTACTTTTGAAGCGGCTGAAGAAGCATGCTCGTAAAACCATTACGGTATCTAATACAAAAGATTGTTTTTTACGTGCATAGAAAAAAACCAAATAAACAAAAATTGGAGAAATTTGATATTAGGGTTCATACATTGGTATATGTTATTATTTTTTACGGTTATTACCGTTGTTTAATATATATTCTATTCTTCTTGAAACTAATGTGCTTTGTTCCCGGAATCTAAGTATACTACTAGAGAGATATGTTGAAAATAAAAGGATATAACACTTATAGATTTACTTGAACGACCTTTTTTAGTCGATAATTCACTATATGTTTGTCTCATTTCTCATAGTTTTACTAACTACTATGGAAGATGTTGATATTTTTAAAAAATTATATTTAACCAAATTCTAAATTTAATATAGATTGATAAAACCAAAAAATATGAAGCTATAAGTGAGTGGCATGAAATGTAAAACTCTTACAAGCTAAAAGGTTAGTTTCTAATTTTTTTCACTTGATATATAGAAAATTTTCAGAAGCATCGTTAACTTCATACTTTGGGTATAATTATAATATTCGCGGACAAAAAAGAGATTAATTTGTCGCTTTAATATTTCTTACAGAGTGAAGATGGTGATATAATATATTGTGTTCCAATAACTAGGCAACCAGCTTTTGACCATCCTCTTCTTAAAAACCACACCATCCAGGTTTGCCTTCGTTTACAGTCTCTTTTTTTGTTTATACATGCGTTCATAATGTTCAAACAGGAAGTTTTTGATTGTAGCTGAGACCGAGATTCATCCCGGAGGGTGATTCTACGAGTAGCAGGGAAGAGGCAAAGGCTACTCAGGTTTGGCACAATAGTGGAGAGTATTGTCCAGAAAACACTGTTCCTATAAGAAAAACAAAGAAAGAAGATATCTTACGACGAAAATCCATTGGGAGTTTCGGTAAAAAGACTCAACAAAGCAGCCCTGGAGATCATGAGGTACGTACATTTATTAGGCATTGTCCTTTTGTTAGTTACTCTCGTGTGGCCATGAGCAGATCCAGTATATTAGTTTATGAGTGACTTTGATCAAATGTGCGAGTCTTTTACATCGTCTTATCTTTTATTTAGAATATCCAACTTATATGTCAAATAATACTGATATTTTTTTTATAATTATATGGCAAATAAAATTATACCAACTGGAAACAATAATATACCATGTAAGATGAATGATAACTAAGTGTATATTCTACACTATAATTTTTTTTCTGTTAATTTTATGAAATACTTACTAGCTATCTTACCTATCCTTCTGAACTCAGTTATAATGATATTTAAGTTGTAGGGTTTTTTAAAAAGTTTGTATTAAAGAAATTGAAAAAATAAGATTCTAAATCCGAAAATGTAGAATTAGAATAATAAATCTGATCGTCTCAGAAAATATAATTGGTAAAACAATTACAATATATTTTAGAGTCACATTCACATAACTTTTGAGGAGATATCTTGAGATCGATGAACATGCTTAAGAATTTAAGTAGAGGAGAAATATATATATTTTATATAAACGTTAAAGAGATTTCTAGTTTTAATTAGCACTTTTCCCATATTTTGGAGCCGGTTTAGTACGCAATCATGAGTACGAGGAAGGGCAATTTTTACGGGACAGAATTTGTAATGAATATCTGGAGACCAGAAGTTGAAGTCTCCAACGAGTTCAGCTTGGCTCAGACTTGGCTCGCGTCTGGAGATGGCTCTAATCTTAACACCATTGAAGCTGGTCTTCAGGTCTTCTACTTCTTATTTGATCTTCAATCCTCAACTACATCTAATTCTTCATATGCAAAACTTTTTTATATTTACATACAATATCTTCCTTTGCCTTAATTTATAGGTTTATCCAGGAAAGTATGGTGACAATAATATTAGATTATTTGTTTACTGGACGGTAAGTTCCTGTTTTCTAGAAATTTCATGTGTAACCCTAAACCTATATTGAAAGCTAATCATTTGGGAAAAAAAGTTAATTAAGACGGTTAACTACTTTATAACATTATAGAGAGATGGATACCGAAGAACAGGATGCTACAACAATGACTGCTCAGGTTTTGTTCAGACGAGCAACAAAATAACTGTAGGTGGATCCTACACTCAAGTCTCTCAATACGACGGAGCTCAATACGGCCTCCCCATACTTATATGGAAGGTACTAAGCTAACATAGTTTTGTGATCGGAAACTAGTAAACACATCATATACAACTCTTAGGTCTTATATATAGTAATTAAAGGTAACTTGTGTTGCACCCTAAGTTAAATCTGAATCTAAAGCCAAAATGGATTGCTGATTATTTTAGGACAGTGGAAACTGGTGGCTAAAGATCGGTGAAGAGCTTGTCGGGTACTGGCCTGGCTCGTTGTTTACTTCTCTAGGAGATAGAGGTTCGTTAGTTAATTGGGGCGGTGAAATTGTAAACCAAATGACCAATGGGAGACACACGGCCACCGGTATGGGAAGTGGCCGTTTCGCAGAAGAATGGTTTAAGAAAGCGAGCTATTTCAGGAAACTTATGACAGTTGATGAATCCAACACTCTCAGAGATGCACAAGGAGCTTACCCTTATGCTACTAATGGTAACTGTTACAGCATTAAAGCAGGAGATGGAAGTTCTTATTGGGGGATTTATTTCTTCTACGGTGGTCCTGGTCTTAACGATAAATGTCGTCGTTGATTTGGAATCTTTGTCTCAAAAAGCTTTCGGGTATTTCACATGTGTGGTTTAAATAAGAACATGTGATAGTCGTGGTTTAAGGAAAAATATCCACGTCATCGTAGTTAATTATCTTTGATACTATGTGTGTCCTTTTGATATTATGTGTGTGTAACAGCTTTTTCAGATTTTCACATGTCTGAAATTGGAATAAGAATATGTACGTTTGGAGATGTTAAAATTACACACACGTGAAATACTCAAAAGCTTTGACACACAGACCCAAATCAACACATATATACGATTACAAGTGGTTTTGTATTTGATGAACATTAAAAATTCATCTCACTTTTATTATTATAGTATAAGCAGCACGTTTTTTCTGTTGTTGGATTAAGTAAACTGTAACAAGTCGTTGTCACTTGTCATCAACATTTTAAGTGTTACCTTGCACGATATGTAATTTGCAGAAAAAAAAGAACAGAGAAGGATATAATAAATTTATGTATATTTAGAATAAAACCTTGCACGACACCTTCCCTTTGGATAGATCAGCTTTGACTTCTACGTTTACGTTTGCATTTTTCTCATTCACAATGAAGAATATGCTTTACACTTATCCTCTTTGCCATTTAACTTCTCTTGCTTACGTTCTCTTATATTCTTTCAAGTAATCGACACCAAGATACTAGAAATATATATTATCACCCATGACTTCAAGTTTCCTCTGTTAAATTATCTGCAAATCAATCTTCCTTTCTGCTAATCCGAAAATGGGAAACTGCCTTTCAATCTCGGATCCTTCTCTTGAAGATGTATCAGAGAAGATTCTCAAAGCACTTCCCGTCGAAACTCCCTTCAAGTTTCCCTCACCATTGCCTACTTTGCCTCAAGGTTTGTATTATCCTCTTGGTCTCTCTCTCTCTCTCTCTCTCTGTCTCCATTGGTTTGATGATTTTGATTTGACCTGCATCATCAGGTGGCGGGTTTGCGAGACGAGCCATTGACTTGGGAGGTCTCGAGGTAAGTCAAGTCTCGACATTCAACAAAGTATGGTCCACTTACGAAGGAGGACCAGACAACCTCGGAGCTACATTCTTCGAACCATCATCGATCCCTTCCGGTTTCTCCATTCTCGGTTATTACGCTCAACCAAACAACCGTCGACTTTTCGGTTGGGTACTCACAGCTAGAGATCTCTCAAGCAGCAACGCCTTGAAACCTCCTGTAGATTACACCCTCGTGGGAACCACCGAGTCGCTCAAGATCAAACAAGACGGGCCTGGCTATTTCTGGCATCCCGTGTCCCCTGATGGATATCAAGCCGTTGGTCTCATAGTCACAAACTCCTCACAAAAGCCTCCTCTAGACAAGCTACGCTGCGTTCGATCCGATCTAACAGAGCAATGTGAAGCTGAGACATGGCTATGGGGATCAAACGGAGTCAACGTTTCGAGCCTAAGACCGACCACAAGAGGAACGCAAGCTACAGGTGTCTGTGTAGGCACGTTTGCTTGGCAAACCCAAGATTCCTCTCCTCCATCTTTATCTTGCTTGAAGAATGCGAAACTCGACTTCTCTACGATGCCAAATGAGTCCCAAATCGAAGCACTGTTCAAGAACTATTCTCCATGTATCTATTTCCACCCAGACGAAGAATATCTACCTTCCTCTGTTAACTGGTACTTCACCAACGGTGCATTGCTATACAAGAGAGGCCAAGAATCAAACCCAGTCCCTATCGAATCTAACGGCTCGAATCTTCCACAAGGCGGATCAAACGACGGATCATACTGGCTAGATCTTCCGGTGGACAAAAACGGAAAAGAGAGAGTGAAGAAAGGAGACTTACAGAGCGCAAAAGTGTATCTCCACATCAAACCAATGCTCGGAGCAACATTCACAGACATTGCCATCTGGGTATTTTACCCTTTCAATGGCCCAGCAAGAGCCAAGGTCAAATTCTTAAATTTGCCATTGGGGAAAATCGGCGAGCACGTTGGGGACTGGGAACACGCGACGTTACGGGTAAGCAATTTCAACGGAGAGCTGTGGCGAATGTTCTTATCGCAGCACAGCGGAGGAGTTTGGGTCGACGCCTGCGATTTAGAGTTCCAAGGAGGAGGAGGAGGAGGAAGCAACAAGCCTGTAGCTTACGCGTCGCTTCACGGGCACGCGATGTATCCGAAACCTGGGCTGGTGTTACAAGGAGACGATGGGGTTGGGATACGGAACGATACGGCGAAGGGTAAGAAGGTAATTGACACGGGATTGGGGTACGAGGTGATTGCGGCGGAGTATGTAGACGGAGACGGCGGAGGAGTGGCGGAACCGCCGTGGGTGAATTATCTCAGGAAATGGGGACCGAAAATTGATTACAATGTTGACGATGATGTTAAGAGGATCGAGAGGATATTGCCTGGGCCTTTGAAAAAGGCCTTTGTTAATTTTGCGAGGAAGATTCCTGATGAAGTATATGGTGAAGATGGGCCTACTGGGCCCAAACTCAAGGGAAATTGGGCTGGTGATGAAAAGTGACGAATTTATTTGCTTTTCGTTAGACTGTTTGATTTGATTCATTGTTTTAATCAAATTCTTTGTAACTTTTGTGTACAAAAATCTTATACATTTTATTGTTACAGACAGACTCTGTTTGATTGATTATAAAAACCCTTTATTTATAACATCTTTCTGTGTGATTTCTTGATACAACAAGCCCAAAAAAAAAGGCAAACCAAAATCTTCTTGAAGAATTGAGTTTTACAACAATGGAGTCCACGAAAGGAAGTTTTTTCTCTAATTTCTATGTAACTTGCATGAGTTTTTTCATAGCATTTTCTCTTCCAAGTTTAGAAATCAAGAGATCCACATTGTTTGCTCTCTAACGACTTTGCAGCAGATGCAGGAGGCTTCTTTGTTTCCTTCTTATGATCACCATTGACGCCGCCTCGAGCTCTTCCAATACCCATCTTAGGCAAACCACGGTTCAGTCCTTCCAACAAAACGCAAGCTTTGCACCATTTCTGCCATATCATTTGTAATATCCAAACAAGCAAACATCATTGTATTTAAACACTCATACACTCGCCTTGAGATGTGATAAGATCATAAGAGAGGTCTTTGTTTGCAAAGTCTTATCTCACCTGGCTAGAAATGTACCCGCATCGCTCACACGTCCCTTGCTCAGGCATCTTTGTGGTTGTTGCGATTCTAAAATCTTCACCAGACTTTATGATGTCAAGAATCGCCCTTGGCCTGCACTTTATACAAGTTAGAGATCTCTTCTTCACTTATTTAGTTGTATCTGATATTAACAGAAAAAGAAAAGGTCGAGCAAGAAGACCTTAGTCTTTCCAAATCTTTGATGAACTCACGAGCGAAGCCACGATACGCATTAGGAGAGTATATACCTGCAAATTCAATTAATCGCTTAATTAGCCATAGAAACAACCAGAGATACTGCTGAAGTAAAATTCAAGAACAGAGATCAAAAACTCTATAAAACATTGAACAAACTTACATTCGGTGGAGAAGTAGTCCAGCTTCTTGAAATAAGCATACGTATATCATATGTTAAGGTATCAAAATTTCTTTTGTTGACAAGTTACAGTGATATAAAATCATTGATGTTAGGCAAAGAAACAAGAAAACAATTTTAATAGTGAAGGATATATGACAATCTCCTTCTCGTATGTATACTTGAAAGGTTTACATCTTGGAATGGGACCATCTTCACCAGTAGTAATCGATGTGCACCGACTTAATCTACAGGAGCAGCCAATTGTTACATCTAATAAATCAATTAACTGAGGAACGAGAGAGATTTTTTCAATCAAACCAAACAACAAACACTTACCTAGCAATATCCCCTCGCAATATGTTCAAGAGAACGGTTTCTGCTATATCATCTGCGTTATGTCCAGTAACTAGCTTATCTACTTTCAATAACGCAGCTCCTCTATCAAGTGCCTTCGCATCATCAAACAAAAGCAATCACACACACACACATTGTTATTTAAAGTTCTTAACGAACTGTAGAACAAAGGAAGAAACAAATTTGGATCCTCACCTGTCGACGGAATACACCACAAAAGGTGCAGTTGTTCTTCAAACCGATCATTTTCACAATCTCGTCCATTGTCCATCCATACAGATCTTTGTACGAAAGAATCTGAAGAGGCAACCCATACTGGAACAAAAAAATAAAGAACACATCAAATCAAAGAAGAAACAACTCCATAAAACGCTTCATATACTAAACTTACAATTCCAAAAGAAATTAAAGCTTACTTGGACTTCATTTCGTTTAACTGTCTCAAGAGAATCATCACGATAACCTGTAATCCCTTCATCTATGGACAAGAGAAAGAGGTCCAGACCGTAATTGTGACGTCTGTTTAGTTCTGATAACACATACGCCAAAACTGTGGAATCTACACAAAGCCCGCAGCTTTTTTGGGTTATTTCATGAAAACAATGAAAGATGTAAAGGTGCAACAGAAGAAAGTAGTAGCCAAAAAAAAAAAATGATCAATTAGAAGAATCGAGGAATCCCGCAAAGAGTTTAAGAAAGTTGTTACCTTTTCCACCAGAGGCACCAATAGCAACGCGTTCACCGGATTTGAATAAACGATTCCCAACAATTACTTGATGAATCTCCTCCTCAAAGACCTCGTAGAAGCACTCTCTGCATATCTTTTAAGCACACATATACTCCCATCAATGCTCAATACAGAGGAAACAATAGCAACTTGGGAGAGACAATGAAACTGAAGATTGACACTTTCGATAGCAGAATCTATTTTATCCGATTCTAAACAAAGATCATAATCCCAAAACCAACGAACCAGAGCTATAATTTTGATCCGATTCCAAACAAAAGGAAGAGTTTCGGATTTATAAAGAGCCAAACTTTATAGTAGAGTACTGAAGTTCTTTTCCAAGCTTCTGCTTAAAAAAACTTAGACAAAACTCAAAACACGAGATTTCAAAAGTTACCTGTTGAAGGGTTTTGGGTCGTTTGAGGACGGGGCGTCTCTGGTTGCATAAGCAGCAGAGGCGTGACGCTCCTGGTTTCTTGCTCTTCCCTTCACTTGCCTCCATGTTTTACCGGAGCTCAGCCCCTGCGAATGAGAGAATTTCCGGCGATGAAAAAACACGCCCTAAACTCGAAGTCACACAAAAAACGACAACGTTTTTGCACAATCGTATACTTGGGCCTTATTAAAGGGCCTTAAAAGTCCAGCGATACATTTTTTCTGTCTTCGGTTTGATAACAGTTAAATTGGTGGAGACTGAAAATTAATGACATTTTTGGTTTTGTATATATGAAGCTTTTAAGTAATTTACAATAACCTAAGCAAAAGCCATAAACTTATTTAGTTATTCCGATTGTTGAACAAGATTTCGAATAAAATATTTGGATTTGAGATCTGTTTTCTTTGCAAGGATGAAGATTCTGATTAAATACATCCATCATACAAGGAAGAGTCAGTTAAAAAACAGCAAACATGGGTATAGACAATTTGAAGAAAAAAAAAAAAATCAACTTTCATTAATTTTTTCAAACTTTAAGTAGTTCTGGTACAAATGCTTTCTCTGTGTGATCTATTACCTATGAACAAAAAAAAATATCAAGGAACTGAAACATATCAACTAATAAACCAGTTTGTGTCATGTGTCAACCAGACCAGAAATGTTTTCGCCGGTCTTACTTTCTGATTCATTCTAATAGCAATGGTTGACACAGAGGCTTTAGAATTGTGCTATCGAGTTCCATAAAATACGTGACAACGACTCCTATAAAAGAGCATACAGCTGGTACAAGCCCTAAACCATATCTCGTCACCGAAAAGTAAAAACTTTGTTTGATGTTTACATCCACTTGTGGTGAAGTGCTGTTGCCTGCACCATCAACAGTTTCATCAGAGTTAAAAGATACTATTATAGAAAGTTAAGAAAGTAAAAAAAAGGCAAACTTACTTTGGTGTGACTGAAGAATATATAAAGCAATCCCACATGACATCTTGTCTAAGAAGCTTAAAGACCCACAAACGAAAGCACATCCACCAAGTTCTGAACCAACTAACACACTCTGCATACTTATTGCTGTCACCTGTAAGAAAATGTGATTGTCAGGTTTCTTTATAACTCATGAAGACATCAGATATATATAGCAGAAGGATGTCTCACCAGAATCAATGCATTTGCAATGCCGATGAAGACAGAGATCGCGTACATGAAAGAGCTAATGCCTCTGGGCAATAAGAGGATCGACACACCACAGAATATCCAAATAATACCACCAGCACAATAATATGCCTTGAGGCGTTTTCCGTTCCATGGAATCTCCTACATTAGTAAGACTATAGTAGTTACATAACAGAAACCAAAAAATAAAGTTTAAGAGATGGAAGAAGAGCAAAAACTTGTTGCAACCTGAAGCATAACGGATACAACGAAGCTGCAGATGTAGATTATTGCAGGAACCTGAAAATCAAAAAACGTTGATCACTGATTAAACAAGTTTTGATGATCATAAAGACGGAAACTTTTTTTGCAGTGGCTCTGTTTCACTTACCAGAGCTTTAGCGGATTGAGCCATTTGGAGATCATCAATAACAAAGAATGCAAGATATGCCTGTGAATATTAAAAGTCATGAGTATTGATCCAAATACAAACAAAAGAAGCAAGAGAAGATACAGAGACTAACCTGTGAAACATTCAATACTAGTCGAGTTAATAGATAAACCATTGCGACTTGGTAATACAGAATCTTACGGAACCAATAGGCCCATGGTATTCTTCTTCGGCTGGTTTCTCTTAGATTTATCCGCAGACTTTGAAAACAAAACCAAAACTCATTTTCAGTAAACTATCTTGACTTTAAAGCATTTACAAAGAAAAGTGTGCGTTACCGTGGTTCCTTTGTTCCCATAAGAAATATGACCACAAAGCAGCATCCTACGGTAATGGATGAATAAGCAATCCAGCGATACTGTAGACTTAAACCGGACTTAGAATCATAACATCGAAAGGCATTAACTTTGATTGATAGATGCAAATTAACAAGTCAATAAAAGCACAAACCTGTATTTCAGTATTTTCTTTTGTGTCAGCCTTGCTAACACCAAATACAACTAAAGCAATCGCGTATAAGCCTAAATTAGCAACCTGAAGAAAACAGTCGATGACAAAGTTAAAAAATAATAAACACTTTCTTAGAGCACAAAATAAGACTATAGGGGAAAGAGCTGACCATACTAAACGCGTTACGGGAGCTTGTTAGTGCTACTCTGCTTGTTGAGTTCAATGTAATGCAATTGACCATAGCCCTAAAGAAAATACAGATTACGAAAAAAAAATGAATATCTCTCACTGAGTAGATTCGAGATTAGGCTAAAAAGAAAGAAGCTCGAAAGAGAAAACATTGGTTTACATGTGGGAAACCTGAGTAGCGGCCCATCCTATATTGAAGATAGCTGCAAACATACTGTACGAGAATGTTTCGACGGTTAAAGAGTTACTATGGAGGAGTGAACAAGGCAAGCAACCGCCAAAGACCGAGGAAAACGAGATAGCCACTAGTAAGGATCCTCCTGCGTGCCAGATTTTGAAATGCCCAAATCTATCAATCTGTGTCATGTAAAGAAGACAGAGATGTGAGATAGTAATATACACTGTTCATAGCATTAGTGCATTACCATAGAACAATATCGCTTTTGACTCAAATTTTGATTACCCTTAAATGACATGAGACTAAAAGAACATTAATGTCGAAAAGAGTTGCTTACACACACTACAAGTACAAACACATAAGAACCAAAAAAAAGTTTACCAATTCACCAACGAAGACTGTAGCAAAACCGTCAGCAACTTGACCAGAGAGCATGACAATTGCAGCATCTCTACATAAGAACCAAAAAAAAGAAAGCTTGATATATAATTACACTAACCGAGATTTGGGTTTTTAACAAGAATCAGGAGGATTTTTGTTTACCTCGGAGAGAGACCGATTTGGGTCAAGAACAAGAGGAGGTAAGTGAACCAACAAGAAGCAGTAATGTCGTTGAGCATATGCCCAACTCCATAGAAGAAGACAGATAATCTTCCAAGTGGTTTTGTGAACAGATCATCCTCATTCTCTCCACCAACACCAACCAATGACGTCATCAAACCAAAATCGTTTTCAAAAAGAACCAAAACTTGCTTCTTTTTTTAAGCTTCTACAATTCGAACCTGCAAAAGCGTGCATGGAAGACCCCATCAGGAATTTGAAATGCCCAAAAGCTATAGTTGACTCATAGTATCTAAAAATACGAACTTTTTCAGATTGAAGATTTCGAAAAGGAGGAGAGTTCAGAAAGAGAAAGGAGCAAACTTTCGTACCTGTAGAGTGGAAAACAAAAAGAAACTTCCGATCCCAGAATTGAATGTGAATCAGATCATTCGTATTAAGAGAAACGATTCGAAAGATTTTACGTATGCAGAAACGGAAAACAAATAAATAAAAATAAGGAAAGAAGGAACGGTGAAAGTCCGTGAGAGCTCTCAACGAGAAACTTGCATCCTTTGTTTTAGTTTTTATTACGACGATACTTTTATTATTTTCTTCCATAAAGACGTCATTTTTTTCTTCTTCTTCTTTTTTTTCTCTGGGATTTCAAGTTGAATTTTAATGACCAAAGAAGAATGTGTAATAAAAACAAAGAAAGAGAAAGATAATAATAGAAAAAATTCAGACGATCGTGACGAGAGGGAGAGAGAGAGAGAAAATGATAAATCTGGAAAATTGTGCGGTCATGTGGATGATTCTGTGGATTTGCCCATTTGGGTAATGGGGAGATTTCTGGATAATAATAATAGCATCCACAACTCTGTCTCTATGTATGAAATGGTTCCTACAGAAACTTGTCGTAGTGTAATTGAATATTATTAGATTCTCCCTGTGTTGTGTTCCTCTACTTGCTCTGCCAAGTACAATTTATTTAAGTTTATATAATAAAATTTAGCAATTTCTTAAGAGAAAAGAGAAAAAAAATAGTTCGTTAACCTAAAGTTTATTCCGGTTGCCGAAATTTTCGACTAACTTTATTTTTCAAAAACAAAACTGTAGCTCGTGTCTTATTTTGGGTCATACAACAAAAAAAAAAAAGTTGAGAAGAGTTCTCACGAAACAGTAAGTTGCACAAATCAACGTTTCATAATTTTTTAACTTTTCGTTATTAATTTTATAAGAGGTTACAAATACACAAAAGTAGGAAGAAATGGGCAACAACTTGGAGCCTGAGCAAAGAGGTCGAACTCTTGCCACTGTTGTTAGCATCGTCGGATCCAGGGGTCGGAGAAGTGCTTGGCTCAGGTTCCGACCCAGTGGGAGCAGAGGCTGGGCTGATTTTGTTAATTGCTGCATCTATATAATAGAACACTTGGGCTTCTGGAGAATTTGGGTCCAAGTGAAGTAAAGCTGAAACACCCCATTCCCACCAAAAAATAATGAGTTTTTGAATTCTATAATCATTTCTGAAATTGGTTTCTTTAAAAAAAGTAGTGTCTTTGTGGTAATGTCTTTGTCATCCGTTTTTAAAATTGCATAATATATGTGATTGACAACAACGAATTATATACATACGACTAAAAAAGTACTTAGCAACTTTACTCAAAAATTTTTTGAATAAAATGGTAACACAAATTCTAACCCCTAAAAAAAGGTAACACATAAATACTAACGGCCATACTAACAAACAAGAAATGCAACAAAATCAAAAAATCCACCCACACATGATTTCAATTCCTATACACTATACTACGTTATCATTAAAATAAAATAGATATAATTAGTGAGAAATAACTTTTCTAAATGTCGACGACACAATGTAGCATCAAGTCAAATAGTTTTGAGCAATCCAACCAGAAAATAATACCAAATTAATATGATGATGTTGTGGAGAGGTACGAACCAGGGCACTTGGAGACGTTAGCAGTGGCATGGCAAAGGGAAGGAAGAGTGAAAGCGAGAGAGGCATTGATCTGGTTCTGGAGACCCAGTTGAGGATCATTCCTGTCTTGAATGATCACACAAATACAATTCTTGTCGGAATTTAGAATCTCTCTGAGGCCGGAGCAACAGTCCGGCGTCGGAGATCTTGATTGTCCTTTCATGTAAGGAAGACACGTGGCCATTCCAAGGCGTTGTTCCCTACAAGCTTCCTTGTCTATCGCTTTTTCTTCTCCAGAAGTCACCACCACCATTAAAGCTACTGCTATTCCCACTATTGTACTCCTCCATGTTTCCATTTTTCTTTTAGTTATTCTGATTTGATTAAAAAAAAGTTTGTAAAGAGAAATGTGAATACAATAGATCTCAAATATCAACATCATTATCTCCATACGCGCAATCGGTGAATAATTGGACTAAATATTTATTTTACTTTCATATTTTCTTTTTGTTTCTTTGTTTGGCCGACCTCATTTTTGTTTCTTTTGTTCAGTATAATTTTCAATTTATCTCAAAAAGGGAAGGAATCTCATTATTGAATTCAACTTTTCTTATTCGTAATACTTTTCTTTTATAATTAAAAATATAAAAACTGATTTTAAAATAATACTCGTGTTTGATATTCACTATTGTACTTTTCTATTGCGACATTTTAATACGTTTACATTAAAAGAAAAAAAAAACATTGTTGTTTTTTGTGATGAGAAGACACCAAAAAAGACAATTCATCTAAAGATTTTACGGCAACCATATTGATCCATGTAGACTTAACTTTTACCAATTTAATTTGTTATCAAAGTGTCAAATTGATACATACACGAATCTACCGTTAATGAAATACGTTGTATGCAATTACCGTAAGCAAAACCACCATATAATAATACATGATGGATAAAAAGATAGAGTATATTTTTGATGTAAAAGGTTTCAATAAAAATTTGATGAAAGGCACACGGGACATCGAAAAACTGTAGCTAGTGTCTTATTTTGAGTCATACAAAAAAAAAATTGAGAAGAGTTCTCACTACTAAACCAACGTTACATACCCTTTTTAAATTATTATTATTTCATACGACGATGGTAATATATAAAATTACGAAGAAATGAGCAACAACTTCGAGCCCTAGCCATTTTTTAGAGAAACTTTGAGCGTGGTTCGAGCCTGGCAAAGAAGCAGTCCGACCACTACTGTTACCATTATCAGATCCTGCAATCGGAGACATGCTGGTGGGCTCAGGGGCCGAGCCACTGGGACCAGAGGCTGGACCGGTTTTGTTTGAACCGTTTGCTAGCTGATAGAACACTTGGGCTTCTGGAGAATTTGGATCCAAGTGAAGCAAAGCTGAAACACCCATTCCAACAAAAAAAAGTCATGAGTTTGCTAACTTCTAGTTTATAATTAATTTTCAAAAGTTGTTTATTTTTTATAAAGTAAATACATTCAGGCTCTGTTTTTACGTTCTTATACTTTTTTTTTTTCTTACAACTTACGTTCTTATACTTATACTTATGTATGGTGATAAAACTAGAAATATATAACGTCTTCAATCCATGATGATAACTCACAACGTCATCAAAAAAATACAAAATGATAAAAACTTACATAATTTCAAGTCTTACACTACAACCAACATGCTGTTATATATATACTAAAAACTTAGATTTAGTCAGAAAAAACTTTTTAACCTTCTAAAAAATGTAGCATGAACTAACCAATAGATCGATCATGACAAAGAGTTTTCACCAATCCAAACACAAAGAACTAACGAACTATGATATAATGAAATTGTAGAGAGGTGGTACGAACCAGGGCACTTGGTGACGTCAGCAGTGGAGTGACAAACAGAAGGAAGAGCGAGAGCGAGAGAGACATTGATCTGGAGACCCAAATCAGGATCATTCCTATCTTGGATGATGACACAAAGACATTTCTTGTTGGAATTAAGAACTTGTTTGAGACCGGAGCAACAGTCCGGCGTCGGAGACTTTGCCTGTCCTTGCACGTAAGGAAGACACGTGGCCATACCCACCAGCTGTTGCGTACATTCTTCCTTGTCTTTCGCTTTATCCTCCGCAGCAGCCACCATCGTCGCCATTATTAAAGTTATTGCCAGCACTAGACTAATCCTCCAAGACTCCATTTTTTTTTTAATTCACAATTAAATCCTCATGAGTGTTGTTGCTGCACTCGTTACGATTTATATAGCATTTTTAGGGGTTTCTTTTTTTCTTTAAATTTATGTAAGTAATGTGATGATTGTATGCGTTGTCGTGTCGAGAAGCTCATCAAAGTTTTCTTTGATATTCCTTAATTTGTGAGAACAGTATATATATCGTCCTACGTGACTCTGTCATACATATATGGGAAGGAATATGTATCTCATATGTCAACATCATCTCCATACGCCCAATTGGTTTGTAGTAAATTACTAAGAAGACAAGTTTTTTTCTAGAAAGAATATTAGTTTCTTAGAACGATTTTTAATTTTGCAAACATGTTTTCGAATCCACCTATTTTTTTTTTTTTTTTGGATTCTTGTTTTTAAATTAAAAGGGAACAATGTTAAAATTGTCTATTATTATGAGCTCACTAGTTCATTAGAACGATATTTTTTATTTAGAATAAAAATCCATTTATTGTTTTTTAGAATAAAATTCATTTTGAACTTATAAATTCATACAAATCATAGTTGTGGGCATGCATACAGAGAAGGGACCAGTACACCAACCCACTGAGTGAAAATGTCGACTCAGTAGTGATTGACTTTAAGTTTGTGTGCGGTGACACTTGGCGGCAGTCTAAGCCCTTGGAAACCTACAAGCTACGAATCCATGGTGTCATTTATGACGTCACTTGACTCTACTGTTAAAATGTAACACATGTACAGATTTTATGGCAACATGAGAATTCATTAATCATTATATATCACCCAAACCTTAAGATTTTAATTTACTTTAGTTAACCAAATGTTTTACATCGAGTTTGAAGTCCAATATATAACTTCGTGTCAATCAATTACTATTATTTCATTAACTGTTTATAACGCAAAATGGAAACATACTCTTTCGAATTATATATTACATCACAATCACTGTCATTTTCATTAATTCAATAAAGTATATCCAATGTCAAAAACTACGCGTAGAGTGGAGAGAAACCCTGTTTTTGGTTCATGTAATTATTTATGGATTACGGAATTTTCCACGAGAGTGTTTCATGTTACGTACCATAGATATATAAGGCCCAAAAAGACACATAAGGCCCCAAAAAGATATTTAAGGCCCAACACGATTACAGATTCTTATAGATATATAAGGCCCCAAAGGATATATAAGGCCAAGAAATAAGTTTAAGGCCCAATACGATTACAGATTCTTATAGATATATAAGGCCCCAAAGGATAAATAAGGCCCAAAATATCTTTAAGGCCCAACACGACTACAGATTCTTATCTACAAACTTCAACCGACACATCATACTAATTACAAATTCGGTCCCTGAAAATTGTCGTCGCGAAAAATTAAAGCCGGAGAAAATGGGAGTAGTAGTGATCGATGGATCGACGGTACGGTCGTTTGTGGAGGACGAGGAGCAGTTCAAGAAGAGCGTAGACGAGAGGTTCGCGGCTCTCGATCAAAACAACGACGGCGTTTTGTCGCGATCTGAGCTACGAAAGGCGTTCGAATCGATGAGGCTGTTGGAGTCACACTTCGGCGTCGATGTGGTGACTCCTCCGGAGGAGCTGACGAGTCTCTACGACTCGATCTTCGAGAAATTCGATACGGACAGGAGCGGTTCCGTGGATCTGGAGGAGTTTAGGTCGGAGATGAAGAAGATCGTGCTAGCGATCGCCGACGGGCTCGGTTCGTGTCCGATAACGATGGCTTTAGATGACGGTGATGATAACTTTCTGAAAAAGGCGGCGGATCTGGAAGCTTCGAAGCTTAAGAAGTTGGCTTCGTGATGATGGATGATTTTGGGAACTTAATTTTAACTGTCTTCATCTTCGTGGTTTGCTCTTGTACTCTTGTTGTAAGCAAAGAAGTATGAATAATAATAAAAGCTTGAACTTGTGAGATAACCGGAGATTTCATTTGAATTGGTATATGATTCAAGGTTTAAGACTTTAGGTTGATGAAATGGGAAGATGAAATTTCGTTTCATGGGCAAGGTGAAAAAGGAGAAAAAAAAAAAAAGAAAAAAAAAGGAAGATGATATAATGTAAAGTGTTCAAAAACAAAAACAAATCGTCGCCTGAGAGATTCGAACTCTCGCGGGGAAACCCCATGTACTTAGCAGGCACACGCCTTAACCACTCGGCCAAAGCGACTGTTTGATAACATTCGAAATTTTCTATTAATATTTAATATGTTGAAACGAATCAAACGTAATGAGATAAACATAGGATCAAATCAGGCGTATTTTTGTAAAAAACCATTTGCGAATTTGCTAATATTTATTTGATAGTACTAGATTTGGTTTCTATATCTGCTAGATTGAATAGGAAATCAAAGATTAGATTCTATTAGTGTCACCAAGTGTATCATATCAATATGTGTCACAGTCCAGTCTGGATGTCCTGTTACTGGCGGAAAACCATTAAAAAAAAATTAATGAAAATCTCTTTGGATGATATATTAGCAAAAAAAGAAAAGAACAAACCAAAAGAATTTGAGTACATTGACCATTACCCTAAATACCTAAAAAAACGAAAGTGTACGACGCTCCCAATATCCCTATAAGCATCTCTATAAAGACAACTCTCCGTTTATCTAAATTTCCATCAACCACCATTTTTTCTCAATGGCGTCCTCCTCCACTGCAAACCAACCGCAGACGTGGCTTTGCAAGTGTTATGAATGTGAATTCATCCTCGGTGTTATTCCTCTTACTCGCGGTCCTCCTACTCGTACGAGCTGTCTTCAATGCAACAACATTTTCACCTCTTTTAATCCTTCTAATTTTCTTTTTGAATTAAGCGACGACGAACCGGATGCTCCACTGGAACCGATTCCCGAGACCTTACCGTGCCCTATATGCATGGAAGATGTCGTGGAAGGAGAAGAAACTGCTCAGAGATTGCCATGCAACCATTTGTTCCATAATGATTGTATCAACCCTTGGCTCAGGAACCACAGCACGTGCCCTCTCTGTCGGTTCGTGATACCGGTTGAGGTTAGTGATGACGAGAGCTCGTCGTCCGAGGAGGTTGCGCCAGAAGGTGACTTGGAAGTTGGCCACTCCTGATTTGATCATAGATTTACTTTTGAGTTTAATTATGCATTTCCAAAGGAATTACATTGGAGTTAATGTGTCTTCTTCATTTCCTCTAGTCTTCCTTTGTCTCTATCTCTTTTATGTGTATCTCTCGTAATTGTAATCAGCAGCCTCATGCTCTGGCTATATCTGCCCTCTTTACTTTAAAATCTGTTTCTTCTCATATGGATCTGTGTTCTCCATTTATAAAATCTGTCTTCACTCAAAAAAAATATATGGATTATTTACTTAGGATGAAAATGAAATTTCATAGATTTATCTTGTTTTTTATAATGAGTTTTCTGATTACATCGCATGAAAAAAGTGAAAATATTATCGGTTATCATTAATTAAAGATATTACACTATAATGAGTTTTCTGATTACATCGAGAGGTCGGAGAGTGCAGATTTCGCAAGCTTATCATCATACAATTTTCGGATCTTGAAATTTTGGAGAAGGAGATCTCTCTGAAACCTTTCATGTGAGAGAGGATATCGTGAACGATTTCATATATTTTCTTGAGCTGTTGTCGCAAGTTAATTGAATTGATCTGCTCGGATATGAGTCCAATGCGATCACAAGTTTATCAGTTGCTCTGGTTCTTGGTTCATAGCTTCGATCACACGAAGTCCTCCGCAAGAGCTGAATAGACGAATCGCTGGGGCACTTCTCTATCCTCGATGAGGGAATCTTGTAGTGATCGGAAAGACCACATACACACACGGTTGAGGTTTTTTTTAATCATAACAAATTCAATACTTTTTACGGTTGAGTTTTTTTTCTTCATAATAATATTATCTCTTATCATTGTTGTTAGAGTTTATATCTTTTTTTTTGAATTATATGTTAAATAAATTCAAAGAAAAACCAATTTTGTTCAGATGATACTTGAATTTAGATTTTAGATAAAAAAAGGGTTTATGTCATTTTACTACTCAAATACCTACATTTTCATTTATAATCATTTATTTAATGAAAATTCGTTTCTTTTTAACACTCAGTCTTTTTTATTTCATTTCGTAAAACATCATCTTCTGATATATACAGTTTGATCTCAAAATGCCCTAATAGATGTATTTTACAATTGCATATTTTCAATAACTTCTATTATCACCGTTATTAAGATTCGTGTCCTTTTATTATTAACTAAATATTTTTTTCTATTTATTACCCCTTTTTTAATGAAAATTACTTATTTAACATTTATATCTTTTCAACTCTATTTATTTTATTTTGTAAAAGCATTTTCTCATTTATAAAATTTTAATCTTAAAATTTTCTCAAATCAATATTTAGATTTATATTATTTATGAGTTTTCTAATAACGATTTCTTTAATAACTATTTAGGATTTATGTCTTGTTATATATATTTCGTTTATAACTGTTTATCTAATTATTTCATAAAAGTTGCATTTTTAACATTTTTGTTTTCTTTTCGTCTCATAGAACATTTCTCATTTATATATCTTAATTCCATATTGGTCTCAAATCAAAATTTTGATAAACAACTTTTAGTATAAATCTCACTTCCAAGCTAATGCCAATAGTTTGGATAGTCTGGAGGTTCAAAATAACATGTTCACTGCTAGAGATAAATAAACATGATCTAAATTCATATGATCTAACATATGTTCAGTTTCCAACAAGATTTGTATACCTAAAGATATGTCTGAAACATAAGCCGACATGATCATGGTTATTAATCTTGTCATTTGTATGATACAAGTTGTAAGACTTTAGGTTGATGAAATGGGTAAATAAGACTTTTGATTCATGGTCAAGGTGAGAACTGAAAAAAAAAAAAGTAAGGAAGATGAATGTTAGGAATCGTAAATAGTTCGAGAACAAAAACAAATCGTCGCCTGAGAGATTCGAACTCTCGCGGGGAAACCCCACGTACTTAGCAGGCACACGCCTTAACCACTCGGCCAAAGCGACTTTTGACTTTTTTTGAAACTGTATTATTAAATAATAAGTTGGCTAACGTAATGAGATAACTTGGGATCAAATGAGGCGTAATTTTGTAAAAAACCATTTGCGAATTTGCTAATGTTTTATTTGATAAGTGTAGATTTCGTTTCTATATCTGCTAGATTGAATAGGAAATTAAAGATCAGATTCTATTTAGTGTCATCAACTGTATCAATATGTGTCACATATTACAACAAATCTAATGAAAATCTTATCGTTTATATCTTAGCAAAAAAAAGAAGAGAAAAAGCCAGATTACATTTGACCAATTATACCCTAAGAACTAGTGAACGCTCATTAAATCTTTAAATCGTTGAACGAGGAACACCAGAACTTACACTCCCAATATTCTGATAAGACTCTCTATAAAGACAACTCTGTTTATCTAACTTTCCTCAACCACATTTTTTTCCAATGGCCTCCTCCTCCTCCACTGCAAACCGAACGGAGATGTGTGATAAGTGTGGCCGCCTCTCTCGTTCTTCAGCTCCTTACCTCTGTCGTCGATGCGGTCCCTATATCACCTTTGATCCTTCTACCTTTCCTTTTGAAGGTCTTGCTGAGAGATGTTCATTCCTCAAATATTTTAATCCTTCTACCCTTCGTTTTGATCGTTTTGTTGATGAAGAAGTCGAACAGGAGGAATCTTCATTCCTCAAATATTTTAATTTTTCTGACCTTCTTTTCGAAGGTTTTGATGATGAAGAAGACAAACAGGAATCTTCATTCCTCAAATATTTCAATCGTTCTACCTTTCTTTTTGAATTTAGCGACGACGAACAGGATACTCCAATGGCACCGATTCCCGAGACCTTACCATGCCCCATATGCATGGAAGTTGTCGTGGCAGGAGAAGAGTCTACTCGGAGTTTGCCATGCAGCCATTTATTCCATGGTGATTGTATCGGCCCTTGGCTCAGAGATCACAACACGTGCCCTCTCTGCCGGTTCGTGATACCGGTTTAAGCTAGTGAAGACGTCGTTCCATGTGTTGGCGCTAGAAGGTGACTTGGAAGAGTTGTCACTCCAGATCTGAACCAATGATTTACTTTTGAGTTTAATTATGCATTTTCAAAGGAACTACATTTGAGTTCATGTGTCTTCTTCACGACATTCATTTGCTCTAGTCTTCCTTTGTCTCTATCTCCTTTACTTTTATCGATTTGAATTGTAATAAGTAGGCTGATGCTCTGGCTACATCAGCCTTCCTTTCTTTTAAAATCTGTATCTCCCTCAGAGGTTTCTTCTGATTTCTCCATTTATAAAAATCTTTGTTTCACAAAAATATGGATTTACTTTAGTTTTACAATGAAATTTCATAGATTTATCCTCTTTTTATAATGAGTTTTCTGTTTACATATCCCACACACACATATTTGTACAGAACCATTGATCTCTTTAATAATAACAAATTCAATACTTTTTTTGCTCTTCCTTTGTCTCTGTGATCTCCACTACTTTCATCTCTCGCAATTGTAATCAACCGGCTGATGCTCTGGCTAAATCAGCCCTCCTTTCTTTAAAATCTGTCTCTGCTCATAGGGTTCTGTTTTCTCCATTTATAAGAATCTTTGTTCACACACAAAAAAATATGAATTTCATATTTTATTTTCAAATGAAGTTTTATAGATTTATAACTTCTTTTTGTAATAAATTTTCTGTTTACATCGCATGAAAAAAAGAATTTTATACCGGATTCTAAGTAGACATACACATATTAGTACAAAACCCATTAATCTCTTATTATTAATAACTTAATAACAAGTTAAGAGATTTGTTAAATTTATAAAAAAGAATTGTTAAGTTTGAAGAGATTTTGTATATTTAAAAAATTTATAAAAATATTTTAATGTAAGTGATTTTTAAAATTTTAAGATATAACTAGTATTTTGAAAGTTTTGTTTTATATATTATTTGTTTGGAATTCATAAAATCCTTAAAACATAAATTTTTTTAAAAAAAATGTATTTTGTATGACTTTTAAAAATTATCAAACTAATAACACTATATTTTCATAAGAATATCAAAATTCATCAACTAATAACAGTAGATTCTAAAAATTATAAGAATTCTTTAAAATCTATCTTCCAATAACCCCCCTTACTCAATACTTTTACGGTTGCAATTTTTTATAATATTATATCTTATAATGGTTATTAGGGTTTATATATTTTTAGTATTCACTAGGTATATTTCTGTTTATAACCACATATTTAATAAAAATTGTCTCTTTTTAACCTTTACTCTATTTAATTTGTTTCGTAAAATATCTTTTCGTCTATACATTTTGATTTCAAAATGGTCTCAAATTAGAATTTCGATAAACCACTGTTTTTATAATATTTTTATTTATTTATTATTACTTTTATTTAACAAAAATTGTCTTTATTTTAACATTTACATCTTTTTAACTCTATTTATTTTGTTTTGTAAAGCATTGTTTCCATCTATAAATCTTATTTACAAAGTGCGCTTTTAAATCAGTATTTCGATACAAAAATTGAATTTTTTATATTCTCTTAATTTAACAAACCCTAATAAATATTTTTACGTGTCTTTTTAGTATAATCAATTTAATAAACAGTTTAGGGTTTGTATATTTTTTATTATTTCTTACATATATTTCCGTTTATAATTGCTTATTTAGTTATTTAATAAAAGTTGTCTTTTTAACATTTATGTTTATTTAGTTTCGTAGAATATTTTTTATTTCATACTGCTCGTAGAATATTGATAAGCAACTTTTAGTATAAATCTCACTTTCAAGCAAATGCCAATAGTCTTGAGTTTTAGAAAACATGCTTACTGATTAGAGATAAATAAATAAACATGAACCGAATTCATGTGATCGGCTATATATTCAATTTCCAACGAGATTTGTATGAAACTTAAGCCGACATATAGTCATATGATCATGTTTATGCATCTTGTTAGGAACTAGGATTTTCACAGCCCCAGAGATTGAAGTTTGAGATTCATCCGGGTAACAAAAGAAAGTCTTTGTTATTTCGATCAAA